ATACCCTTTTAATGATGCAATTGATTCTTAAAAGCTTCTTAAAACCTTCCTAAAAAGCATCCTAAGAACATTTTAAGAATACGTTTTTGGAATGTTCTTAGAAGATTTCTTATGGAGCTTCTAGAAAGCTTTTGAGAATATTTTCAAATATGTCAGATACCCACGTTCTAATATGTTGTATTCTACATTCGTAAAATTCTTCAGGAGACGACAAATACGCCTCACTGTCATAATATGACAGTGAAATGTATTTGCCGTCCCCTTAAAAAATTTTGCGACATATTAATATATATTTATTTAAAAATATTAAATAAACAATTTGACCTCTAAACCATAAGTTGTATGACATTATTTCATAAAAAGTAAAATTGGAAAATTTTGTGGGATAAGTCAGATTAGATTGAAGTTGAAGATAGTTAGGAATATTATACATAAAAATGTTAATTCAGAAATAAAAAATCGGTATACAAATTAATAAATATTTATTTTTAACATAAAATAAAATACCTATAGTAAAAGTATTTTTGTTATCGAATATTGTTTTAATTTACTATAAAAAAATATTTTGGATTGTGTATTTTACTTAGTATTTAATACTAATTACTAATTAGGTACTTAAGTATAGTTTATGGTATATTTTACTATTATATGTATAGGTAACTAAACTAAATATGCTTAACAGGAATATTCCCAAATGAACTTTCTATAGCAATTACTTTCTTAACATTCTAGGCATATGTTTAGAGTAGACTAATTTTTACCACTAAACTTTTGCACCTTCTAAGAACCTGCCTATAGGCCGTAAGAATATTCTTAGGATCATGCTATATGTCTTTTAAGCATGTTCTTTAGAAGAAATATAGCATGATCCTAAGAATATTCTCACTGGAAGGTTTAAAAAACATTCTTAGAATAAAGTGTGCTGCCAGGGATTTTGTTTAAAAACGAATACATTTTCATTATTATATTAAAAAAACCAAAATATTTAACTAAAGAACACTTTTATTTTAAAACCTAACCTTAATTAAAACTCAATACGACATGTGGCTTAATAAAAACTGCTCCTTTTTATTGTGTAATGTAATGTTTAGTATGTAATTTTGACCATTACTTACATACTGAACACAAAATTTAATGTGAAAGATTTTTTTTCAAACAAAGTCAATGTTCGACAATTTTTGGCGACATTTTAAAATATATTAGAAATTTTTTACCTAAAAAACATTTTGCTAAATTAAAAAAAATACCCTGTATAAAAGACAACAACAATAATATGTTTGTTTATCTGAATTCAACAGATTAAAATTAAGCTGGATATTTCCGGATTTCTATTATTTACTGCAATGAATTGTCAATTTTGCATCACTTCATTAATGTAATTATTAAGAAAAATTATTAAAAAGAAAAAAATGCATATTTTAAATTAAAATTAGATTAAGAGAAAAAAAGGTGTGATAGGTATAAATAAAACAAAGAATTCTATACAAAAATTACCTCTACCAGAGTTGTTACAGGTTTTAGTTAAAATATTTGAATTAATATATCAAACTACCCAAATATTAAAAAATGGTAATATTAATAAAATAGGTAATAATGAAAAGTCAATATAAACATTGTTTCGTTGAACTACCAAAAAAAATTTTCCAGCTTATTTGAGGAAAAATACATTGACTAGGAAAATTACTATAGTAATATATTAAAAAGGTGGAGGACATTATTTTAAATTGGCTACGTACTGTCAGAAACAGAGAAGATGAAAGGTGGAAAAAAATGTTTTTAAAATTTTCCCATAAGTTTATTATTATTTCAAAAATATATTATTATTTATTTCTTTGGAATTGTCCCCTGGGTCACATAACTTTCCCCTGGGTCACACAATATGTGATCCAGGAGAATGTATGTTTTTAAAACATAACCTCTTTACTGTTTTAAGGATAAAAATTTGTATTTTTGCCCTTAAAACTATTACTAGGATACTTACTTTTGAGAATCAAACAAAGTCCAACTGGTACCTTCCCTGATAGCAAAATTTGATTTTAAGAATCTTCTAAGATGATATGACCCGGAATAATGGAATATTCTTATGGAGCTTCTAGGAAGCTTTTGAGAATATTTCCAAATATGTCAGATACCCACGTTCTAATATGTTGTATTCTACATTCGTAAAATTCTTCAGGAGGCGACAAATACGCCTCACTGTCATAATATGACAGTGAAATGTATTTGTCGTCCCCTTAAAAAAATTTGCGACATACATATTAATATATATATTTATTTAAAAATATTAAATAAACAATTTGACCTCTAAACCATAAGTTGTATGACATTATTTCATAAAAAGTAAAATTGGAAAATTTTGTGGGATAAGTCAGATTAGATTGAAGTTGAAGATGGTTAGGATTATTATACATAAAAATGTTAATTCAGAAATAAAAAATCGGTATACAAATTAATAAATATTTATTTTTAACATAAAATAAAATACCTATAATAAAAGAATTTTTGTTATCGAATATTGTTTTAATTTGACAAATATCTATAAAAAAATATTTTGGATTGTGTTTTTTACTTAGTATTTAATACTAATTACTAATTAGGTACTTAAGTTTAGGTATATACCTTTTTACGTAGTTTAGGGTATATTTTACTGTTATATAGGTAACTGAACTAAATATGCTTAACAGGAATATTCCTAAATGAACTTTCTATAGCAATTACTTTCTTAACATTCTAAGCATATGTTTAGAGTAGACTAATTTTTACCACTAAAACTTTGCACCTTCTAAGAACCTGCCTATAGGCCAGTAAGAATATTTTTAGGATCATGCTATATGTCTTTTAAGCATGTTCTTTAAAAGAAATTGTTTTTTTTTTAATATTACCACAAATGGGCTTTTTCTGTTATATTTGGAATATACTCCCAACTTTATAAAAAAAGGGGAATGTTATTTTACTCTAAGATGTTTAAATAGCATTAAGTAGTGAATATTATTGCAAGTGGGACAGCTACTTTTCTGTACTGTTGGGGAAAGTTTAATTTTTTTCATAGGGTTAAATTTAAAATTTTACAGTTTTGCTAATATATAGTTGCTAAAAAAGCTTAAACCAATTGATTTCGCTTAGTAAAGTTCCAAATGGCGTTAAACTCAATTTTTTATAAAATATTAAAGGTGAGGGACAGCAAATGTACACACCTTTTCTAGGTCTAACTTACAAATCTGTAATCGAATTTGTTTTTTTTAATAGATTAGAAATTGAATTTCCTTTAAAATGATGCATTTGAATTTCCCCCTGTATATACTAAAAAATATTATTTTATTACATATATGTTTATAAACGTAGGTCAAGAAATCAACAGTTTAAGATATAAAAGGTGTTTTTTTATTAAAATAAATATTTGATAATGTTTAATACTTTAAATATTAATTAAAAATGTTAATTATAATTTTTTGGTGTTTAAATTTGGCAAAAATGGTTTTAAGAAAAAAATACAAAATTCACATTTTTTTTTAATTTCAAAAACTTTCCTGTGGGAAATTAACAATAAGTGTTATCAATATTACGTGCATTCCTTAAAATGTTTTTGTGTATCTCAAACATGTGATTTTCAAGTCAACAAAACAATGTGTAGTCTATAGTATAAAATATTTAGTTCCATATTAGTGTATCCCTTTTAGACTATAGTCTAACTGTTAAAGTGATCAATAAAAATCTGTCAAAATTTAAAAAATGCGGTTAAAGCAGCAACTACTCTATGACAGTATGCACAAAACTAATTAGTCAATGGCTAATTAGTAGAGGACGGACTTTTATGCATTACAAATTGAAAAAAGGCCTCATAGGCCGCTTCTACACAATAATTTTTTTTTTATTTATAATGGTTTAGTAGCGCTATCGGTCATTTTAAAAAAGATCAACGTTGATACCTATCGTTATTTATGAATTAATGCAAGTAATATTTTTACAACTGATTTGGTCATTTGTGTATACACGTATACGAGGTGTGTTCAGAAAATAACGGGAATTGTTAAATTTCGCGGGTTCGGAGGGTCCGGTTGTCATAAAATTTTCTTTATTATGTTGGTATACATGCCCCCGAAGTATGATAAAAACTTTAGCTGTTTTCATTGTTTACTTTGTCTGTGGCAGCCGCTAAGGTTAGACGTGTTTTATGAGCTCGGCGATTTTCGTTCGTTAAAAGAAATGGATCAAAGAGAATTTGTATCCAATTTTGCTTAAAAAATGAAATAAATTCTGTGAAATGTTAACAAAGGCCTATAGTGAGTCTGCTATAAGTAAAACAAGAGTTTACAAGTGATATAAGAGTTTCCAAGATGGCCGTGAAGACGTTGAAGATGACGAACGCACAAGCGCATTAACAACCGATAAAAACATGGAAAAAGTGGAAGAAATGGTTGTAAACCATCAGAGAAGTCGCTGATGATGTTGGTATATCGATTGGCTCATCCCATGAAATTCTTTCAAATGTTTTGGGTATGAAAACGCGTGGCAGCAGAATTTGTTCTAAAATTGTTAAATTTTGAACAAAATTTTTGGCCAAAAACAATACTGTAATGATGCCCCAGCCTCCATATTCGCCAGACATGCCTCTGTCTGACTTTTTCTTATTCCCAAAAATAAAAAGAACCTTAAAGGGCCGTCGTTTTGCAAGCATAGATGACATTAAAAGATCAAGTTTTAGAAGTGTTTCGAGTATTGAAAGAAGAGCTGGCACATGTGCATAATATCCAATGGGGCCTATTTTGAAGGCGACAACATTAATGTAGACGGATAAATAAATATTTTTTTCAAAAAACGAAAATTCCCGATATTTTCTGACCACACCTCGTATGACCCCACGCCAAGTGGAATATTACCTTACTTACCCTAATAAATGTTGCTCTCTTACTAATGTAAGAGCTGTTCACGATTAAAAGGATTGTGATAAAATGATTGCAGCCCAAAGTGTATAAACTATGTATTTGTTATTTTAGTGTGAACTGCTGTTGAGTTAAGATGCCACCAAACGAAAGTCTTTACTTTAGTGAATCTATTTTATCGATACAAGAATCTGTCCCCAATGATTTTGATATTGGTACTGTAGTTTATCTAGCATTGAAATCACTTATTTATTTAAATGTGCTTCTTTATAAATCAGTAATTTTTATATTTAAAATTTTAGATTATTTTTTATAAAATCGTGTAATATTAATTTAAAGTGTTCCAGATTATGTGGGAAAAGCACAGGCTGCGGATTTCGAAACAGCCATACATTATTCCAGTAAGTATTTTTTAAATAAATAAAATATTTTTTATAAAAAAATATTTAACTTATATACATATAAGTTTATACTTATGTAAATTTAATTTTAAAAAGTTAACAGAAATAACGAATGGACCATAAATGTTTTATAAAATTTCATATATAGATATTTTTTTAAAGCTTTATTTAGAGGGTGTCCTGAAAACCTACCTATTTTAATTTATTTTAAAGATGTTTGTATTAATAATTGATTTTTTATTTAAATTAAAAAAATAAAATTAATCTTAAATGGCATTGCTTTATACAGGGTGTCTCGAAAATACAATAATGTTTTTTCTGAAAAGTAGTTTTTGTATAAAAGCATCTTAGTTCAATAATTTAATTTATAAAAAAATTGTTTTTTTAAAATTATAAAATAAATTAATAATAGAAAAACCAATACATTACAACAACCAAACACCCTAAAGAATTAAAAAATAAATTTGATATACATATTTATACATATATACATATATATATATACTAAAAACAAAAATTAAATAAAAAAAGAAAATTTAACAATTGTATTGAAAAATTACAGCAAATATTGAAAAATCTAAAATAAATATTTAAATTGTATCCTTCTATGAGCGAATTTTTAATTTTTAATAATATTTTAAGATCGGTTAAATATTAAATACTATAGTATACAATAAAATTTATAAATTCTAAAAAAATTCTGCGTTTTTCAAAATATTAAAACTTAGGAATTAAAAAAAAAATAAGTTTTACGTTTTCATTAATTTAATACAAAACATTTTTTTATATTTGTAATAGATGGCGCTGTAATGAAAAAAAACATTTTTGTTCGATTTTTCTTCTGTACACGATTCTTCAATAATTTTTGAATAAATACTTGGTTTTATTTTTTAAATTTTAATTAAAGTAGGTGCTCAAAATGGTTGCCTTCGACTTAAATGCATTTATTAATTCGCATTTCGTTTTAATATTCTGCTAACACCGCTCTGGGATATTCCCAAATCTAGATAATTCTCGTGTGCTTGCATGAGGATTAGCGGCCGTTGCTGCTAATACATTAATTTCATTATTACCACCTGTGACTGTTGCTCGACGAACTCTTTTTGTCGGTTGAACACTCCCGTTTGTAGTAAACTGCTTGACTGTACGGTGAAATGAAGTAAGTGATCGAATTTTATCCGGAAAACGCTGAGCGTAGATATTAACAGCATCATCAAGATTCCTGCCTGCTTCTTCATAAATCAAAATCATTTCTATTTTTTCTTCCACTGTTAAAAAATCCATTATGAATAACTGCTTAACGAAAGGAGGTCTTTTTGTTTGCAAATTAATCTTCGAACTAATTTTATTAAAAATAGTACAATAATTCTTTAAATTAAAGGATTTAATGCTGGCAGGTAAAAAGTGACCATGGTGCGCAATTGATAATTATCACCGAAAAATTGATTTTTTTTTCACTACAGCGCCATCTAATACAAATATAAAAAAAATTATAAATATATTTGGTAAAATAAAACTTGTTGGTTAAATAATAAAAACCTAAATTCTTTAAATAAAAAAAAACGAAAATGATAAAATATTATGAAATTTTTTATTACGTTTACGTTTTTTAAAATAATCTCGCTAATGTAAAAATAACCAAGAAAACTTATTTTTACCATGGAATCACCCTTATCTCGTTTTCAACTCATTATTGTGACACTTCTCTGCGATTTACTTAACAAATTAATCATTAAAGCTCAGGGCCGGCTTAAGGCAATTCTGCGCCCTAGGCACTTAAAATTTGGCGCCTATTACTAGATACTATACTTACGGGGCCCAGGGCAAATTTTAGAAAAGCTTATCAGAGACACCCCAATCTGTTATCTTAAGGGCGCCCGGGCTTACTAACCAAATTATCCCGTATGAATTAAAATACTTTTATCAAAAACTAGGTTTATTAAAAACATAAATAACATACAAACATAATAAATATAATGTTCATAAAAAGTGTAAATGTTAAAATTTATAAGTGCATTTTTCTGCAAAGAATTGCAAGATGTCATTACCCAAGTAGCACAACTGGTTAAATAACTAGCATTCTAAGTAAAATAACCAACATCAAAGTAAAATAACGGTTTTTTAAACATGTTTTTTAACCAATTAGTTGTATTCAACCATTAACATTTTTTTAAGGTTACTATTAACTAAAAAATAACCCTTTACATTTACCTACTGGTTGCTATAACCTTAAGGTAAATTCAAAGGTTATTGTTTAGCATAATGTAACTAATAAAACAAACCTTGATAATATTACTAACTATTTAAATATTTGGTTTATAGGTAAATAAAGGTTATTTTAAGAGTTTAAATTGACTATAAATAAACCAAATATTTAACTAGTTAGTAATATTACTTATAAGTTAAAAAGTAGGTTATTTTAGAAGTTACATAAAGTTATATTAACTTCTAACTTCTGACATTTAAAAATGGTTGAGAGTAGTTATTTTTTAGACATATTTTGGTTTAGTCTATAAGTAATATAGTTTGGTTTTTTAATCATGACCCTCACGTGACATATGTAAGGATATAGCTCAGACATTCGTATTGTATTTCCACGCCGCAGGACCACTGGGACGTAGCATATAGCGATAGATAAACGTATGTCTAATAATATCACAACATACGTTCTTTATGTTTATATTTTTATAATAATGGGATCGACAAAGATAGCTAAATGCACAAATGTCTACAAAACTTTGACAGCCTGTCATCATTGGTGTACTTTTTTAATATTTTCCATAATTTGCGTATTTAAATTTAGATGAAACTTAGATATTTGCTAAAGGAAGCCATACAAGATCCTGGCAAGACTCATCCACAAAAAGTGTACGCAAACCAGAAGGTTATGATGGAAAACGTTTCATTGTGTTGCATGCTGGTAATGAAAAAGGTTTTTTTTGCGATGCCGCATTGGTTTACTCCACGAGGTCAAAACTGGCGGATTATCATGGTGATATGAACTCAAAATTTTTTTTGAAATGGTTGCAAGAACAATTCATCCCAAATTTACAGGAACCTTCTCTAATTATAATGGACAACGCGTCTTACCATAGCGTCTTAATGGAAAAACAACCAACGGTTTCATGGACTAAAAACAAAATTAAGGAATGGTTGAAAGAAAATAATATACCATTAAATAATGATATGTTCAAAGTAGAACTTTTAAATTTAGCCAAGAAACATAAAAAACCAATACGATATAAGGTTGATGAATTGCTACAAGAAAATGGACATGAAGCTTTAAGATTGCCCCTGTACCATTGTCAATTTAACGCAATTAAAATGGTATGGGCCGATGCAAAGGATTATTATAATAAACATATTGGTGAAGATGGCTACATTGCCATATGGCAATGATAAAGTGCTTACTATGTGGGAACGGGCATTACAAAAAGTTACTCCAGAAAGTCAAAAATAGCACACACTGAAAAAATTATAGAGAAATGGTACAATTAAGAAAGAATCTTGGACGATGATCATCGTCATGAAATGATAATCCACATTGGTAACGTCAACGACGATGAATCGGAAGATGATAGCGATTAAGATATCTTATATATAAATATTAACATATTAATAGGTTAAAAATAGATCCTTTTAATGCAGTTAAGAGCATTTATCATTAAATTATTAAATAAACCAATTTTTTTCAGAGTATATTGCATTTTACTATTAAACAAAAATTAGACGTCTTATTTTTGTCTCCATTTGAGCTTATTGGTGTGTGCAATCTCCACAACTAAATGATTATCTAAAATAATATCTTAACCATTGTGCATTATACAAATATTAATATTTCCAAATTAATTAACATACATATTTTGAAAATTTGCAAAGTATAGGGAATTTTTTAGTAGTAGAATAGGTACCTTTAATTTTCTCCACGCAGAATGGGTAACGCAAACTATATAATTTAAAATTACAATAATGTAATATATATAAATTACAACGTTTCATTTAATAATATAATTACATAAGAGTTACTGTTTTAATAAATTTGCACGTTCAAATGAAGGATTTAAGTTAAAACGAATCATAATATGGTTTAAGCCAGGCAAAATACGATTCTCATATTTTGATTCGCAACCCAAAGCACAAACGTGTATAATGGACTGCATACGTATACAACATTTCGAACTCCAAATAAAACTCCACGATACGCCACTGATTTTGCCCTCGATTTGATTCAGTTGCTTGACATTGTTGCCGTAGGGCTCATGACTTAAAAATTCAACTATATCTATATATATTCTCTTAAAATGAAAAAGTCAAAAATGACTAATTATAAGTCATATTTGACTTATTGTCATAGCGACAGCAGTCACTAATAATTAGTCAAATTATACCCACTGAACCAGTCAAATTAGTAAATTTAAGAAGTTTTGACCCAGCTGAGGTTTGAACTCGGCTCTCTAACTTGTCAAACGGATGTCCAAAAGCTGCACCACTGCTACTTTTTTAAAACTTTGTTATATCTGTCAATCAATATTGTTAATAATATATAAAAGTTGAATATATTTTTTGTGTTGCTGTTTGGAGCTAAACTTTTAGCATCTTTGTTTTTATGGGCCATTTAACCATGGAGCCTATATGCATTTAACGCTAACAATAATTTGTTGTTGGCCGCAAAAATTAAAAACGATTAAAGAAATTAGTTACTTATTCCTTTTCGAAACAGTAAAAGATCTTAAATTATTTAAACTTTAACCATTTAAGTAGTAAAAAATAACTATTTAAAAGTGAAAATGACTATTTTAGTAGTAAACAATGCTGATACTAATTTAAATAATAGAATCTTGACTATTTCATTTCAAGAGTACATAACCATTTTTGGTAAATTATAATTATATAGTTAAAATAAACTTAAACTGGTTAATTAGGTAAACTTTAAGTTGACTTAGGGCCGGTTTATCAATGTCCAGTTAAAGTTGCAGTTAGTTATCTGGCAGATAATCTCCATGGATACCATTCTTCTCACAACGATCGATATGGAATTTAACTGTCAGATAGACCAACTGGAACTAAACCAGATATTGATAAACCGGCCCTTAATAGTTAAAAAGTAGTTAAAAAAGGGTAAACTAAACCAAATACTACCAAATATTAAAAAACACCTTGAAAAAGTGAATTTGCGGCAAGCTTTTGTCTTTTGTCGGCTTTACACCGCGATTTTACAAAGCACGCCACATTTTTATAAAATGATAAAAACAGTAAAGAATATATTATTTTCATAATTGTATAATGTTATTTTTTTTTTTGAGAATTTTTATGTTTTAGTTGGTTGGGGACAATGCGCCTATTTCTTCGTGGCGCCTAAGGCAATTGCCTTGCCTGCCTAATGGGTAATATGGCCCTGTTAAAGCTGTTTATCCAAAGCTGATTAAATAAAAATCATATTGTTATTATCGCGACTATTTTATTTTTTTCAGAGTTTGGAAAGTTCCAGTACGTCCTTCTTCTATGCAGCGGAATTGTTTACGCCACGTGTGCGATCAGCACGACCACGCTGTCATTTGTTTTGCCCTCGGCCGAGTGCGATTTCGATCTCAAATCGGCCGACAAGGGAAAATTATCTGCCATGCCTCTGATAGGTAGGAAAATAACTTGTTTTGTCTAGTTTTTTTAGAATAACAAATAACAACTGTTGTTTATCGACCTCAGCATTTTTTATTCATAAAACTGCAATATTAAAAAAAAGTAAACAAAAACAATTTTGCGAATTCTAAAACTTGAAACTTTAAAATATCTCAGTTAACTCTTTTTTCGGTTGAACACTCCCGTTTGTAGTAAACTGCTCGACTGTACGGTGAAATGAAGTACGTGATCGAATTTTATCCGGAAAACGCTGAGCGTAGATATTAACAGCATCATCAAGATTCCTGCCTGCTTCTCCATAAATCAAAATCATTTCTATTTTTTATCCACTGTTAAAAAATCCATTATGAATAACTGCTTAACGAAAGGAAGTCTTTTTGTTTGTAAATTAATCTTCGAACTAAATTGATTAAATAATGCTAAACTATAAATAGTTTCTTTATACCTCAATAATAATTATTATTTCTAACTAAATACCATTTTTTTATACCTCAATTAGGATTTAATTAATTAATTTACAAAATAATGTTTTTTTTTACCTTGAGGTAGTACAATAATTCTTTAAATTAGGATTTAATGCTGGCAGGTAAAAAGTGACCATGGTGCGCAATTGATAATTATCACCGAATGAAATAATGTATAAAATTTAAACCAAAGGAAACTTAAATATTGCTTAAAAAATCGTTGGTACTTAAAAAATCAAATTTAATTTAATAAGATTATTATTACCAAAAAAGTGATATTTTTATAGAAAAATTATTGTACAATCGTATACAGAAGAAAAATCGAGCAAAATTGATTTTTTTTCATTGGAAATTTTAGTACTTATCGATTTCCCCCTCGAATCATTTAATTTTTTTCGTAAAATGCATACTAACTGAGATATTTTAAAGTTACAAGTTAAATGACCCACCCTGTATATCATAACTTTTGTTCATGCAGTCTGTTAGAATAACAAAATAACAAACAAGTCATTCATGCATGAATTTTGCCATGGCAAAATTTTATTGTTAATTAATTTAAATCTATTATTTCTAAAGTAAACATTTTCCAAATTAAAAATGATACTTTAGGAGACCTTTGACATTAAAAAAAACATTTTTGAGATATTTTTTAATCAAAGTTCAAAATATCGAAATTTGTAGTGATCCAGCAATATGCACTTTTCTACCTTTTGGGCTGATAATTTCGGAGATATTAATTTTTAAAAGTAAAATATTTATAGTTTTTAATAATGTTTTGATGTTTTCTAATTTTTGTTAAAAGACTTTTTAATGGTGCTATGATAAAATTAAAAAGTGTTTATAGAAAAAATATTCATAAATTTTTTTAAAATATTTCATTCAAGGTCAAACTTTTTTAGCTTTAGTTTAGTAATTCTCATATGATGTGGTAATAAAACTAGAACAAAACAAGAAGTTGTTAAAAAAATATATCAGCATAACAAGATAAAATTGTAGTTATTTTTCAAAATATACAGCGATTTTAATAACTTAAAAAATTCGTTTTTATGACAAAAATTGAGGTCGAAAATTTACATATCGTCCTGGAAAGGTTTCAATCAAACAGATAACACTTTAAATTTTTTTTCGTGAAGTTGATATTTTTACAAAAGAAACAAGCCAATGTTAATAAAAATACATGGAAAAATGACGAAGTTATGAATTTTTTAGGGGAAGACCAAATTCAGCTTTTTAACGATTTTTATTTTATTTTTTTCTTTTATTTTTTAATATGTTTATTCTTTAATGAAAACCTAAATAAAGTGCATGATTGGAATTCTTTGAGTTTTTAACGTACTTTTTTCACAAACATTCAAAATTTAAATTTGACATGACTCCGCAAACGTGAATTCTTTTGTTTCTCGTGTTGTCATAGTGACATTTTACTGCTATTTTTTGATATTTTGACAAGGTAAACGTAAAAATTCTCGAAAAACTGAATTTTGGTCTTCCACTAAAAAATTCATAACTTCGCCATTTATCCATGGATTTTTATCAACAGCAGCTTATTTTTTTCCTTTAAGTATAATCTATACGTTAAATATACTTTTTCAACTTCATAAAATCGCCAGTATCGAACTACTGAGCCGATACCAAAACTATACAAGAGAAAGTTGTACACAGTAAAAAAATCAACTCTAAGCAACACTAATTAGAGTTCACACAGGTCCACACTAAATAGTGTTGTTTTATAACACTACAATTAGAGTTAATTTGTAGTGTAATTTTCTCCAAGTAAGCAAGTATGATTTAACACTATAGCACTGAGGATAAAGTAATTTTACACTGTATTAAAAAGTGTTAATTTACCTAAAATCGTGTAGTTCTACACTTCCTGGGTAAAATCCCACTTTTGTTCAGTGTATAAATTAACACTACTTTACTCTTTTAGTGCAAACTTCTAGTGTAAATTAACACCATTATTTGAGTAAAACCTATTTGTGGCAGTGAATAAAACGAAAAGGTAAATAAAGAGAAACATTTATTTGGAACAAAAATCTATGACAATTATCAAAATCGGTGCCTTTTAAAATATAATTTTATATTTGAGTCGTATGGCTGGTTTAAGCAAAATGGTTCCTTAAAACGTTAAAGTTTTAGATCAATGCAATGGTTTACTGGCTGTCAACTTGTAAGCAATGAATTATCTTTAGAATTCATCAGTAATCCATTTTTCTGTTATAAAAAATGGGTGATCCCATTGGTAGAGAGGCGTCAGGCGGCTGTATGTCGGGGATTTACCACACGTGTACAAATTTTCCATAATACTAATAAAAATGTAGGTATAGGTTAATATGACAAATCAAGTGTGTATGTATTTATATTATTAATGTTACAAGTACCCGACCTACTGCCGTAAATTATTGATATATGTATAATATAGGTCGGGTATGGACATCCTTTTAACATATTGGTATTTATTGAGTATTAAGGCTTAAAGAAAAAGGAAGTATAATACTTACCAAAAAATAAGAATGTCCCTTTAGTGTAGTGTACATTTTGTCACTATTTAACACATTAAGGGATAATAAACACTCGCATTAAGTTTTTCTACCCTTTTGATTTATTTTAATAATAAATAGTGTGAATGTACTAATGAATAATGTTCATATTCTTTAAATGTGTTTAATAAAGTTAATAAGCAATAAATGCTACCTAGTGTATTTTGTAGTGTAACTTTTACACTTACAAATCAACTCTAATATTTTTACCCCTACACTAAAAAATTTACACGGGCACAATTTTTTACTGTGTAGTTTTTGAGATATAGTCAACTCCATATTAAATGGAAAATTGACTATATCTCAAAAATATTGCTGAATTCAGAATTTCAATTCATCTATTCTTCAAAAAAACACCAAAAATAATAATAAAAAAAATTATTTTCAGGAATGGTTTTTGGCTGCAGCATTTGGGGCTCAATTGCTAATGCTAAAGGCAGAAGAATAGCCCTAATGCTGTCTTTATTGATAGACTTCGTGGCAGCTGTAAGCTCATCGATGGCCCAAACTATAAATGTATTTTTGGTGTGCAGATTTTTTAACGGTTTTGGGTAAGTAAATAATAAAAAAAAATTGAGGAATTTTTATGTTTTTGTATGTTTAGTATTATTGGAGCTACGAGTTTGATATTCTCATATTTGGGAGAGTTTCTGTCAAAAAAACACACGGACAAAATGTTGGGAAAATTGGAGATATTTTGGAATATCGGCATCATTTTATTACCAGGTAATTTTTTAAATATTGTGTATTACAAATTAAAAAGGCTATAGTATGTCTAAATCAGTGGCGGCTCGTCAGGGTTTTACCTATTACAAGTGTACTATTACTACAGTTCTACACCATTAAAAGTAAAAAAATCAACACACTACACCGTAACTTTTATAATATATCATAACTTTTAATATTTTTTTTATTAAACGCACTAAAATTCCATTGAAAGTGAAACTTGGCTAAATGTGTTTAGCATGGAAAACTTTAATGATGCCTTATAAACTATTTTGAGAATAATTTTCCTGAAAGAAAATATTACTTAAATCAAAAACAAAAAAGTTGGGTAAATGATGGTGTCTAGTAGGAAGTTCCGTGACCTTCTTTGTTTAAAAATCACAAATCCGAACCTCAATGAAATTTATAAATTTGCCAAGCGAACTCATAATTGTTAATTTATTTTATTATAGTATTATTGTGCTTAATCCTTATCATCGTCGTACGACTTCTTTCCGCTATACCCATAGATATCTACCAATGGTCTAGATTTGCAATTACTTGGTGAAATCGTTCTCCATGTTCATCAGTTCTGCAAATTTATCAGGAAGAAAAATAAGGAAAATGTATTTTAAATGACATATCAACGCTAATTCTTTGCAAAGCGGAGAGCGTTTTTTCAATGAATTGGCGCCAATTTTGGGTCCGATATGAACTTTGAGAGCATTTTGAATGCTTGATCTTTCTTTAAACGTCGGATATCAGGTTCATTTAATATTTCTAGTAGTAGGTATATCTCATAATGTTTTGTAATGTTGGTTTTTCTTGGGCGTAAAGGTACCGCAACAAAAACAAAACAAATTTACAACGACGACATAAATGTTCGTCTCCTTTCTCTTTCTCTGCCACTTTCAATAACACTTCCATTTCCTGCTCTTTTTTCATTTTTGGTTCTTAAAATCACTTTCAAGTAAAAATACAATTTAAAGTTTAAATTTTAAATGTCAATAATTAATAGATGCACTTGTGCTTGAACTATAAAGTAGATAAAGAAGCCTTTATACTTCAATTCGATATTAAATTTTGATAAGACTTAATAAATAAGATTCGAGATTAGATTTTTGGGTACTTCAGGCATGATGTGAATAAAAACATATCAAATAATAGTCGAAGAGTAATGCTTATAGCGAAACCCTTTTATTTTGTTGCCTTTTCAATTTAATTAGTAATTAAAAAAACGACACAAAAATTTTAAAAATTACCAAAAACCATTATAATTTTAGTTTTGGTATTTAATAAAGCTATAGTATACGGCTACAATGGAACAAACAAAATTTTTATTTGACATTTATCTACCGATGACTTTGTATGGAGTATTTAAGGCAAAATAATTTAATAAATAATCAAAATATTAACAACAACTTACATTTTAAGATAATTGGGCAACGCATTTACGCAATTATTTCGAATCCTAGACGTCCTGGAGCAAAACGAGTGGCATTTTTTAAATCAGCAGCCCAAAATTAGGTAATATAGTCAATGTTAGTAAATCGAACTATCATAGTGTTTTTAATCAGAGCCCCGACCACTTTTAAAAAAAGTCAGAAAAAGTCCTTAAAAAGTAAGAAAAAAGCATAATTTTTTTTTAAACAAGGTTTTTCTTACTTTTTACCCTTTTGAAGGTACCCCAAAGTTTCAGATTTTTAAATTAATTTAATCAGAAAAATTCCTTAAAAGGTAAGAAAGAACCATAATTTTTATTTAAAACAAGGTTTTAACTTACTTTTTTACCCTTCTGGAGTACCTTCTTAAAAAAAAACAGAAAAATTCCTTAAAAGGTAGAGATTCAGATTTTTAAATAAATTTTTAATCCATATAAATACAAGGTGTGTTCAGAAAATATCGGGAATTTTCGTTTTTTGAAACAAATGATTATTTATTCGTCTACATTATTGTTGTTCAGAATAGTCCCCATCGGATATTATGCACATGTGCCAGCTCTTCTTCCAATACTCGAAACACTTCTAAAACTCGATCTTTGGGATAGCCTTTAGTTCTTTCAGCGATGCGCTTTTAATGTCATTTATGCTTGCAAAACGACGGCCCTTTAAGGTTCTCTTTATTTTTGGGAATAGGAAAAAGTCAGAAAGAGGCATGTCTGGCGAATATGGAGGCTGGGGCATCATTACAGTATTGTTTTTGGCCAAAAATGTTGTTCAAAATTTAACAATTTTAGAACAAATTTTGCTGCCACGCGTTTCATACCCAAAACATTCGAAAAAATTTCATGGGATGAGCCAATCGATATACCAACATCATCAGCGACTTCTCTGATGGTTTATAACCATTTCTTCCACTTTTTCCATATTTTTATCGGTTGTTAATGCGCTTGTGCGTTCGGGGCGTTCGTCATCTTCAACGTCTTCACGGCCATCTTGGAAACTCTTAAAGCCGGGTCCAGATTAATAAATTTGTGTGTTGAATGTTGTTTGTTGAATTCCACAAAAATATTTGCGGCGCAAATATTTTTTTATTGTGATTTTGTCGAGCAAATTTGTGCGTTGTGTTGGTGTATCTATTGCGATCCATTTTCGTGCATCGTGCGTAGTTGGTAAATAAAAGTGGTGTTTATATTTGCATTTATCAAGAATTTGTGATTAAAATAATATTAGTTTTGTTGTCCAATGACGTCTGTTTTCCATTTTCTTTCTTATTATTATTATTTTGTTGTAGGTAATTCAGAATTATAAAAACCGCGCACTTCTTTTTACTAATAAGTTGGGAGGACATGATGGCACCCAAATAATAACTATATATAGGTAGACGATACCAAAGATAATCCTACCTATTTATCTTTTTTGACAAAAATATTTCAAAAACCAACTAAAAAATATTCAAATCCACATTAAAACAAGTACTTGAGGGTCGTTCGACGCAAATCTCTTTGAAGTTGGCAGAGAAACCGACAGACCTGTGGATAGCGTGTGTTGTATCTGGCGAAAATATTTGGGTGTTTTTTGTGCGGCGCACAGTCCACATCTATAAATATTCTGGCGAACACGAGCAAATTTGCGTCAAATACAACGAACAACGTAAATATTTAGTCCACATCAATAACCAATATACTTGTAAACTTTTGTTTTACTTATAGCAGACTCAATATAGGCCTTTTTTAACATTTCACAGAATTTATTTAATTTTTTAAGCAAAATTGGATACAAATTCTTTGATCTATTTCTTTTAACGAACGAAAAATCGCCGGGCTCATAAAACACGTCTAACCTTAGCGGCTGCCACAGACAAAGTAAACAATGAAAACAGCTAAAGTTTTTATCATACTTCGGGGGCATGTATACCAACATAATAAAGAAAATTTTATGACAACCGGACCCTCCGAACCCGCGAAATTTAACAACTCCCGTTATTAAAGTTTTAAAAAACGAATTTGGAGTTTCGCAATTTGAGTTAAGATTGCTTTGATACTTTCTTTGTTTTGTTTAGTTTATTTTTTTTATTTATAATTTTTAAGTAGGGCTGTCGGCCATTTCAAAAAAGGTCAACGCGTCGCAGAATAATACCTTCCGGGTGACTCACGAGCCGCCACTGGTCTAAAATCAAATTGATTTTGACGAATAAAATTTTACAAAAACATTTTGTGTTCTTTGAACAAGCACTATGCTGCAGCCTTTACCAATAAAACAAACAATTAAAACAAAAACTCAAAGAAAAAACCCAAACTCAATAGGATTTCTCTTTTTGTGCTGAGTAGGAACTAATCTGGCCCATATAAAAGTCATAAAGTCAGAGAAGAGCGTCTATCAGCGCACGACACGTCGCGACGTGGGGAGAGACAAGCCTACCAACGTAACCGAACCCCAAAACCAAAAAACCCCAACTAACCCCCCCGAAATTCTTTCTAGGAGTCGCGTTCTCGCTGCTGAGGAGATCTGCTTTGGAGACGTTCAAGCTGTACGATTTCAGCCCGTGGAGGATTTTCGTGCTGATTTGCGGGGTGCCCAGTCTGCTCAGCATCGTCGTGCTGTGGTTTTTGCCCGAGACCCCCAAATATCTGATCTCCAAGGGGAGATTTGAGGAGGCGAGGAACGTTTTCCAGGGTATCTTCAAGTGGAATACCGGGCAGTCCACGAGTTTGTATCCTGTAAGTATACTATCGGTTGTAGCCCTGTTAATCCCGCATTCCCAGGTACACTGAAGGAAAAATCTAATACCTGTTATGAACAATATAATACCCTCTTATAAAATCGATATGCTGCTACCATAAAATGATGTTGTAGTGGATATAATCAAAATCTTAACTATAACTTCAGATTGCTATGTATATTTGAAAATTCTTAATAATTTAATGTAGTGGCTAATACTTTTTACAAACTCTGTGTATTCTCTTAATTAGCAATTTAGTTACTTTAATAAAATAGGTATGTCTTATAGACGAATTTATGCATTTTTCATAATAATTATTACCCTAGTAGCAATTTGGGAAAAGTCTTGTTCCAGCATGGGTCAAGATACTTGAAACAGATTGTTGATCAAGAATTGTACAAGAATTGGTCCAGATTCCTGATCAAGATCATTGGGCAAGACTTGGGCCAGACTGTGGCCAGAATTTGTCAAGAATTTGACCAGAAGTCTGAGGCCATCTGTTACTAAACTTAGGGACTATCCTATAGAGTAGAGATTCTCAAAAATTTCTATTCTCAAAAAAAAAATTCGACCAAATATCGTGTATATCATTTGATTCAGAATTTTACGCGATGAATTTCTGTGGTATCGAAAATTTAATGATTTTTTTTGTAAATTTTTTAAAAAATTAGTACTTTTCAAAACCATTTTCTTGAGCCAAGATTTTTATTTTCAGCTTGTCGTCTTTTCAGTTTCTCGCGTAAGTCTATCTCAAGACTCTGGGCCAAGAATCTGGTCAAATTCTGGTCAAAGACTGACCCAAGTCTGGAGCCAGTCGGGATAAAGAATCTTGGTCAAGTGTCTTGATCAAGAATTGTCAAATTGTGTATAAAGTGCTTCTTCAAGTATCTTGCTGGATAATCTTGCCCATTCCATTGCTACTTGCTGACAGGATAAGGGTCATTATATAAAAAGTTTAACTTTTATAAATTTTATACTTTTATTATAAAAAACAGGTACAAGAAATAAAACATAAATAAACATAATTAGACAGATATATAATAGTACAGAAGTAAATCAAAATTTTGCATGTCAAAACTTACAAAGAATGTCAAGGGAGAAAATAAAAATATTCCTACTTACAAAAACCCCACAGCGAGTCACTGAAATTTTTAAAATTATTATTTGGAAAATGTTTTCTTTTAATTTTTAGTAAGTAAAACTGTTTGTTTTTGTTTTGGGGGCTAGTTTTTAATAATTTTTATCATGATTTTTTATTAAAATTCCTTGAGTAAAACCATGATTTAAATCTTCAATTTTAATCAACTAATTAAATTAAAATCTCAACCTTATAAATTTCTGTTAAAACAAAGCTACTAGGTACTAAACTACCTATCTTTAAAACTATTATCCAATAAATGGTAAAAGAATACATTATTGGGGAATATAGGTTTTAGATATATGTAGGTGAGTACAGGGTGAACCAAGAAGGGGACTCATATACTTATCTCAGAAACTACTGTCCCAAAAAATGTGTAGAGAACACAAATTTATGTAGGTAGTATATTCTTAATATTATATTAACATTGTTATTATTTATTAATATAAAAAAATAAAATATAGGTTAATTTAGAATATAAATAATAAACAATTTGAAACCAAATGTTCCCATGTCCACACTTCTAAATAATGTTGTTCTTGATTGGTTAATTTTTACAATGTTTGCTTTTTTTTGTGACTACAGTAGTTTCTAAGATACCTAAGTAAATCCTTAAACCACGTTAATATATTATACTTATAAGTATATGGATCACCTTACGGAGTTTACCCTGTAAATTTACGTATATTATATAATGTAAAATTAATAAATTATTATAATGGGAATCAATAAAAACAGTTTTCGTGTACCTGCATCTGCGTCCACGTGCTCAGCTCATTGTGCTGCTCCAAGATCAAGGTATACACCTTTATTAAAGTAAGGCTTATACTCGTATCATGATGTATAATTAAATAATTACAAAAACTTACCCTTAACAATTGCCAGGTATTAGAGCCAGCAGATGTCACAACAAATAAACAAAACACTACAGTCACACACTTATTCCTCGCGGTCAGATCGCATCTCTCATATAGTGATCCCGCCAAAAAAATGCACCATGCGCATTTGCGTAATAGCTTGTACCATAGAGTATAAAGAGGACTATTAAACCGTACAAGACATATTCTTATAAAAAAATTATAAATTAAAATAAATGATATCTACAAGAAAACATTTCATAAACAATATACGTCTAGATTATAGCCAGTATTACAACAGGAATAAAATCAAAATTATAACAGTTACTACACAGCTTATTGTCATCATAAACGAATATGATTCTAACTAAGCATCCTCTTATTGTCTTTATGAAACTCGTCTTAACAATACTGGTTTATAGAAACATTTCTTTCAGTGTACTTGAAATATATTTTAACTTTACAGGTTTTAACTCTGGAGGGTGAATACGAAAACAATAACAACAAAGAAGAGTTTAAGTATCCCCTTAAATACAGACTTTACAAAAAATGCGGTGACATGGCAAGAAAAATAATTGATTTCTTTAGGCACTCTCAACTAAAATACTTGGGAGTGGTCAGTTTTGCCGACTTTGGCCTCATGGCAAGGTAAGAACATTTCTTCGATATGATGCAAAATGCATTTTTCCCCAAACCTTCTAGTACACTGAGAAAATAAACGCATTGAGTCAATATTCACTACACAGAAAAAACGCTTTGATATAGACAATAACAATGCTATCATTAATTGTTTTTTCATTTCTCCGATAAAAGTTAAAGTTTATTCAATCAAATATGTTTGGAGCAATTGAGGGTAAGGGATTGTTATTACAAATATTATATTCGGCCCATAACAAAATATTATCAAGTTAAAATTACTTGTTATAGTGTGAATTGCTCTTTATATTTAAACCTAATGGAAATGTGTACTTCCTTGAATATTTTAGAAATGATTGCATTCAAAGTTTATCTGATCAAGGTAAAATTAACAAAATTTAATTAAATATAAAATTGATTTATATTAAAAGTTATAATGCTTCGCCCAAAAATTAAAAACAAATGAAATAAGAATAGTCTTTGTTTCTTTTAATGTTTATGATTTTTATTCCAATGGAACCTAAGGTAAAGTAAGTTATTACTGTCTTACAGTGAATACCAATGTTTACACTGTCTTGAAAAATAGTTGTTATTTGCCCAATTATCATTCCAATTTTTTCAATGCGGCCGATATTCATTTTAATTATTGCTAAAATTCAGACAAATAGACCAAACATCGGCAACCTGCAATCGCGTACGTGCGTATAGTTAAATGTGATCAACTGATTAATCGGTATTTCTGGTGACGCCGATTGATGTAAGTGTATGGGTTAACCCATTATCTCTGGTGTAGGTAGTGTTTGGTTGTTTGTTATATTTGCTAATTTCTTGGGGGTTGTACTCCCTACTCCCGAATTTTCAAGGTAAGTTGTACATGTTTTTTAATTTATTTACTCAATTAAATCTAAATGATAACAAAAAGGTGAATGTGTATGGACACAGTTTATCTTGATATTCGATGTCATGCCTTAAAATGGCTATTTTGCTTAATTGGACGAAGTTTTATTTATTTATAAAAAAAACTTATCATAGTCTTTCAGTACCATCATGATATCCTTGCATGGCGTCCTGAAAGTATATTTTGCAATATTTAGGATTCGCCTCTAAATACATAAGATGAACTTCCTATTTTGTTTTAGAATAACCATGTGCAATGGCAGTCAAATCCTGCACATCCAGTACAGTAACTGTTGCTAGTGATGGGTCTGCAACTTTCTTAGAGCCTAATATCACCAACACTTCTAGTGGGTTCCTAATAGTTCCTACAGAAAACAGAACAATTTCATTTTATGGATCGAAAACCTGTGCACACAAGACTACCAGAAGCAGTTTCCAAAATTCATTTTATTTAAAGTTCATATAAATGTATTATACAACTAATATTTGCACAAGAATATACATATTGAAAGGAATTAGAAGTTTGATTGCATTTAATGTAGCCATTCATTAGAAACCATAACTTTAATTTATGCCAAAGATTTATTGTGGCTTTAATTAAATAACAATTTAACCCTTAACTAGTCGCGCAGGTGCACTGAGTGCTCCGTTTTAATTAAAACCTCTATAACTTTTTGTCGTTTTCTTGGAATTAAATGCCCTTTCCATGTAACCTATGACTGATGTGTCTACCATGCACTGTCGACGGCATATTCAGTTTAAACTACTAATTTCAAAGTTATGGACAGAAAACTTGAGATTGATTTAGAAATACTTCACTAAAACGTAACTAAATTTCAATTTTTGCAATGTAAAATATTTCTAAATCAACAAAATATGGAATTTAAAACCTAATGGTTTTTAAGGTATACATTTTTCTAAGAATACACAAATAAAAATAGAACGGCTAAATTTCATTCTGATTTCTTCTTTTCTGAGTAACATTTTTGTTTGTTTTATTTTTTGTTATTTGCTTTTTGTTTCTTTTTAAAATAAATATTGTGTTTTAATAAAAATAGAGTTAATTCATCCGAATATAGGCAAAAGTAATATTAAAATTGAAAACATTCAGCAATATAGCCATTTTAAGGAGCGGAGCACTTAGTGCACCGCGCGACCACTTATGTTACAAAAATTGGCGCGAGTAGTTAAGGGTTAATTCAATAATTTCTTATGTTCATGATCATTTATTTGATCATAGCTGTAATTCAGGTATTGCAAATACAGTACACCATTGGCTCAATGTTTAACCCATTCACAATATGAAAGCTTTTTTTCTGTGTACTAAATAACAGATGGTCATGTATTTCGGTTAATTGAGAAAACTCATAATGTTTCTAAATGGTAAATATCTTAGCTTGACTACTCTGAATATACTGTTTAGGCACATTATCGCATCACCTTACATTTGTCAACCAATTACATACATGTATTAGGAGCAATTTTTTTTTTCTTAGTGTACATTTAACATGGCTAATTTGCATAAAAAATAATCTAAAAAAATTTTTTTTAGTTATTTTACTCTTATTATGTGGTTTCCGGAAATTTTCGAACGTTTCAATGAGTCCGAGAAACAACATCCCAACAAAACAGCCACCGTTTGTTCAGTTTCTAGTATTAATAGTAGTTTAAATAACACTCAAATTTATTGGGAGGAAATTTGTGATCCAACCATTGGTAATAGAGTATTTTTGGAAACAACCATTATTGGTCTAAGTTGTATACCAACTTCGCTGACCTTGAGTTTCTTGATGGAGAAACTTGGAAAGAAAACAGTATTAGGTAAAGGTTTATAACACTAGTTTACAACTATTTTGCCCACCATGTCTCACTATGATTTTCTTGTGTAGTTTGCCTCACTAAACGCGAAAATCACACTTAAAATTTTTTCCATGGAAGCGTTTTCGAGATATGAATTTTCAATTGTTTTTTTTTTTAATTTTCTGAGGTGTTTTGACGTTTTAGAGTATACTTCGAGTTCTAAATGATCGATTTGACCAAAGAAGCACTACAACTTTCAAGCTATACTCAAAAACGTCAAAACCCCTCCGAAAATTAAAAAAAAAAAAATTGAAAATTTAAATTTTAAAAACGTTTCCATAAAAAAAAATTGAGTGTGATTTTCTTGTTTGTGGGTCAAAATAAATTGGAAAATTATAATGGGATATGGTGGGCAGAATTTTTTTTCGATTTTGTAAACTAGTGTAATTTGTTGTAATTTTATGTTTTATTTTAGTTTTGAGTCTCATATTGTCTGGTATATCTACCATAGCTTTACTATGTGTCCAATCTGCCATCCATACATTAATAGTTTCTTGTATCTTTGAAGCTTTAACCAGTATTTTAGAATCCGTTCTGTTTTGCATTGTTGTGGACATTTTTCCCACCAATATAAGGTACAATACAATGGAGTACAAAGATTTTCAAAATTTTAAATTTTTTTGAAACTTTATGCTAAGAAAAATTTACTTACAATTCCAATTTTCTATTTTAGAGCAATTGCTTTATCCATAACAGCAACATCTGGAAGGTTGGGTGCCATTTTTGGAAATGTTATATTTGGTCTCCTCATAGATAAAGACTGCATAATACCAATTTATTTATTTGGTTTTATGTTAATTTTTAGCGGCATTCTTTGCCTAATATTACCAAAAACCGATAAATACATACCCATAGAATGAAGGATGGATATACAGGGTGTTTCAACAGAAACTTGAATTAAAAAAAAATCAAGTTTTTGTTAAAATTAAATGGTTTTTTGACTGAAGCAACTAAATGTGATTATTAAAGATTACGTTTAAGTATTTTTTATAAAAAAAATATTTGTATACTGGAATATTAGAAAATAGTGGAGATATTATTATTTTATCTAATTAAATTTATTTTATTTATTGATATATTAGTACACGGCTTTTATGAAAATAAAATCGTTTTTCCTAAACATGTTTTTTATTTAATAATAAAAATCAAACTTGTATTCTACAATTATAATAATTATTATAAATATCACCGTTACATATTTACACTTATTTATATCGAATTATGTTATACTTTTTGTGTCTGTATTGGGTAAAATGGTGGATAAAACGACAGCCCCTATAATTAAAAAAAATTATTATAAACAAGTTAAAAATACATTAAATTTGTTACCTATTAGTAAACAGCCCAACAACAAAAATGGAGGTATACAACCAGTTTGTAGTAAGAATGGAAAAACTAAATTCCCTGTTATGGAACCAAACTTTCCAAATATGGAGATTACTGATAAAGCTGATGCTCTGAAAATGTTTTTTATACAGAATATTTTTATTTAACAGTATATATTGTTAATTTTAGCCCCGCGTATTTTTTGTGTAGCACAAACCCCTTTTTTGACTTCTTACCTTATTGATGTGGGAAAAATTACCACCACTATAGTAATAATTACGTCTACACATAAATTGGTTAGAGCTAGAGACAATGATGAAAGTGCCAAAATTGTTTCTGTGTTTGGAGATAAAAATAGACATATTACAAACGTTCCGGCGGTTAGACCACATGTAACTAAAAAAAGAAAAAATAGTTTAAAATATAATATCGTTTAAAGTAAGGATAACATTTTAGTTATTTTATTTTAAAATTTCGGTCAGGTATACTTAATAGAAGTCTTATATGGTTAAGCAACCAGTGGCGGCCCGTCAGGGGATGCAGTGCTTCATCATAGAGAATTAAAAAATTAAGTATAATTTAAATATTTTACTTTCTATAACATACTATAAATTTTTAATATTTGGATTCCATGAATTGTGAAATAGTCAATAAAATTAATTGATTTTATACGTGGAATACCCAGAAACATTTAAATTATTTGAATTTGAAACCAACGCAATTTAAACTAATATTTATAGCTGGATGATTGGCTCAGAAGCATGCCTGAACTAATTTAGACTCACGATTGGCGTTAGCCTTGTTGTCTCGTTCTATTACAATGCGATATCATAGTTGTCTCCTTCTCTCGTATTAGCATACGCGAGGCAGGCTCGCCTACATCCAAGAAAATAAGCAGGTGTTGAGGCAACACTGTTGCGGAATTTTAGATAAATTATACTTCACACGTTTTTCAAAATTCAATAATAAATGGTTTTATTTTTCTTATAATAAATCGATTTAATCGAAATTATATTTCTATTCTAAAATAAACATATTTTAACACTATCGCCATCTTGAAGCCATCACAGTAACCAATAAAATAAATACAGATTCCTTCTTTAGGTTTGTTTTGGTTATAAAATTCTGAACTGTTTAAAGAACAAATCTGTGGTTATTTACGCAATATTTTGTTTTTTCTTTTTCTATGAGTTTGTCTATTTTATGATTCTTTTGTAAGTGGTTTATCATGTGGGTTTAGTTAATTGAACTTGGTGATTTATGTGAATTCATTATGGATAACAATGAAATATTAATTAGACAAAAATGAGGTTTATTTAAAACAAACGTCATTTTTACAATAAAATATATTTTATTGACAAAGTGAAATGTCACGGGCCGCCACTGTAAGCAACCCAAGTAAAACCAAATATTATATCAAAGCTTTATCATAGTCTTTGAAAAGATATTTAAATATAATTATTAGTAGGTTATTTAAACTGCTTTAAGCAATTGCTGTTATCTTACGTATAATTTTCTTTTTTTCAAATCTGTTTATTATAAACATTGCAGAAACATATCCAACGAAAGCCACCATTCCTATCACCATAGATCTTAAATAAACAGCCAAATTGTTATCATTGTTCTAAAAAAAAAAATTAAAGTAGCATAAGGTTAAATAATTGTTAATTTTATTTTTTAAAAAGTTTTAAAACATCACGTGTACGTACAACACTGCAAGTTGTTGATAAATTTTCTTCATTGGACGCTTGTTTTATAATTTCAAGCAAATCGCAAATTGATGATGATGTTGCGTTATTTTTTATTTCGTTTTCGTGTATGGCTTGGAAGATTTGGGGTAGCCACAGACGAAGAGTGTTTACACTAAAAATAATTTTTGTGAGACAAAATATTTTTTGATATATGGGTGAATCTCACGAAATGTCCCCCGTGATATTTAATAAAACTAAATGAGTTTGACCCAGTGGCGGCTCGTCAGGGTAGGCCTCTGAGGCCGCGCCTCACCCTTAAAATGAAGGAACGAACGACTTTTTGTATTTATATTTTTGCCTATTACAAGTGTATTTTTACAACAGTTCTACCCAATAAAAAGTAAAAAACCAATCAATAATATTAAGCGTAAATAAAAATCCAGGCGCAAAGCGCGTCAAGTTAACGTGCATCGTTGAGAGTCGCTTGTTGTATGTATCTTGGCTTGGACAGAGGCGAAATTTTCACAGCCTCGGAAGCTCCCATTTACGTCTTGAAAGCGAAAATGACTCACCAACAAAAATATCGCCGTAAGTTCGCGAATAAACACCGTAGATGAGGCGAAATTTAGTTAGCTTGGTTTGTTCTGATTGGTGGTCCGTTTATGGTGGGATGCCAGCGGAGACGAAGAAGGTTGCCAGTCTTCTCTTAGCGTTTGTAGAGCACGTTATTGTTTTGATTCAGATTAAATTATTTAAAACTTTTGGCTGATCTTTTATAGTTTTTGTCTCGATTAGTAAAATTTCTTATTTAATTATTGTAGGGAACACACTAAGGAAGATTTAGCAGTTTTTATTAAGCAAATTTTATATTTTGAATTAATAGATTGCATAATTCTTCAATTAGAGACGCGGTTTGAAAATTTAGAATTACTTTTAAATCTCACTGCAGACCCACAATTTTACGACCAAATAATAGATAAATTTTCAATCTTAAAAGATAGACGTATAGTATTTTATATTTTTTAATACTTAGGTAGGGGTCGACTTTTTAGTTTTATTTTTATTTTTTGATTAATTTATTTATTTTTAACTTTTTTAAGACTATTTTTTAAGTTTAAGATTAAAACTAGTCTTTGATGTGATATTTTGTTTGTTTTGTTTTTTAGAGTTTATTTTTTGGTTTAGTAGTGCTATCGGCTCCATTTTAAAAAAGGTCAACGCGTCGGAGAATAATACCTCCCGGGTGACGTGGAAATTTATTCGTATTTAGACAAAATTAACCTTATGTAGCCTCACCCTCCTGTACACCCACGAGCCGCCACTGGTTTGACCTACACTTTTATTGTGTTTTGATCTTTCATAAATAAGTAGATATTACAGGTCAGGTTCCAGATTTTTAACCGAATGTTTTAAAAGTCTAAAACCTATCCTCCGTGACTGTTACTCTTTCTAGAATAACCTATATGTTTTCAAATATCTGAGGTAGTAAAAACATATTAAAAATATCAGTTCACTAAGTAAATTAAACACATCCAAAGCAATCGAATCAAATAAAAAAATTATTGAAAATGAAAAGAAATAATTTTATAACCATTTATGTAGGTGTTTCAAAAATTGATTCTATCCTCCGTGAATCTGTTTTTGCTTTAAATTTTATGCAACGGATGACGCTTTAAAATCATTTTAAATAGGCAAAAACCTCTGTTTACGACATTATAGATGCATGTGATTCCTGAAGGTCAGTTAGAATTTATATGCAGATGAGAGTGTTGCTGTTTTATAATTCAAAAGTTTAATTTCATTAATTTGCTATTTAAAAACCTATCCACCGTAAAGTGTTATATCTCAGTAAGTAGATTTTTATTTTATGTATGTACAATTGTATTTTTAAAAAATATTAAGGTGTCAACAGGTACAATATCTTATTTCAAATATACAAAGGAATGTTTAAAAAAACGAAATCCTAACCTCCGTGAAGCTATCTTCCGTGAAGCTCTAATATTCAAAATAATCATTTTCACTTGAGGGACATCTCAATATATTCACTCATATCCAAAGAGTTTATCTTTAATTTTCTTTAGCCTCGTATAACCCACCTTAGCATAATGCATATATTCATGAGACAAACTATGAGCAAGTTTTTCAAATAGGGATTTTTTATCAATAATAAAAAATTGTTTTTGTGGCTATCTTTACAATTTTTCTCTTTATCCTGCATATCATTGTTGTTCAATGTTCTTTCGTCCACAAGCTGCGTTATCTAGAATAAACGAAAATGAATAATTAAATAATATTTTCTATTTAATTTTGGGAAACCACTCTCTAAAAATGAAATAGGTAGTCAAAATTTAATTTAAATTAGTACTAGCATTTTTTACAAATAGTCGTTTTCACTTTTATATATAATAGTTCTTTTTACTACGTAAATAGTTAAAGTTTGACTATGCATATGCCTTAGCTCCATGGTTAAATGACCCATAAAAACAAATAAAGAAGCAAAAAGTTTAGCTCAAAATAGCAACACGAATAATACATTCAACTTCAAAATATTATGAACAAAATTTTTTGACAAATAAAATTGATTTTTATAAGAGCGGCTGATAGCCGAATGGGTTATGACAACAGCTTGACAAGTGACAGACATGAGTTCAATCCCCGGCTAGGTCAAAACTTTTTTTAAACTTAAATCTACTACTGACTATTTCATTCAGTAGAATGGGGTAGTTAAATTTTTTCTGACCTATACTTTTTATGGTTTTATTCAAGGCGTTTTGTAATATTAAACATTTCTGTGAAATCAGAATTTCAATTGAGTTTACCGTTTTCGAGATATTTACAAAAAATATAAATTTTTATGACGTCACAAACCTCGCCATGTGACCAACATTCTAAGATTTCTATTGGTTAAAAATTACCCTGTTGTCAAGTTGTCTTGTTAATGATTTCATTCGGTTATGTAAGAAAATACCCGAAGAGGTTATGTACAAATACTGTCACTGTCAGTTGAGTGAAAGAAGAAGAAGAGGAGGTTAAAGAAAATTCTGAATTTAAAAGTTTTATTGATAGGTTTACACATTGAAACCTAATAAAATGTAATAAATATGTACCTAATAACTGTCTAAAGCAGAGTTTAATATATTTCATAGAAAAAAGTGGCAAAATAAAGCTGAAAATGAATGAAATAAATTTATAAGTTTTATAAAATTTGCATCAAAACCTTTTTGTAAGATTAAAAAAATGTATGACAAACTTTTGGACTGTTCGAAGATATATCTAAAAGAATATAAAGAACTAGGCATTATACTAATGAAATGCATTTACGACAAAATATGATTATAATTATAGCTACTTTCTTTATTTGTTTAAAAGCTCCAATGTTCAATGTAACCAACCAATCCACAAGATTCATCTGCTTTGGAATCCGTTATTAATAAATCACTTATCTAATATCAATTACAAATAACATGACAATAACATTGATTTTCAATAATCTAAATTTAAAAAAACATAACCCGAAAAAAAAAACGTCAAAAAATCAATTCTTCTTCTTCTCAACTAAAATTATAGATCAAGTGGTTTTAAAACTAAAATATTATAACGTGGCGCCATCTATCGTAAGAATCTTAAACTAAACACACTGGCAACCATAGAAAAAGCTGGCAACGTTGTCAATAGCCTAGTGACGTAATTAGGAGATTTTTTTTTGTAAATATCTCGAAAACGGTAAACTCAATTGAAATTCCGATTTCACAGAAATGTTTAAAATTACAAAACGCCTTGAATAAAACCATAAAAAGTATAGGTCAGAAAAAATTTAACTACCCCATTGGACTAATTTATTAGTGACTGCTTTTTCGCTATAACAATTAGTCAAATATGACTAATTCACTTTAAGAGAGAAGATTACCGGATATGTTGTATTTCTGTGGTTCAGTTTAAACATGGTTCGAAAAACTTTCAGGGCTTTTTCGTTTTGACCTTTTGACATGTAGAATTTCGGGCTTTCTGGCATAAAAATGAAGCCTACACCTGCTATAAGGCTCGATAGGGAAGACGCCAAAATGAACAAGTTCCAGGAGTTCAAAACTAAAAATTTTAAAAGTTAAAAATTGCAAGTAATGCCAGAACTGAATATATATTTTAACCTTGTTTCTAGATCTAAATAGTACATTTTTCTCAAAAAAAATTTCATCCATTGACCGCTGTGGTTTTCAGGCTCTATTGTGTTAAAAATAGATAAATTTTGATATTTTGTAATAACATTTTTATTAAAAAACGTATTGATTTGAAATAAAGGTAAAATGTAGACCTTATTAGTGGAAATAAATCCACGTATTATTATTTTTAGATCTTAACATACAGGGGGCGCTGGGGACAATTTAATTTAAAATTTTACCATTTTTTAAGGGTTAAAAAGATATTTGTATAAAAATGACAAAATGTACTAAACTAAACATTTATGCTACTGCTAATTCAAAATTGATCCATCATTTCCATAAAAAAGTTCATATATCAAATAAAAGTCAAATATCAATACTTTAGAGTGTTATACTCAAATTTATTAAACAAAGTTGCTTCATCGATTATTTAAAAATTGTTAATTTTTTGTGGTCCAAATTTCAAATCGATACGTTTTGAAATAAAAAAGTTATTTAAAAAAAATTAAATTTCTTAATTTTTAACACAGTGAAGAATAAAATAAAAATAAATACAAAGTTGTCAATGGTTTTTTAAGTACTGCATTTAGATGTAGAAATAAGGTAAAAAAGTTTCAATCGATTTCTTGTACCCTTGCATCAATCGACCGTTCGATCCTTTCGCGAAACCGTAGTTAATTTGTTGTCTGAAAGTAGCATAAATAGTACTTACTTATAAAGTTGTCAAAGAATGTTCGGTGAAACTTTATGGGCAAAATTATTGACGCCATTAATGGTATACTAATATTACCAATGGAGTAGACCATACCGATAAAAATTTGCATTTTGGATCTATATCTTGTAGAGTGCATTTCGCATATGTATGCAGGCATGGTAGTGGCTGGACCGTTGCTTCTAAAATCACAAAAAGTTTAACAATGGTGTATTTTTTATTTTATTTTACATACATAAACCCTCCTAAAAATTTCAGTACCACCAACATAGGAAAATTCATTGAAATACTGCTTATCAACGTCAAACAAAATGACGTGAAAAAAGCTGCTAGTATGGTTTTTCTTCTACCATATTTGTCACACAGAATTCCCCAGAAAAAACAGCTCAACATCATACCTTTAAAGAAATATTAATTTCTAGAAACTACCAAATACACAGTAAAAAAAATCAACTCTAAGCAACACTAGTTAGAGTTCACACAGGTCCACACTAAATAGAGTTGATTTGTAGTGTAATTTTCCCCAAGTAAGCAAGTATGATTTAACACTATAGCACTGAGTAATATATATGAAGTAATTTTACACTGTATTAAAAAGTGTTAATTTACCTAAAATCGTGTAGGGGAGGGTGGGGCAGATTCGGACATGGGGCACATTTGGACTTTTCAAATTTAGCGGGTAAATAACCGACGAAAAATGCGCCATCTCGTCATTGGGCAAGGCCTGCAATAACTAAAGGTTGGCGGGAAGCTGATGCATCCAGGACAGTTTTTGTAAATTTTAAAAGGTGTTTGTGAGATTTCGTAGTTCAAAGTAAGTTTTTGATCGTATATTTGTAAGCCTTTGCAAAACTAATCTATGCATGAATGTAAATAATGTCTATATAGGGTAAAAGAACGTTTAGTTGCCTATACATAACCTCACTTTAATTTAGAATAGTAAGCTCTATATTTGTCTTTGTCCCGCTTTAATAGAAAAGACTACAAGTGGGGCAGTTTTGGACATTTTAACTGGGGCAGTTTTGGACAAGTCCCAATCTGCCCCAATTTACCATTACTGTTTGGTAGTTTGTTCACAATGTAATTGGCGTTTATTTATTCTAGAATAAATGTGGTATTATAACTGCAACTGGTGGGACAATACCACCTGTTTACATTTTTCCACGGGTTAGAATGAAAGATCACTTTATGCACAAGGTTGTCACTGGGGCCATTGGCTACGCATCAAAAACTGGATGGATGACGGCGGAAATATTTGTTAACGTTTTGAAACACATTCAGAAACATACAAACTGCTCGCTAGAGAATAAAATTCTATTGCTCCTCGATAATCACGAGACACATATTTCGCTAGATGCGATCAACTTTTGTCGGGAACATGGTTTTATTATGTTATCATTTCCCCCACACTCAACCTATAAGATGCAGCCCCTTGACGTAGGAGTTTATGGTCCCTTTAAGGCTCGACTGAAGACTTCGTTTAATGATTACATATTATGTACTCCCGGAAAGCCTATCTCAATTTATGAAGTCGCCAAATTAAGCAGGGAGCCATACCTCTTATCGTTTACCCCTTCTAATATTATAAAATCACCGGGTATTTGGCCCATGAATCGTTTGGTTTTTAACGATGGAGATTTTGATGGCGTATTACAATATGAACATGAAGATCAAATAACAATGGTTGAACCAGAAAACGGAGCGTCTACTTCAGCACCCTCATGCTCAGGATTCAGTCATCGCATTAGGATAATTTCAAATGAAGTCATTAAATCTGCGGATTCGACCAATGCTGTGACATCTACTGAGGTTGTAGTTGAGTTACTTAATCAGTTCTTTTAAGAGTATTCATCGAAAGCGACAAAAATGCATCAGAATCACAAGCCAAACTTGGAAAGATGCCGATTAAAAAAAAACATAAATTGGAAGTTTTGAGTCCAGAAGTTATACGACCCTTTCCAAAACTTCAAACAAGACCTGTAAACAGTATTAGGGGTCGTAAACGTGGGAGCTCTCGGATATACACAAACACGCCAGAAAAAAATGAGTTGGAATTAAAAGCTCAAAATAAGAAAAAGAATCCAAGTGAAAGAGTTAAGGCTGTAAAAAAAATATTAATGATACAATAAGTGGAGCTCAAGAAAGGACAAAGTCAGGCAAAAAAAGGGTTAATTTTGATCGAGAAGAGAGCAGTGAGAAAGAATTTGAACAAATAAAGAATAAAAGAATTAAGAAGATAGTAGATGATCTTAGTTCTTCCGAAGAACTTCTTCGGAATCATGTGAAAGTGATGATAAACAACTGATGCGTGAAATGTGCGTTGACTCTGACTTGGATATGGATTTTGAAGATGTCAATGTATTAGATGGACTTCTAGATGACGAGAATATATCTGGAAACTTTGTTCTAGTCAGGTTTGCTACAAAGAAAAAAGTCTTTTATTTTGTACGGAATGTTCAAGAACTTCTGGACTGCGACGAATATCTTATAAAGTTTTTGAGAAAACGTAAGAATTATGGTTTTTGTTATCCCGCAGTAGATGATATAAGCTCAATACCAAGACATGATATAATCTCCAAACTTCCTAAGCCGCAAGAGGTAAAGGGAACGACTAGACAAGCTTCGTATATTAATTTTTCTGTCTTTTTCTAATTACGAAGTTCAATAAACAATTTAACAGTTAAGAAGTAGCCCTTTTATTTACGTCCAAATCTACCCCACCCCAGTCCAAATCTACCCCATGCAGGGGCAGTTTCGGACAAATGCACCCTTCCAATTTTTTTATGTTTTTACCCCACTGCAAGGTTATTTTTCCAATAAAAAAAATCAAGCCATTTTCTAAAAGCCTAAATTATCACGCAATGAAAAAAACATTTTATTTTTCCAAATAGCATATGAATGAGGACATAAATAAAAAAAGAGTCCAAATCTGCCCCACCATCCCCTACTTCTACACTTCCTGGGTAAAATCTCACTTTTGTTCAGTGTAAATTAACACTACTTTGGAAAAGTTCTAATTTTAGAAATGTACTCTTTCAGTGCAAACTTCTAGTGTAAATTAACACTATTATTTGAGTAAAACCTATTGGTGGTAGTGAATAAAACGAAAAGGTAAGTAAAGAGAAAAATTTATTTTTAACAAAAATCTATGACAATTATCAAAATCGGTGCCTTTTAAAATATAATTTTATATTTGAGTCGTATGGCTGGCCTAAGCAAAATGGTTCCTTAAAACTTAAAATTTTTAGATCAATGCAATGATTTACTGGCTGTCAACTCGTAAGCAATGAATTATCTTGAGAATTCATCAGTAATCCATTTTTCAGTTATAAAAAATGGGTGATTCCATTGGTAGAGAGGCGTCAGGCGGCTGTATGTCGGGGATTTACCACACGTGTACAAATTTTCCATAATATTAATAAAAATGTAGGTATAGGTTAATATAACAACCATTACGCTTGAAAATAAAAAGTAAATCAAGTGTGTATGTATTTATATTATTAATGTTACAAGTACCCGACCTACTACCGTAAATTATTGATATATAATATAGGTCCGGTATGGACATCCTTTTAACATATTGGTATTTATTAAGTAATAAGGCTTTAAGAGAAAGTAAAATACTTACCAAAAAATAAGAATGTCCCCTTATGGATTTACCGTAATTAAAATATAACTGAACAAAAATGCCACACTTCCACAACGCGGTATCTCCGGATATGCACTGCCTAGGTAGATAGGTACCAACCAAACATTTTAAAACGCTATTACCAGTTTTTTCAGTCTATTTTGCCACTATTGGTGTAATTTAACTTTAATTGTGATGCAATGTGCACTAGTAGTGTAAAGAAAAAAAACTCTTAGTTACAACCAAACAGACAAAGAAATTGGCATGCACTGTAGGGTACATTTTGTCACTATTTAACCCATTAAGGGGTAATAAACACTCGCATTAAGTTTTTCTACCCTTTTGATTTATTTTAATAATAAATAGTGTGAATGTACCAATGAATAATGTTCATATTCTTTAAATGTGTTTAATAAAGTTAATAGGCACTAAATGCTACCTAGTGTATTTTGCAGTATAACTTTTACACTTACAAATCAACTCTAATATTTTTACGCCTACACTAAAAAATTTACACAATTTTTTTACTGTGTAAATGTACTTGATATTTTTACCTATGTATGGGGTCGCGTTCAGTATACCCTTGTGTTGAAGGGTCAAATTTAGGTCGCACTGGGCCACAGGAAAAACAAATGACATAATAGAACTCTCAAAATGTATTGCCCATAAAGATGGTACTATTAGTATCATAAGAAGGATGTTGAAAATTCCAAATCCAGTTAGTTCGATAGCTTCTTCAAATGAAGCTGGTTTTTGAATTCCTACAAAGTTTTTTTATTGGAAATACAAAATATTGTAAAAAATTATTTTACCTTTTTTGTCTTCTTTAAAAACGGCCATCGTTTTTGGAGTTAACGAGGATTTTCTTGGAGACACTGTCATATTTACAAATAATATGATAAAGTTTTTTGTGTTTCTTATTAAAGTTTTTAATATTATCAGACAAAGGCCAAGTTTTTCAACAACTATCTTGACGTATCAGAGCTGTTACTATTTACATTTTTAAGACCCCTTCAACAAACAAAAATCTAGATTTAACCGAGTATTTTTTTAACGATAACAATTGTTTTTAACGCGCTCATAAAAATTCCAATAATTAGCTATTATTATTTTATGATCCATCGGGTGAACAAATTATAACAAATAAATCTAATCGATTTTTAAACCGATGTCCAATCCCAATACATGGCCATATGGAATTCTTTAAATTACTAGGATACTTAGGATGCATTGTTAATATTAAAATGTTTTTTCCAACGCTTTTCCAAACATCCCTTGCACTGAAAGAAAAACTAGGGTTAATAACAAAATCGAAAAAAAATTCTGCCCACCATATCCCATTATAATTTTTCCATGTTTTTTGACTCACTAAACACGAAAATCACACTCAATTTTTTTCTATGAAAGCGTTTTTAAAATATGAATTTTCAATTTTTTTTTCAATTTTCTGAGGTGTTTTGACGTTTTTGAGTATAGCTTGAAATCTAATTGATCAATTTGGTCAAACAAGCCTTTAAATTAAAGGTATTTAAGTAAGCACTCTAAAAGTTTCTTTTAAATACTTTTGGTACCGGATAAATATTTTGACGCTAGCGATTTTAATAACTTAAAAAATTCGTTATTATGGCAAAAATTTAGGCCGAAAATTTACATATCGTCCTGGGAAGGGTTTAAATCAAACAGATAACTCAAGTTTCATTTTTTCCGTGAAGCTGACATTTTTACATAAACAACAAGCTAACGTTTATAAAAATACATGGAAAAATGGCGAAGTTATGAATTTTGTAGTGGAAGACCAAAATTCAGCTTTTTGACGATTTTTATTTAAGTTTGTTCTTTTATTTTGTAATATGTTTATTCTTAAATGAAAACCTAAGTAAAGTGCATACCCTTTAGCAAATATCGTGATGGTTGACAATAGGAAAACTTATATGTACATTTAATTCTTATATAAACTTATATGTACATTTAATTCAAAATGTTTGTGTAGGAATCTTATCTTATCAAATCTATGTTGTTTGTAAGAAATATGATATATTAATAATTAACAAATGGAATATTGTAACGCGTCGTTTTACCTCGGACCATTCCCTTCACTTTAAAATGCCACGTAGTGGGTGGTTTACATCTTTGCTGATAAAGGTGGTGCTGGTTTGGGCTCTGTTTGTGCTTTTGCATCATTTTTCATATAATAAGGAAATTTGTACTGCCTATAAACTGTTGCAGTGATTGTGTAAGTACTTAATATTATTTTTCTATGGTGTTGAATCCTTAAACATGGACATAATAGATTCTAAACTGTTAAACGGTTTTGAAGATCTGGCTAATACTTTTAAAGGTAAGTTTATGGGTTATTAAAAAAAATCTTTATTTAAATAAATATAACAAAGTAAATAACAATATTTCTATTTCAAGGATTTTAAGTCGGTGTTGGGTAGTACGCAGGATAAAAAGGCGCAGCATATCAGGACACATCCGACGAAGAAAAAAGGTGACTCACATCCTGAGGCCAACAGATAGGGAAAAACTAAGTTTCCTATCATTGGTCCCATTCGACCCGTCATCATGGTCAGGGAGACACACATGGTCCTAAAAAAGGTTAGATGATAAACAATTACACCCAGCGCAATTTTTTTTACCGTAGAGTCGTTGGAAACAGGTCTACGACTACAGCCAGCATGATGTTGACACAGACGCTGGCAAAAGTGGTATACAAGGCTGCCAATAATAAGGTGGTAGTGACATTTTGAGCGAAATACAGGGAAATCCCCATGAGACCTCCAATGATGGCGAAGATATCTGGAAAAAATTGTTCTGTAAAGATATTGCATTTTATGACGCCTTCCCGAACGTCCTGGACTGTAAGGTTGTTCTGCATTGTAACGAAATTAAAGGTGCTCCTTAACGTATTAGAACAGCGGAAAACAAAGAGTTTTGAGACACCATGTATACATTATACTTACTAAGTATTCGTTTTTTGCCTAAAATGTTGATAAGAGTTCCAACTACTACGTAGCCTAGCACATTAGTGAAAGCTACCACCATTGAGTTTATGTATACTTGGAAGTTGTCCAAATTCTGAAAGAGATGATAAAAAAATAAAAACTAAAATAAGAACAATCCTAAATTGAATAAATCTATTTTTATACGTAAGTATTATTACTCTAAAGAGTAAGAAGTTAATGCAAAAATAAAGAAATCATAAACTAAACTGCCCACCACTATTGAGTGTCGCGACCAAAAAGTTCGTTTTTTGTTTCTTGAACGATTTTATTTTGGTCTGTGATGTCTGCTAACTTCTGGCAATTCATGCTATAGATTTGAAGCTCACGGTTCTTCAAGTAAATTTCGTACAGGGTGATATGTTAAACGGTGAAAAATTTCGTTTTTACTTTGAAATAATGAAGTATTATGTCTTACCTTTAAAAGGTTGTCAAATTTTTCGTATTGGAATCTTAGCAAAGAAAATAGTATTTTTTTTCCAAAAGAGTACATTTAAGGCTTTTTGGTAGACAATACACTCAGTCTTTTTAAGAACAAGAAGATAAGATGGTCAAAGGTTGTTCCTTAAATAATTCTGAACAAACAACAAACTTCCATTATTTTCAGAGAAGCCTAAGCAAAGACCCCTTTTTCAAAATGACATTTTGGTGAAAATTTGCGAAAACTAATCCTGAACCGATATTTACGTTCGTGACATGTTTTCTTTATAATTTTGACCTCCTGATTGTGATTCAGTTGTCAAATTTAAGTTCTAGATAAAACCAAAATCACCAAGAATCAAAATTCGAAAACAATTCCCGGCTGTTAAATGTCTTAACCCTTTATAGGGCCGAATCCATTAATTGTTATTTTTATTTATTTTTTGGTAAGACCTACGTATTTTGGATGTCTTAAGATATTTTAATGATTATTTTGAAAATCCAACTGTTTTTTTTTAAATTTAACATGGTGGATAAAATGGAAACCACTGCCCATAAGATGATAGATGGGCGGTGGTCTAAATCCAAACCACATATTTAATTTAATCGTTTTTTTGCGTTTCTGAAAGTATTTTAGTTTTTTTTCAGGACCTGGTAAAATAATTACATGGTGTATGCTATAAAAAATTAAATATTTATTTCCAAATTGTTCACTGTCATTATTCTTATCTGGAAACGGTTTTAGAAAATTTCAATTTCTCAAAGTTTCTTCATTTTTTGATTCTACCTACTTTTGTGTTTGTGAGTAAGTTACAGTGGCATTTCTGTGATGCATATTTTTATTTTTATTTTCACTGGTCAATTTTCAAAAATGACCTACTACTGGTAGTTTTCTCTGAATCTGATGAGTAATCGCGATACTGAGTCATCTGAAAGAACATCTGCAGCAGAGTCACTTTCACCCCCATTTCTATTCAAAATTTATTTTCTGAAATGTATACTGGATGTTCGCTCACTACGATTACGTAGGCTGGATCGTGCTGAAGTATTGGCAGAATTCTGCCAACTTAAGTTACTTGTAAACATGAAGATGTGAATTTAGACGAAAAGTACTTGGGGACTCTTGATGGGCTATCGCCCTCAATCTCCGAATCCATAGCCTGATCTTCGATACCAACAACTAGATAAAATAGTTTACTTGAATCCAATTTTTCAAAAAACCAAAAAATACTGGACATGGGTTCAATAGTCTCACGGTATGTGAGCTTGATATAGGTTATGTTCCAAAACAATCTAAATATTTCGTTAGCGCTAACCTATTTTCCAAGTACTGTTATCACAAGTTGTAAAGCATTCAATTACCTTTTGAATTATGTGTGTTGTCAGGTAAAACAAACATGCTTATGCTCGCTAGCAGCAACAATTACTGCAAATGTAACTTTTTCGCAATTTTGTGGGAACAGGCAATGGTTAACATAGAGACCACATTCGTTTTAACAATTTCCAAATTTAAATTGTGGCCAATATGATAGACACTGCACATTATGAGTTCATTTATTTGTACTTTGGTCGAAGTTTGGGTTCTCTTTCATTTCTAAGTAAGCTGTAATGGATGTGGTTAACATAGAGACCATTAACCTATAAAGGGTTAATACAATCCGATTGCTGGTTTTTACTATTTTTTTACTGTGTTTTGCATCTTAAGTACGTTATTATCATGTCGCTGAATGATCAAATCGAGCATCAAATGAAAATTAGTTATTGAAAAACACCAAAATTATTTAAGGAACATTCTTTTACCATCTTATCCTCTTGTTCCTAAAAGCCCTAAATGTATTCTTTTGGAAAAAAAAATTGGGAAACGTTTCTAGGTAAGACATAATACTTCATTATTTCAAAGTAAAAACGAGGGAACAAATATTTTTTTACAAACGGGGCTTGGATGAAGTTATTGAAGTTTTTCAACGTTTTACATATCACCCTGTAGGAAATTTACTTGAAGAACCGTGAGGTTCATATCTATAGCATGAATTACCAGAGGATGAGGCTAGAAGACAACACAGACCAACATAAAATAGTTCAAGAAACAAAAAAGTTATGTCGTTTTGAAAGAGAACGAACTTTTTGGTTGCGACACATCAGTTTAGTTAAAAAGAAACTATAAAACCCACCACTTCACATTTTTCTATCACTGTGACATTGCTGGGCCGCAAACTCTCAATCATTTCGCACAGACTGCTTGTACCGCCGTTATGACTTGTCTGATAATCATTGATGGCTTGGAACAATTGAGGCAGCCATAAACGAAGCGTATTTAAACTGAAAGAATTTGAAAACGGATTGCATTATTGATATAAAACGTAAAAAAATAGATCACCTCATCATAAACAAAAATTGCATGGAGCAAACTAGCAGGATCTTGCATAGGTATGGCGCAGAAAATAATGGGGCCAACTGGGTGAAACCGTCTTTCAAAACTTGGGACTTGGACCTATCTTGCACGTCCTGTGCTGTTTTCGTTGAATCCGCCGTACTCACTTCATCCACTAGTAATTTTACCTAAAACCTAAATAATTTTCACGTTATCTGATACCAAGTCGCTTGGTTTCAAGACCTGGCAAGGCCAGCTTTATTTATGTATATTATGGTGTCCCTTATTTTTATTTTTTTACGCATACCCTCTATATATATTTATTACGTGTTTATATACTCCCAGTAAAAATTTCAGCTCATTCTATAAACGGGAACCCGTGCCGACTTGCATCTGAACCCTCCGTTAGCCAACGTTAGGCGCGCGGTATTTTGTAACACGGTTGGTCGCGAGGTCTTCGATCGTAAGTCATTTTGTGTTTGTTATTATGTGACCCTTACATTATAAATTATTGACAAATGTTAAAATATAGTTTTATTTATGTGTATACTTTGATAAAAATGTATATTTTCACAGGGAGTGGCTAGTTACCCGGAAGGGTCTGGTGAATAGGCCGTAAACTCTGAAATTGATAAACTTAACGGGTTTTACTCTAAATAACTAAAAGAGTCTATTGTGTGAGATGACTACCAAAAACTTATTGAACTGTCTAAAATATTTTTGGGAGGACATCAAGAAAAGAAATGCTTATAAAAAGCTGAAATTTCATATAACAGTATATTTTAGCAATACTAATTAGTATATTAATATATTTAAGGGATAAAATCAACTAAATTAGTGAAAGAAATGATAGAAACAAAAGCAATAATATTAATTAGTAATCATATTTAATAAAATCATTAGAAAAATACAGTCATGAACTATATCTTCTTTTTAAAGTGTTTCGTGTTACAAAATACCGCGCGCGCCTAACGTTGGCTAACGGAGGGTTCAGATGCAAGTCGGCACGGATTCCCGTTTATAGAATTTTTACTGGGAGTATATAAACAAGTAATAAATATAATTAGAGGGTATGCGTAAAAAAAATAAAAATAAGGGACACCCTAATGTATATGCTCAAAAATTGTCAAATTTATATCAACCATTTTTTTTGGAGAATTTTCAACGTTTGGGTTTTTTGCGAAGCCTTGTAACCAAGCGACATTGAAATGAATACAAGTATTAAGTTGACTTACCGGGTAAGTGTCCATGGGCTTTCCAGTGTTTAAACTGTAAACTTTTTGAAATATTTCCAACGCTTTTTGGTTGTTGCCAGTGGTCATCAGGAATTTTGGTGTTTCGGGCATAAACATGAAGCACACGCCGCTTATTAGGGCTGGGACGGCACAGATAAATAAGTAGATGTTCCATGAATGGATTTCTACAACAAAATTAATGTCACACCGAAATACATTCTCTCAGAAAGGTACCGAAATTTGTTCGTAATTCGTTATTTTTGCTGAATGATCAGATGGGTTTAGATCTGGTGAACGCGTAGGCCAGGCTACGAGACCTAATGGTGCAGATACTGGACCGTTTTTTTACTTACTAAATGATTCTCCCAATGTAAAATCGAATCCCAGGGTTAGAATACCCCAAGCTAATAAAGGTAATACAACAGTTCCACAGCTAAAAATAATCCCCAAAACCATTTGTACCCTTGCTCTATGGTGAGCGCAGTGGAATTCAGAAACATAGCAAGTTAAAGCTGCAAAAGGTCCATTTATACTAAAAACATCAAATTATTTTTTTAACCCAAATTTGTGTTGTTATTTTATTACATGAATCCCCCCAAAAATTTTCCTATCACCACTGTGGTATAGTTCTGTGAAAGACCGGTCATCAGAACGAAAAAACTGTCCAATAGTAACCCTATGCATAGTAACTTTTTTCTTCCCAGGGTGTCACACAAAAATCCCCATATAAATGCACTGGATATCATTCCTAAAAACAAAATTATAGGTTATGATTTTGGAGAGTTTATGAGGTCAATTGTGTCTCTCTTTTAACCAATAGTCGCACACAACATTTTATTCAACTACCGCAAGGTTATTTTGTTTAACCCCATGTAGTTACCTAAATATGTGACTGAATTTAAAAATCCCTTATTTTCCAACGTCAAATCCAAATCACATTGGGCTGCAGGAAAAACATAGGACATCGTGGTGGTTTCAAAAATTGAGGACCAACCAGCAGGAATGGCAATGATGTATAGCAGGATGTTGAATTTGCCCCATTTTGTGGCTGAAATGGCTTTTTCGAAATCTGCTGGTTCATTATCTATAAAATCATAAAATGTAAAAAAAATTTAGTAGGAATTGTTGATTATAGTATATTTTAAAAAATTAATGCGTAAATTATTGTTATTATTATTAGACAATATATAATATAATTATTATTATTATTATTATATATATTATCTACAAAATGAATTAGTCAAAAATGACTAATTTAAAAGTTACTAGTGGCTGCTTTTTCACTTATATCATGGTTAACCATGGAATACCATGATATTCCAAAATTTAACAGTCAATTTTTATGTAAAATTGTCCCCTGAATCCGAAAATGTCGTCAAAAGTTAAAAAAGTGGAACCGTTTTTAAGATATAGTCAATTTTCCATATAATTTTTGAGGGTATTTTCGGATTCAGGGGACAATTTTACATAAAAATTGGCTGTTAAATTTTGGGATATCATGGTATTCCATAGTTAACCATGGTACAAGTGAAAAAGCAGCCACTAATAACTATTTTTATAAGGAATGCTGTCGAATAATTAAGGTTGTTTTCAATTTAATGATTTGTTTGTCTTATTTTCTGAAATTAATACAATACCTACATATATTTTGTCTAAAAGTTTTAATTAGGATAGTAAATTATTGTTCCAGTATTTACAGTGTGTCCACGGGTGGACTAAAAAAAATAAGTCTAAAGTATTTGAGATTCAACAGATAAAAAAAATTTAGACGTCGCTCAAAACTTTTTTAAACCAACCTTTTTCTCAAAATCTTTGGCTTCTCACTATTTTTTTTGTAGGTCGTATAGGAACAGAATACATTTTTAAGTAAAAATATTATTGGTCGCTCAATATTTTTGAAATACATTTTTTTAATAATTTTGATCTTGTAACCACTACTATTTTTCCAATTTAGTTGATTTTTTTTAGAGACGTTTATTTTTTTTTGAGTTGAAACTTGAATACTTTAAACTTAAATTGTTTCATGTGAGCTCCGAAATAAAAAAAAATGTCGAAAAAATATTGCCACCCTAAAAACATAAACAAAAACTATATAAAAAACAAATACCTAAATAAGAAAATTAACATTTTGCCAACTCAACTTTGCGTGCTTTTAGAGAAGCAAATTTGTTTATCGCAATATTGACGTCATCTTTCAATAGGCTAATACCTATACTGTATATATACATACATATATATATATATATGAATAGTACTGTATATAACTATAGTTTTAAACTAATTTAAATTAATAGTTGTTCGTAGTGTAATAAAATATTCTTATATTAAAAAACCTTTACGCCCATACGCATCGCATCGGTGGAAATAATCAATTTCTGCAAACTAAAGTTCTTGTCGCCCAACAACTTGTCGGGCGCCCTACGTAATACGTGACATGACATATTTCGTATACTATGCATAGATAATAATACTATGGCAACAATCACGGTTATAATTTAAATAATTTTTTTATTAAAACTGATTAATACACGAAAAATAAAAAAGGGGAAAACCCTTTAGGTTGTAGTAAAAAACAAAAATTACCAGTCAAAAATTTTGCGCCCCCTGTAAGCTTGCGCCCCGGGTCTATAGACCCCCAAAGACCCCCCCTAAATCCGGCGCTGATGCAAGGGAAGTGACGAGTATACCAGGGTACTAATTAAATACATAATTTATTGGAAAATATAAGATTTATTGCAACTTATACATTAAATATCTTAAAATCAAATAATACCACAAATCAGTGGCGGCTGGTGGATTTTGAGTATACCGATATCTCAATTATTAGAAATGGGACCCACACCAAATTTATATGAGTTTATAATGACAATAAATAAACAAGTTCTGCGCAAGCAGAATTTAAATTGAAGTTTGCGAAAAAAAGATAACCGAAACATCATTTAACTGACGATGAATGGAATACAAATTTGAGATTATTATTCGGAATTAAGTATTTTACTGATATTTTTTATTAGTGGATGCTACTTATCAACAAATCACATATAGCCTTATATAAATAACAATAAAATATAGGTATATACGTAAGAAAATACGAACTAAACGTGCATTCACCACAACTTCGCCGCTTGCATTGTTTTCAAGATGACTGTCGTGCAAAGGGCGGGCTCTGTAGGTAATTTTTTACCAACACTTGAGTTAAAACGAGGACTTGAATATATTTTAAAATAAAATCACTTAAATATTTGATTCAGGAGTTGTGATACGCCAAGGTACTGATGTTTTAAATATTTATTATGTTTTTTTACAAACGTGGTTTTGAAAAAATACATTAAAATTGGGTGGACAAGTTAAAAAAAACCTGGATCTTTTGTAATATACTAAAATATTTACAAAAAATATTAAAATACCCACTCTATTGACTGATGACATCAAGAAATTATGAGAAGTGACTTCTTCGAAAAATTTAAAGTATAGTTAAGTCCATCTGTGGACACACTGTATAAGGTAAGTGCGGGTAATAAGGCCCACCTAACGCATTATATTAAAAAAACAAAGAAAACGTGTACATTTTTTAATTTTTTTTATTTCATAAACATATATTAACTTTAAACTATATACTGTAACATTTATAAACTCAAATGAAATAAACAAAAAGAAAAGTTCTTAGGTTTTTAAAAAAACTCGTTAATGGGCCTTATTTCATGCTCAACAGATAATAAAGCCCATCCATTCAGGGTGCACATTTGGGACAAATAAACACATCTTCATCCTCAGGCGTCAGTCCGACACATTTTTCATGAACCCAGGTGAGGCACATGGCACACTGACGCATATCAGCCTTAAAATCCAGTTCACAAAGCTTGCAGGACCAATCTTCCTCAGGGTTGGCGTCTGCGCTTTCTGTCGAGGTCGATGGTTCTACAGTGGCCTTAGTTTGACTGATCTTCGCTTTCTTCTTGCATTTTGTTGCCAAACCTCTCTCCTTTTGGGGTTTCTTCTCAGTTTCATTATTTGGTGGGCCTTATTACCTGCTTTGTAACGATCCTTGTTTTAAGGTTATAACTCAGACATGTATAGTACAAAACCAATCATTTTCTAGGAAAACATTGGTAATATGTGTATTGATACATACCTGTAATGGCGCAGCAATTGAATAAACGCTTTTTAGGCACAGCTCTAAGAAAATACCACAATTTTTATAATTTCACGAAAGAAACTTGTTGTCGAAACACTTGTTGTATTTACTATCAGCAAACGACATCTTATTAAGGCGGAACTCTATCGAATATTAAATATTACCTAGTAAAATCATAAGATGGCAGCCCCAGTATTATAATTTAAAAAATGAAGGTAAAATGGCTGTCGGGCCTTATAACCTGCTGGGCCTTATTACCCGCACTTACCTTATATGAATTGTTTTTATATATCATTAAAATGTCATTTACTACATCAACGACATCGAAATTTTTTTTAAATTGTTTTTAAACTGTAAACAAATAATTTGTATGATGATAAGTACACAACTTTAAAGTTGAAGAGTTCAATTATTAAATATTAATATCATATATTTTTTAAATAATGAAGGTATATTTTTTACAATTTTCTGGAATTCCCAAAGTCTGTAGATCATACACTTTCAAAATGCACTCCAACTACACTTGGTGCCACCCTGGTGGGTAGATTTTGCAAAGACCTTATTACAGATACCATGTTTATAAATCACTTACAATTTACACTGTTCTTCTTATTCACTTCTTTCAAACTATCAGTATTATTTAAATCAACTCCCGTTTCGTTGCTTTGCACTGTCATTTTGGTAACTAAACATTTGGTCGTCAAACTTGTGCTGAGATCTGACCGCTTGTGAATAAAGAAACGTTTTGTTTTTAAAACTGTTTGACCGTTTATCGGTTACATTTAAGTTACAAAGATTTAATGAACTTGAATGTTAGTGCACTTAATACCGCAGCGACAGTGGTTGCATCAGCCAAAAATTATTATATCTGCCAAAAAATATTATTGTTTGTGTAGGTGTATTAGGATTTTAGTTAGGTGGTTATTTTTGGATTGTAGAAACAAAATTAAGTAATACAAAAACTGTACGAACACTATAAAGGACATAAAACATATTGGCAGACCTTTCTAATACATTTTTTAACGGCTTTTGGAGCAAAAAATAAACTGTGAATGATAAAAAAGTCGTATTGTTAAGGAAACATATTAAGCAAACTTTAGGCTATAAAATACCCAAAAGAGAACTGAATAATTTAAAGTTGGTAATGCTGACGTCATTATATCGCATTAAAAGTAAATCAAAAATAGACCATTTTACTAAAATTTTATAGATTTTGGAAAAGTTAAAAAAGTAGAACGGTTTTTGAGAAATAGTCAATTTTCCATTTAATATGGAATTGACTATATCTCAAAAACTGACCCACTTTCATAATTTTTGACGGTATTTTCGGATTTAGGGGACAATTTTACATAAGAATTGGCTGTTAAATTTTGAGATACCATGGTATTTCATGGTTAACCATGGTACAAGTAAAAAGAAGCCACTAATAATTATTAAATTTAGAGAGTTACCATAAACATACCATAAAAACAGAAATTTAAAAAAATATTTAAAATTACTAATGATTTTTTATGGCATGCCGTTTTACTTTTTAATAGCAAGATTGTAAAATAATAATTTTAAATAAATATTTTAACTTAAAATATGAATATAACTAAGTTTAATTTATATTATGTTTAATCATAAAATAAATTTATTAAAATTATGTAGAATGATATTTTTAATACAAAATACATGGATAATATAGGCTATAAGAAGCATATAATATTATAAATCATCATAATAATAATGTATTTTTATTATGCCATAACATAAAAATATTTCAGTTTTATTAAAAAAACAAAGTAATGCGCCCAATTTTTGTTTAACAATTTAAAATAGGACTGATTAAAAATTAAAACAATATAAATAAATTCTCTTTTTACCATTTTATTTTTTGTTTCAAATAAAATGTCCAAATTAATTTTTATTCTTATTTATTCAATAAAATATCTGCTATTTGCTTTTAATATATACAAAAATGTAGAATTAAAATTATGTTCATAATAAAAAATCGACCTTTATTAAAATTATGTACATAATAAAAATTCATATATATCATATATATATTCATATTTATCTTTATGATTTTTTTTAGTTGAATATTTTTTTAATGCTTTATTTCAAGAAGAAAACTGTTTGGCAAGATATACTTTCATAACAAAATATTTGGTGAACTACTTCTAATAGTTTAGAACTTTCCAGAGTAAAAATAAAGAATAAAAATAATCTGGACTGTAAAAATTATGGCATGCTGTTTTACTTTTTATTGTCAAAATAAAAATAAATCAAATAATAAAAAGTCAAAAATAATTAGTTACAAATAAAATAGAAAAATGTATTAAAATTAAGATGCAAGATAATAATATTTTAATGAATTAAAATTTATACTCAACCTAAAACCACATTGTAAAATATTAATTAAAAATTCTCTTTGACGTAAAATAAATTTTATTTTACGTCAAAGAGAATTTTTAATGTCAAGAAATTTGATTATGTGTTAATAACTCAACAATAGTGGATTAAAATAAAATTCCTGTTTTAAATAGAAAGAATAAGAATATTTTTAGGTATCTTAAACTTGTTTTGTTTTTCACCAAATGATTTGTCGTAAAAATGCCTTCTATTAAAGTCATATTCATTATCTTCCTAATATTGTGTTTTCTGCCTCAAATGGAGAATTTAAAAAAGTGACAATTTTTTAATTAAAAAAATATATACATAAAATGGACTTGTTTTGTTTTCACCAAATAATTTGTCAAAAAAATGCGTCTGAAAGTAATATACCTACATTATCTCCCTAAAAAAAGCTTTTCACCTCAAATGGAGAATAAAAAAAAATTTAAATTTTTTAAATTAAAAAAATCATAACTCGAAAACTAAAAAAGATGGACTTGTTTTGTTGTTACCAAATGATTTTTCAAAAAAATGCCTCTGAAAGTAAAATACATTATCTTCCTAAAAAAGTTATTCGCCTCAAATGGAGAATTTAAAAAAGTTAAATTTTTTAAATTAAAAAATCATATCTCGAAAAATAAAAAATTAATCTTTTATGGCAAAAATGGACAAATTAAGATTAAAAGAAAAAAAAGTGGTCACTTGTTTAAAAAAACGAAATATAAAAAATAAATCAAAAGATTTAAAAAAAAATTATATATTTTCAATATTTGTGTGTGTGTGTTAAATGTTAGAAAAAGGAAAAATAAAAAATAATTTTTTTATACTTGAAAAATATAAAAAAATTCAAAAAAAATAAATTTTTGTTCGAAAAAATAATTGTTTAAAAAAACGAAAAATAAAATTTTTTATAGCAAAAATGAAGTATAAAAAAAATTAAAAAAACAGTTCTAAAAAAAAGTGGCAAAATTTAAAAAAATATAACAAAAATAATTTTATCTATTTTGAGTTCATAATGACTTCATTATAACACCGCTTTCGGTGCTGTAATGAGATACTTTATCCCACCCAAAATTTTGATTTTAAAGGTTGGCTATACTTTAAACAGCATAATATTTTGCATATTGGTTATAATATTTTTATGAGTTTTCTAGTACTTACGAGACTTTTCTGGCAATAAATTTTGTTTAACACCAAAGAAAATCCTTTTTTTCTTCTTTAACATTAACAGCCGCTTATTGTAAATAAGTAAATTAAGGACGGCATGGCGAATCGATTTTGACATTAACTGTCAAACCAACTGTCATACCAACTATCTAAAGTAAAATTTGACCAAATTAAATTTAAGGTTTTTTTTTAGAATTTTGCAAAATAGATAAAATAGCATAAAGGACTCATTAAGACCTTTTGTCGCACAAAAGTAAAAAGATACAAAAAAATAAAATTGCCTCTGAAAGTAAAATACATTATCTTCCTAAAAAAAAAATTTCGGCCTCAAATGAAGAATTTTAAAAAAATTTAATTTTTAAATTTTAAAAAATCATCATATTGTTTTGTTTTCAACAAATGATTTGTCATAAAAATGTCTGTAACAACATACGTTATCTTGCCAAAATAAAGTTTTCTTACAAGAACCTAAACCACATATATTTTTGCATGTAATTTCCAATTAAGTATGGAAGTCCCATATATAACATTGTAAATATTTTAACTTTATATCAACCAAAACATTTCAAAGATCATAGACCTTGAACTAATAAATTAAAGAACGTTTAAAGTAATTTTGAACTTAATTGTTTTGTATGTGTTGCAGTCTACTTAAAGATTAATAAATAAATCTTACCATTATTAATTTTGTTTCTGTTTTGATGGAAGTTTTCTTCATTCACACGAGTCACCAAAAAATTATGTAGAACCATTTTACTTAAAAGCGTTTTTCGTAATTAAAAGTTATTATATTATTATCTATGGTTAAATTTATACGTATTTAAATACTTTATTTTTCATGTTTGGGTTATTTCCATAAGCATTAATTTAAGAGATGTGTACAAAAGATAACCATGTTTGCTGGGATAATTTTAATATACTGCAGGCCAAAATTTGTTTTAATATAAAAAATATCATCATAATAGTACAATATTATGCAACAACATTGATAAACATCGAATTTCGATAATAAATTTGAAAAAGAAATTGTGAAAATAGGGACTGATTTAAAAAAAAAATGCAGTATTATTAATATAATTTGTTATTTTAATTAAATTTCATACAATATTTGACTATGTTTTAATAATTATCACAAAATAAATAAAAGAATAAAGTTAAGAAAATATTAATAATTCAACAACAATTTAAAAAACTATTAGATTATGCTCTAAAGGGTACACATTTACAACAAAAATATATTTTCATAAATTCTACTTATTTACACACACAGAAGTCGAGTGGATTTAAATCTGGAGAACTAGAAGGCCAAGGAATTGGCTTGTCTTCTTCTAGTACTTGTCCTTTTAGTACTGTTTCTTCGTTTTCCACTGTTTGAGTTGTTAGATTTATTTATTTCTTGTACCTGTTTTTTATAATAAAAGTATAAGATTTATAAAAGTTGAACTTTTTAAATAAGGACCCTTCTCCTGTCAGCAAGTAAGTATAATAATTCTTATGAAAAATGCATAATTTCGTCTATAAGACATATTTTATTAAAGTAACTAATTTGCTAATAAAGAGAATAAACAGAGTTTGTAAAAAGTATTAGCCACTACATAAAATTAATAAGAATTTTCAAATACACATAGAAATCTGAAGTTATACTGGCTAAAAAACGTGTAATACTCGATATAAAGCGGGTTTATAGTATTTAAGATTTTGATTATATCTACTACAACATCATTTTATGGTGGCAGCATATCGATTTTAAAAGAGATAATACTATTATCATAATAGTATGTCTAATATCTGTTAAAGTGTTACTTTTATCACTTGTTGCACAATATACTATGTTAATAATTACATATGATAACATGGCTATTTACAAGTTTATTTTAAATATATAGTACAAATAAATATCTTGGATTTATTGCAGTGATTTTCTTTCTGTATTGGGAAGAACTATGGACAAAACTGCACAACCTAAAAAAATTATTAAAAATTGTGTTTTGAAGGTAGTTGGCGCTGTTTTGTACCCAATAAAAGTCCTCCTGATGAAAAAAACACAAAACCACATCCCATGCTCAAAAGTAGAGGAAAAAGTAGATTTCCTATTAGTATACCAGATCTCCCTGCCATCATTAGTATTGATAAAGTCATGGATCTACAAATAAATAAAAAAAAATTAACGATTTAAGACTACACTCACAGGCAAAATAATCGATCCACACAAATTTTCGATGAATTTCAATCGCAAATAACTTTTTTATGTGACGTCGGATTTAAACAAATATTAAAGAATATTGTAGATAAATTAATGGAGAATTGCTCACAATTTCAAAGATTACTAAAAATATAGACGTACGTTTATAATATACAGGTTTAAACGAAAAGATGTTTTTACCATAAGTTTAAGACACTCTGTAGAGTGGCAAAACCGTATATTGTTCTAAATTAAAATTTATTTATCAAGTCACATCTATTCTTAACAGTTTTGTTTTTGGTTTACCTCGATATATTTATTTTTGTGGAAAATATGGATTTTTTAAAAAAATATTGCAATTTACAATATTTTTCTGTATGAAGAACTAAGGTTGCTATGGTCCATCCATAGCCTATGGAGAATGACAGTGACAGTTTTGTTGAATCATCCCATACTTTGAAATGTCATACACGGCTTTCAAAAGCTATCAAATTGTTTTTTGCAAATTAATGTTTAAATTTTGAGGTGTTTTCTTACTTTAAAAAATGGATAAGTCTCCGACTGATGTTGCCAGAGCCATTAATTTAATCCAGGATGGACAGTCACAGTATTACATGGCCAGTGTTTTAAACGTCACAAGAAGTAAAGTACAAAAGGTACATCAGTCGGAGACATTTTTAAAAGTAAGAAGACACCTTAAAATTAACACATTAATTTCAAAAACAATTTGATAGCTTTTGAAAGCTGTATATGACATGTCCAAGTATGGGATGATTCAACAAAACTGTCACTGTCATCCTCCATAGGCTATGGATGGACCATAGCATAGTTCTTCATACAGGAAAAATATTGGAAATTGCAATTTTTTTTTTTAAAAATCCATATTTTCCACAAAAATAAATATATCAAGGTGAACCAAAAACAAACTATTAAAAATAGATGTGACTTGATAATTAAAACTTATTTTAGAACAATATACGGTTTTGCCACTCTACAGAGTGTCTTAAACTTATGGTAAAAAACATATTTTGGTTTAAAACTGTATATTATAAACGTACGGATATTTTTTAGTAATTTTTAAAATGTGAGCGATTCTCCATTAATGTATCCACAATATTCTTTAATATTTGTTTGAATCCGAAAACAAATAAAAAAGTTATTTGCAATTGAAATTCATCGAAAATTTGTGTGGATCGATTATTTTGCCTGTGAGTGTATTTATGTATAACCTTTACCTTAAGGTAGTGGGAAACAAATCTATGGTTATTGTTTGCATAACATTGGAACAAATACTACCAATAGAAGCAAAAATACAGGATAACACCAAAATAACTACATTCTTGCTGGAGAAATACATTGCTATAGCACAGGACCCGGATATCAAAAAGGCGACATCTAGAAAATAAATTTTAATTTTTAAAGTTAATTGATTTGTATTTTATAGTAATATTACGCAAAATTTTCTTTCGTCCCACTTTGTTGATAACCACAGCCGCCAGTAGGTAACCCCCTATGGTTACCAAGGACACAATCATGGAGTTTATGTAGACTGAAGAGTTTTTAAAATTCTGAAAAAAATTGTTTCTCTAGTTTCATTTTAATATTAGAAAGGCGGATTATAATAAGGAACAAAAGAAATCCTGCGAAGCTAGATCAGGTGATCTAGCAGGTCAACTAACCGTACCAGCTCTACTAATCCAGCGGCCATTAAAATTGCGATCAAGTGTGCTGGGCAACCATCATGCACAGAAAAAACGCTTTGATATAGTCAATAACAATGCTATAATGGATTGTTTTTTCATTTCTCCAATAAAAGTTAAAGTTTATTCAATCAAATATGTTTGGAGCAATTGAGGGTAAGGGATTGATGTTATTACAAATATTATATTCAGTCCATAACAAAATATTATCAAGTTAAAATTACTTGTTATAGTTCACTGAATGGCTTTAATGGAAATGTGTACTTCCTTGAAAATTTTACAAATGATTGCATTCAAAGTTTATCTGATCTGATCTACTTGCCTATAGTTAAATGTGATCAACTGATTAATCGTAGTGTTTGGTTGTTTGTTATATTTGCTAATTTCTTGGGGGTTGTACTCCCTAATCCAGAATTTTCAGGGTAAGTTGTACATGTTTTTTAATTGTATGTCCGCCATGCATTATCCAGTAATTTAATTACTCAATTATATCTAAATGATAACAAAAAGGTAAATTTGTACTCATATAGGTATATACCATGGACACAGTTTATCTTGATATTCGGTATTTTTTTTAAATAGGCGAAGTTTTTATTTATTTATAAAAAACTTCTCATAGTCTTTTAGTACCATCATGATATCCTTGCAGGGCGTCCTGAAAGTATATATTGCTTTTAGACTTTCAGCAATCTTTAGGATTCGCCTCTAAATATCTTCATAAGATGAAATTCCTATTTCGTTTTAGAAAAACCATGTGCCATGGCAGACAGATCCTGCACATCCAGTACAGTAACTGTTGCTAGTGACGGGTCAGCGACTTTCTTAGAGCCTAATATCACCAACACTTCTAGTGGGTTCCTAATAGTTCCTACAGAAAACAGAACAATTTAATTTTATGGATCGAAAAACCTGGGTACACAAGACTACCAGAAGCAGTTTCCAGAATTCATTTTATTTAAAGTTCATATTATGTATTATAAAACTAATATTTGCACGAGAATATACATATTTAAAGGAAATAGAGCTTTGATTGCATTTAATGTAGCCATTCATTAGAAACCATAACTTTATTTATGCCAATGATAGTTTTTCATTAAGATTTATTATGGCTTCAATTAAATTACAATTTAATTCAATAATTTCTTATGTATTAACTAAGTCAGTTTTAATACGGATTTAATAGAATCACAATTTAATTGAATGACTTCTTATGTTTGAACTAATTTTAAGCAGGTTTGCACAAATAAAAGTAAGACACTCATTCATTTGATCATGTGAGCTGTAATTCAGGTTTTGCAAGTACAGTACACCATTGGCTCAATGGTTAACCCATTCACAATATAAAAGCTTTTGGTTTCAACACGTTGAAACCACATGTTCTGTCGTACTTCCAAGCTTAAGTCTTCAAGTAATGTGGATAGTTTATTTTCCAAAATATACACTTCGCCATTTAAGTTCTCTTCAATCATGTATACATAGGGACCGATGAGATTGTTACCAACCATTCCACAGCACACGTTGACAGTCCAAGGACGCTGATGTTCAACTTGACTGAGCCAACGCGGATTTTTAACACGGAGAACAATACAAAATTGGATTTTGTTGCATTTGTTCACGTGCCCACTGGCAAAAAAATAACCGATTTTGAAAATCCAAACCTTGAAGCTTCTGATGTAACGAAATATGGTAAGGTTGGTATTTATTTTGTTTTAATATTCTAATAACACTGCTCTGGGATATTCCGAAATCGCAAAATAATTCTCAAACTAAGCACGCATTATCAAATAGTTTTAAATCATTTTTAGAAGTCTTTAAACAAGAAGGAGCTCAAATTTTGATTACAAAATTTAGGGCAATATTTCATTCTATTTATCCCAAAAAATGACAAAATGATATTGATTAAAATGAACGCTCATATGTTAAAATTATTAAAAATAATATCAGCAAGAACTTTATGGAATAGGTTTCTTACCACTGTACAAGGAATTGACGCGTGTTTCGGTGACAGCATTTCGATCATTTCACACAAACTGGACGATTTGTTTTCATATTTAAACTGGAAATCGTTTATGGCTTGAAAAAGTTGCGGCAACCAAATTTTAATGGTATTTACCCTAAAAGAAAACAAGTCAAATAATAAGGTTGTTTTATTCGTGGTAGAACTGTGTCCTATCCTACAGCATTAGATTTAAAATCCGTTGCCAACTACTTGCGACCAAAATTCATATGGGTATAAATTCCATTTTTAGTTGATTTTTTTATTATTTTGCAACTAATTGCATTGTCAGTTCATGAGGCGTTGTTATAGTGTATGTGAATGAATAAAAATCTATAACATCGCTTTTAAAAATTTCGCCAGTAACAGTCGCAACGCTTGGCAACGTCGTATTCGCTGTCTCTTTCACCCTCACGCTTGCTACATACGTTCTCACTCACACCTATGTAGCACCGGGCGAGAGCGTTCCTATCTGACGTCAGCGACGTTGCCACGTATCTCCAGTGCAAGCGTCAAATTTCGTAAATTCACCGATTTAATCCAATAGAACTTTTTTCCTACCGACACACAGTGTTACAATTCTCGAAATTTTCGGCAAAATATCAGAGTAGTCGGATTCTCCTAAAAATCCGTATATAGAGGTTTTTGGGGTCGCTGATAACGAATCTGGAATCAGAATTCCAAAATTCAAAATGGTAGATCCAAAATGGCGGACATATTTGTCAAAAAATTGACGGAATAAATTGAAAATCACCATACAGGGTTTTTGGGGTCGCTGATAACGAATCTGGAATCAGAATGTCAAAATTAAAAATGGTAGATCCAAAATGGCGGACATATTTGTCAAAAAATTGACGAAATAAATTGAAAATCACCATACAGGGTTTTTGGGGTCGCTGATAACGAATCTGGAATCAGAATTCCAAAATGGTAGATCCAAAATGGCGAACATATTTGTCAAAAAATTGAAGGAATAAATTGAAAATCACCATACAGGGTTTTTGAGGTCGCTGATAACGAATCTGGAATCAGAATGTCAAAATTCAAAATGGTAGATCCAAAATGGCGGACATACTTGTAAAAAAAATTGACGGAACTAATTGAAAATCACCATACAGGGGTTTTTGTGTTTGCTGATAATGAATCTGGAATCAGAATTCCAAAATTCAAAATGGTAGACCTCAAATGGCGGACATTTTTATCAAATATTGTCGAAATTAATTAAAAATCCGTAAGAGGTTCTTTTTAAAATGTAATAAAACATCTTTTTATAAAATAGCTTAATTTAGTTTATTATAATTACATTTATATGATATTATTTAATAATTACATATATATTAAACAATCTTCGTCATTGGATTCGCTCGTTGTATCATTAGCAGAGCATGGGAAACCATCAGAAGATAGCAACAGTTTTATTGCTTCGCGGGACATAGATTTGCTCTTTTTCGGAGCAATTATTCTGAAGCTAGAAATATACGGATCGGAAGATGCCATAAGCCAATGGAAAACATCTTCCATCGTTTTCTCCCGAGAAACTTTCAAAATTTATTTATAAAATTTAAATATAACAGATTTTATACTAAGTATTTTAAATTTGTATTATTTCTTTTACTTAATATTTTAGCAACAATTTCTTAATTTGCTAAAAAAATTGTCAACACAAATAACCACAATTCAAATTTGACATTAACACACTACAATGCGCATGGGGAGTTGTTTTAACGCACCTACAAGAGGTGGGTTAAATATGTAAAATCGGTGTTAAATATCTTAGTAGTCACGAACGATTTAGGCAAGTGAAAGTCTAGACACCGCTGTTGTAATAAACATGTAGTTTTAAAGAGCCGGGGGCAAGTTGGGGCAGCTAATTTTTTGATGGCTTGATAGACAAAACTCTAAGCTATTCAGCGGATCTTGAACTGATGCCTTACAATTCATTACAATTTTTGTAGCTCCATTGTTCTAAAAGCTCGATTCAAAGTTTGCGATTTTAACGGACCGATCTTTTCGGTTACAAAAACCCGTTGTACAAGCAAAATCTACGAAAAACAAATACCTACACATCTGAATTTTAGATACCTTGAAGATCACCCTTCATCAAACCGCATAACAATCGGACACACCAAACACAAGTTATTCACTTTTAAACAATAAACAATTTTCCGCAGCGATCGCGTGTACCTTCAACTGAAAGCGTCAAGTTTAAACTGATGTACAAGAGAAAATATACGTATTTTATATATATTTTTTTCAATACAGGATGAAGAGAGGTATTAACTATCCATCTAACTCAAAATTTACCTGAAAAAAAATGTAAATTTTTAAGGTTTTGCCGATATTTTCCAGAATTGAAACACTGTGCGACATGATCATTATGAAACTTCGCGTATCATGTTTTGAAATCACGCTCCACGATATACTCATTTTTCATTGCAATCCTATCATTACCAATAATTATTTCGGAGGAGAAAAGAGTGTTACTTAACTTTGAAATGTATTTACTCGGGTACCAACGAAAATAATTTTTATTAAATTAAACAGGATGTGAAGCATCATAAAGAATTTATTTGTAAATTTGTATCAAATTCTGATCATTCGACACTCACTCCAGGACAACCTTAAATTAAAAAGTAAACTTCGTGTAACTTACGTCATCATGAGAAGAAACTGTATAAAACACACCAAGATCAGTTTTGGTAACAGTGGCGGAAAAAACAGTGGTTTCAACTGTTGCCAACCTTCCCGTAATGCTTGGGTTTTGGTTCTGTTGGCCGTCACTAGACCTCCGTGGATATGATCCTCATTTTGGTGGAGTTTAATTTCATCTACTAACTCTTTAATCTTAAAAAAAGTTATTAAAAAATATATACATGGTGTCCCATAGATTTTCCCTGACAAACATAAAATGCTCAAACAATTTAAAAAGCATTTTGCTCAATTTTGGAAATTTACAAAATTGGTCCAGGAGAAACGCGATTAAATAATTGTTCGGTGATCATGGGACACCCTGTATAGATAACTTAAATTTATACCGGAAATGTTGCTTCCGATTTTCCAGTGTTTATCCTGTAGACCCTCTTAAAAATTTGCAATGCCTCTTTATTTTGCCCAACAGACATGAGAAATTTAGGACTTTCTGGCATAACAATAAAAATTAAACCACTTAAAATTGCAGGGAATGCACATATCAGTAGAAAAATATTCCAGGCATGAATTTCTGTAACATTATTATGACGAGAACAAATAAAATATAAAAACATAGGGTAAACCACATAGTTATTGGACACTTTTATAAAAACATGCAAAAAGTATAGTAATTGGACATTTTAATAGTAATTGGACAAATGGAACATAGTTATTGGACAAACAATTTTTATATAAACATAACAACTTAACATAGAATAAGATAAAATATTTTTTAAAGATAAATTGCTGTTTTAGGTAATTTTTTTTATTTCGTTTTTGTAAATGGGCAAATTTTCGTTAAATGTACATTTGCTGTCCCCAGCTAATTTTATTTTTATTTTTGACTTTTGTTGATAAGTTTTGTATTTATTATATTTAAATACCCCCTTCCTGTTGGGACCCATCGTATTTTGTTTTTAATTACTTTGTGTTTCTATATATATGGCAGAAAAACTAGGTGAAATGTCCTGTAACCTAACTGTCCCCAGAGGCGATTTTTTAATTTAAATTATTATATTCTTCTTCTTTGCAGCTTTCTTCTGAAAAAATAAATTATTTTTGAACAATGGAAAGTTCTTTTATTCGTATACAAAACTAAAATAAACTGCGCACCACTCAATGTGTCGCGACCAAAAAGTTCGTTCTTTTTTAAAACGACGTAACTTTTTTGTTTCTTGAACGATTTAATTTTGGTCTGTGATGTCTGCTAGCCTCATCCTCTGGCAATTCATGCTATAGATATGAAGCTCACGGTTCTTCAAGTAAATTTCCTACAGGGTGATATGTTAAACGGTGAAAAATTTCAATAAATTCATCCAAGCCCCGTTTGTAAAAAAATGATTTTTTTCTCGTTTTTATTTTAAAATAATGAAGTATTATGTGTTACCTTGAAATATTTTTAAAGTTTTTCGAATTGGAATCTTAGCAACGACGATATGATTTTCTTTCGGATTTTATTAAGACATTTAACAGCCGGGAATTGTTTACGAATTTTGATTCTTGGTGATTTTGGTTTTATCTGAAACTTAAATTTGACAACTGAATCACAATCAGGAGGTCAAAATTATAAAGAAAACATGTCACGAACGTAAATATCGGTTCAGGTTTAGTTTTCGCAAATTTTTACCAAAATGTCATTTTGAAAAAGTGGTCTTTACTTAGGCCCCTTTGAAAATAATGGAAGTTTGCTGCTTGTGGCTTGTTCAGAATTATTCAAGGAACAATCTTTTACAATCTTATTTTCTTGTTCTTAAAAAGACTGAGTGTATTGCCTACCAAAAAGCCTTAAATGTACTCTTTTGTAAAAAAAAATCAGATCTTCGTTGCTAAGAATCCAATTCGAAAAATTTGAAAACCCTTTCAAGGTAAGACATAATTCTTCATTATTTCAAAGTAAAAACAAGAAAAAATATTTTTTTTTTCAAACGGGGCTTGGATGAAGTTATTGAAATTTTTCACCGTTTAACATATAACTCTGTAGGAAATTTACTTGACGAACCGTGAGCTTCATATCTATAGCATGAATTGCCAGAGAATGGAGTTAGCAGACATCACAGACCAAAATAAAATCGTTCAAGAAACAAAAAAGTTATGCCGTTTTGAAAAAGGGCGAACTTTTTGGTCGCGACACATTGAGTGGTGCGCAGTTTAGTTTTTTACAAAGTAGTTTAAACAGAAAAAAATTTTAAAGTTGACATTCAAAAATCTTGTCTTTTTTCTAACGTCGTCTTCTATGCCGACTGCTTCGAAATGGAGACACGAGATAGAGATACTAGCATTTTATTTCTAGAGGGCATCCAGTTTGATAGTTCGGAAACAACAATGAATATTTTTGTAAATATTTTAAAGGTAAGATTTTTTTGCGTACACTTTTTGGTGTCTTTTACAAAACGCTACATATAACTCTTGTTTTAGAAGTTAACTTTTTTATTTTCATTTTGTATCATAGCATAGTAGAAATTCCAAACAAATGCCGAAAGATATTTACATTTAACAGTATTTCTGAAAAATAACGTTTGAAAAAGTCAAAAGCAATGTGTCATAAAACGTTCATGAAGATGCGTTAGGAGGAGGACAATGTTTCATTTCTTCCTTGTGTTCCTTCCCTATTTCAGATTAACCATATAAGTTTTATTTATTTAAAATTTATTTTTGTTATTTATAAACTTATAGAATTTTTTTTCAGTATATTACACTGTTCTATCACAAAGGAAAAAAATCGATCAAATTGACCTGCCTGGACAAAATATATATACAAAATGTACATTTAACGAAAATTCGCCCAAATATCATATAATTCATATATTTCTTTCTCGGATTCCTCATTCAGTTCTGCATCAGTAAATTCTTCACTTCCATTAGAATTATTATTATTATCATTACTCTCTTTGTAACATGACATAAAAATATATCATCTTCCAATTTTTACGGTATATGTTCTTAATGTTTCCTAGGAATGCACTACTTATGAAATTTTTTTTGAAATTCAGTACAATGTAAACCTTTACTTTTAATAGCTTAACTGACCACAGGTAGGTTTGTTTACTGTTTGTTTGAATTTTTTAACTATATCCTGCTTTTTTTATTCGCGTTTTCTTTTTCTTTCATTCTTTTGCTTGCCTTTTTCTTTTAGCAAACGTTTTCTTTTATGCATTTCTTGATATTCTCTAGAAGTGATAGGAAGCAAATGGAAATCTCTTTATTCTAAAAGTAACTACTAATTCCTTGGTCCGACTTCTGAAATAGTTTGTTACAAATATCATTAAGTGTGGTATCCCTAGTTTGTGAAGCATTTATAATGTTTAGGCCCGAACAGTATGATTTATATATATCTAATATTTTTTAGAGAAGTGGTGCAAACGTTACTTTATTCAATACCTCGCCATTCACGAACTCCCTGTAGCCATGCCATTTGTAATGGTGTAAAAACTGATACTTCGGCCGGTTAAAGAATTCTTGTGGCGTTTGGACAGAGATGACCTCAATTTTTAACGGATTGCACAACACACTTAGTTCGTAACAAATTATAGATATTGGACACTAAGAAAAACAGTTATTAGACAACTGTTTGTCCTATATTGGACCCAAAAAAAAGTAGTTTTATATTATTACCGCGGTAATAATACGTCGCGACTGAGATATTTATAATTGTATACAGCGCCATCTAATGATTTGACTTTAAGGTAACTTAAATAGAACTCTTGTTTTTACAGTATATATGTCCGATAACTGTCTAGTTTACCCTAATATAACAATACACAGTTTTTTTTTCTAATGTAACCTACCTATTTTTTTGAGTAGGTTTAGATGTATATCCCTAGGTAATATGGACCAGGCTAGTAGAGGCAAAACGACATTCCCCCCACTTATTATAATTCCCCTGGCAATCTGTATTCTGGATCTGTATTTAACGCAATGGAATTCGGATAAATAGCACGACAAAGCTGCAAAAGGTCCGTTGATGCTACAAAATATTGTTAAGGGTATATAGAGTGTCATTGTTTAAAGTCTTTTGAACAAACATAGGACAAAAACCATTTCAGGTCCAGAGAATGTAGATGAAATATTAAGGTTTACTGATACAAAAATGGTTATGGTCCCGGATGCCATTTTGTAGTATTTACATAAATCCCCCAAAAAACTTGACCACCATTAAGAACATGAAACTTTGTGACGTTGAACTAAGCAGTATGAAAAATCCATCAAGTAAAAATCCTGCCATGATCAACTTTTTTCGGCCCAATGTGTCGCAGAGATAGCCCCATATTAAACCGCTTGCTATCATGCCTAAAATGTACAAACATTACTATTTTTGTTGCATTAAGCCTGAATTATAGATTGCCTTCCTTCCTTCCTTCCCGTAGAAGATGAACTTTACGTAATTGTCACCATTAACATTTCCCGTGTAGGAATTTTTAATACTTTGTGATAATATTTTGCAATTATAGTAATAAAAAAAATCAAAGAATAAAATATTTTCTTAACAAAATCATATTTTGAAGTTATTTTAATATTTTAAAGTATCAATAATTGTTAAGTTTAATTAAAATTAATAACGGACAATGTTAATGGTGACAATTACGTCAAAAAAGTTTATTTAAATCGTAGTGCCAGCTATAGATTTCCGTACCGTAAGGACGGCATTCCTTCCTCCCGTAGAAATTTTTAAGTTTTATCTTTCACCGTAAAGGTCTTTGACATGACCAATCACAGTGCTTGTTATGGACATGCGCTGTAGGGTGACAGCGCGTAGGCTCAAAATATTTAAAATACATAATGTTTAGTAATATTTAAGATAGGTGTTGAGTTTATAAAATAATTTGTGTCTCTAAATAGGATATTTAGATATTGTTTATGATCAATGTCTTTCATTTTTAGAAACGTTGCTTTGTAAAACCCCGTAGTTTCCCGGTCTTGGTAAAGTGGGCGAGTCTTCCAACGTCTTGTTCGATGTTTTTTTTCATTATACTGCCCTACTATGGAGAAAGGCAGTAACTACAGAGGCGTTTTCTTGTGCTATGATAAAACTATGGACATTTAGTATCTTAATTCAACAAAGAAATGCAGTAAACTATCTTTTAAGTTAAATAAATCAGTTAAATACCTACTGCTTTTTATAAAAATGTAGTTATGCTAATTTCCCACAAATTTCTTGTTTAGCAGTTACTGCCTTTCTCCATAGTTGGGCAGTATACAACAAGCTGCCTGGGCAATTAAAATTGTGATCACTGCACTAATAAATAAATGTTTATTTTTCATATTTACACACAATGGGTAGAATATCAACAAAAACAAATGTCAACCATTTTAGGTGTCATCGCGCATGGTTACGGAATTTTACACGGAAATCTATAAATTGACTTTTTACAAGACGCATAAATCGTACGGGCACGACTACGGGAGGAAGGAAGGAAGGCAATCTATAATTCAGGCTTTAAACTGTAAAAATGTTTACCTCCAAAACCCATAGCATTTAGAATGCCCTTATCCTGCAGAGTCAAATTTAAATCGCATTGTGCAACTGGCAGGACATACGACATTGTGGAACTCTCAAAAACTGGGGACATCGCTGAAGGAATGGCCACTAGCAGCAAAAAAATGTTAAACTTTCCGAAACCAGTGGCTGACACAGCAGTTTCAAAATTAGCCATTTCAATATCTAAAAATGTTTTGATTTCCAGAATGTAGGATTTAGAATTAGATTTCTTACTTGTTTTACTGGGGGCCACAATTATTTCTTCGCTATACATTCGGGGACCATCGGGTCCTTCGGGTTTTGACATTGTCTCGATTTGTGACATTTTTCAATTCGCACGGTACCAACTTAAAAAATAGAAATGTATTGGAACACTACACTCACAATCCACACAACAAGGTCTGTTCTATCTCATGCTAAAAATACTAAAAATCACTGCAACACTGCACAGAGTTTAACGGCGGCCATTTTTGTTGTTTACAATTCTTGTGCTTTGGGTTTGTGCTGTTTAATAATTATTTTAAACGTTGTGTTTCTTTCAGAGGCACTTGTAAGCCTCAAATAAGGCCTTTAAGTGCTAAGGACAACCATTTTACTCATCTTTTATAATAAATATACCTTATTCTATCAGGGCTGTCAAATGACAATTTGAACGTTAATTTGTGGGTTATAATTTAACCTTAAAATTGACATTTGACAGTTTTATGACAGCCCTGATAGAATAAAGTTTATTTTTTACAATAGAGGAGTAAAATGGTTGTTCTTAGCACTTTAAGGACTCTTTTAAGGCTTACTATGAGAAACACAACGTTTAAAACGATTATTAATCTGTATAAACAGAGCACAAACCCAAAGCACAAAAATTGTAAACAACAAAATTGGCCGCCGTTAAACTGTACAGTGTTGCAGTGATTTTTTGTATTTTAAGTACGAGATAGAACAGACCTTGTTGTGTGGATTGTGACTACACTCAGAATTTTTTTTAATAAATATAACAAAAAAGTAGTTTGTTTTAATAAAGTAAATATCATTTTATTAAAAATTATTTATCTACAAACGCTGCTTTCAGTAATAGCATTTGCATTAATTATAAAGTAAATTTACGTCATTTTTATAAAAATAACACTCTTCCAGATGCAGAAACGCATTGATAAATATAGTTGTTATTATTATTTGTCCAAAAACAACAGTTCTATACTGTTTACAAAAACGTTTTGTAGTATTAATGAAACCCTAATTATTCATAGAAATTTTGTAAATTTTACAAATACCTTTTCGTTTAAAATAAAACTTTTTTTATAATATTAATAAAATTTATGTACATTTAATAACAAATTAATTGTTAATTCAATAAACTATTTTCATTGTAACAATGGTCACATTTTTAACCTACTGTTGGGTAGTTTTTTTAAAATAATTGCAATACATTAAAACAAATTATTTAGTATAAGAAAAAATTAACTCATATTATATGATGTTCAAAAAAAAAAATTGAACTCACTTTTTAAACAACAAGTCTGCTTCGTTTGTAGAATAGACCTTAAATATTTCTTTTAGAAAACGTCGGAATTTTAATTTTCTTAGTGATTTTTTTGATATTTTTATCATGCTAAATTTTACCACACTTCACTCTCACAAGTAAAATCAATAAGATTATACACAGACTGTGGATTATAAAGTTATGTTCACCAAGGAGAGCGCTGGCCCTTTCCCCCTCTTTTAAGGGAAATAACAAAAAATTTTTTACCATTGCAAAAGAATAGTAAATATTAAAAAAGTCTTTTTATGGCAATAAAATATTTTTGTTATTGTTCTTAACGTAAGATTTTAACAAAGATCTTTTAACTAAAATAAAATTAATTTGAATTACAACGATAGTAATTTAAAAAAGACAAATATGCCATAGTAAAATGAACACATTTTACTATAACAACTGCCTATTACTTTATTTTTAAAAAAGTTTATTCTGCAAATAAAAATAATCTCATTACTTCGAAAAATAATATGTTTTTGTCTGAAAGTTTAATAAAAAAGGTACCTTAGGTAACATTTAAGATTAATTTCACAAATGGAAATACCACAGTTAAAACCATTTTTTATTTATAAAAGGTAGATATCCATTTTCTTTATCCAGACTGCAGTATTTATGCCACCACCCCTAATTTTCTTCTTAAACAATTCTAATCCAGTAAAACCCGCTTCAAAAATATCACCCACTTGTTGCGCCCATATCTGCGACGCTTCCTGCCATTCCACAGCAGCAGGACCTCATTGTTCCTGCGAGTTTCGAAAAAAGCGGTCCTGTAGACGCACAAACGTTTTACGTAGCTTTTTATTTGAGAAATTTTATTGAAATATAGTTAAACGAAAAGTTATACTTAATGTGAAGACGTGAGTTCAAAAAGTGTTTTTAATATTTTTACTGTCCTGAAAATAGTATATCATATAAAAAATGTATGGTATGTTATTAGAGAGTGTTCAACATTTTGTACAGGTAAGGTTTTTATTTCTATACCTAACGGTATTTACAAAAACCATTGTAATAAAAAAAATAAAAAGAGTACTTTTTTGTTGTAAATAAATTGTACTTTATTTTTCTCCGTAGAAATTTGAAAGATGCGAAAATTAATAAAATTGATATTAATTACTATTTTTATCTATTTTACGTTTATAATGACTTCATTATACACGGAGAGAAATGTATAGTAAATTGTAGATGGTAAAAAAATATAGTAAAATTTACTTTAACAAATTTTTAGGGTAACAATACTATATATTCGTCAATACAATATTAAGATTGTAATACAAAATACTATTTTTTATTATACAATTTTAGTAAAGATTACAACACCAATATAATCATAAATGTATAATATATATTTTAATTTTTAATATGTTCGTATAGTAAATTGATTTTACTATCTACAAATAGTAATATTTACTATATGATTTAATCAAATGTCAGGTGTGCATCTAATATTATAATATATTACACATTAATAAAAAAATATAGTAAAAATAAAGATACTTTTATAAATAAACAATAGATTTACATTCAATTTTCTTAGTTTCTTCAATAAACTTTCTTGACCAATTAATGGTAATACTTATAAGAAAGAATGGAACCTACTTGGTTGCATAGTATGTACCGATTGCGGCAAAGGCCACGTCGCGACGCGTCGTTAGATGGTGTGGATCACGTGATGTTCTTACATCTCGCCTCTGTTGGCTTACCAACCATGTTATATAAGCTCAGGTATTTCTTTGTTTTGGATATGTTCCACTACTACAAGTTGCTCGACAGTGTCGTGTAGACACTGATGATACCCAATATAGGTCAAAACACCTGTCTGTCGGTATTTGAAGTTGATGGAACGCACACAAAACAAAAAACTTTGGCGAGGTGTAGGTTCAATTCTTTCTCATAACATTTTTGTATATTAAAAAGTACAATAAATATGTTACAATTTTTAATTGTTAACATATAAAAATATTTGATTTTAAAATATTTTATATTTAAAATGGCAACATAATATTTTAAAATTTACTATACTTATTAGTAATGGAAAAAATCTAATTATAATAAGAATTAAAAATAAAATTGGTTGAGAATAATAATATTTTAACATACATGGATATTTAAAAATAGTAATATAAATTATAGTAAAGGGTATTATAATTATGGTAATCAGCATTATACTTTTCTCTCCTTGTACCACCGCTTTCAGAGCTGTAATGAGATACGTTATCAAACCCAAAATTTTGATTTTATAGGTTGGCTATACTTTAAACAGCATAATATTTTGCATATTAGTTATAATATTTTTATGATTTTTCTAGTACTTAAGTTTAACACCAAAGAAAATCCTTTTTTTCTTCATTAACATTAACATCCGCTAAATAAGGACGGCATGGCGAATCGATTTTGACATTAACTGTCAAACCAATGACTGTGATACCGACTATCTAAAGTAAAATTCTACCAAATTAAATTTAAGGTATAAAATTAATTTTTTTGTATAGAATTTTTGCAAAATAGCATATAGAACTCATTCATTACAAATTGTCCTCGTGCGACAAAATGACATCTTATGACATTAGTTCTTTAATATACTATTATCTACTCCTATTGCATAATCTTTAAATGATCTACTTATTAGAGTAGATAAAGTATAGTATTTTACACTAGAGATTATGCGCATTATTTACTCGCATCCTTGTGTATACACACAAAAAAATCTAATATCAATTTGAACAAATAACATATTTTCAAATAATTAGGTTTAGGTTAATACAAATAAGGTTTATTCTGTTACCAAAATTAATTCATATCAAGTATAATATATTGTTAAATATAATCATTAAATTGATTATAAAAATATATATTTTTATGTATAACAAAGATAACTAAATTTAGCTATAATAATAACAAAACATCCCTGTGAACACTTGCTTTATACTTAAAACATCCTTACATGTAATCATTCAAATAATAAAAAGTGACACTATCATTATTTTAATAATAAAAACGTACTCTATCTTCAAATTGAGCATAACAAAAGAACCGCGCAAAAATACGTTCTACAAAGAGGGCGGCATCCATCTTCTTTGGCATAATTAAGTAAACTTCCGATGCGCGTGGACCTGTTTTGTGTAATTATTGTGCCTGTGGTTTGTTCTGTGGTGGTGATTGTGTTATTTTTTAAAGAAATAGTATTTCTGAAATACCTATTATGGAGAAATTGCTTAGAACATGGGGGTATCCTGACGAAGTAATAAATTCATTTCTAGTACCATAGTACAAAAAAATATTTGATATTTTTTCACATCATAAAGTCATTTGTATTGCTTAACCCTTAACAACAAAGCATAAATGACATTTGGTGGTTATAACCATATATATACAAATAGTTTGTTTACCTATTAGGTATTATCATTGTGTACTAAACATGTATAGTCTTATTTTTATGTATATTGCAGTAGGTAGTTTAGAGTGTATAAAATTTTACTTATTATCAGAGACCCTATATAAATGTATTAAGAATTTGTGTTTTTATTTAGAAAATATTGTATTTTTATTTAGAAAATAAATCGTTCCATATTATTTTTTGTTGGTTTTCATTTAAAAATAAATATAGTAATCTAAAAATAAAGAAGTTTAAAAAAAATATAAGTATACACTTACAGTAAGTATAATTCAATTTAACCTAAAGCAAGACCTAATTTCAATATTAACATATAAGAATACAAGCCCAGGCTGGGATTGTATTCTTATATGTTAATATTGAAATTGGGCTGCCCAGCATATTCTTATTTAAACCTTAAACTACATATGTCTCAATTAAAAAATAGTTTTACTCCGATAAAAGACAAGCTATATTAACATATAAAATAATTATTTTCAATTTGAACTTAAACTATATTTAATCTAAATAAAACCAATTATAAATAGACCCATAAGATAATTTTAAATTGAAGTTAAGGCTAATATTAAATCGAGTTTAAATTTAAATTTACACCTATAACATAAGTACTCTCAAGTTAAATACAAAGTAGGTATACATTTGGTATAAAAGTTAAAGAAAAGGTAATTTTAACGTAAGCATACACTAATCTTGCTCCTATTCATGACTATGATAGTTTCATACTGATGCTAATAGTTTCAACTCGAGATTAGATTTTTTTGTGTGTAATAGCTTGCATTATCTCTCGTGTAATAATATAGGTACTATTACAAATTTTAAATTAAAGTTTTGTTTTAAGGAATACCTTGTAGGTTTTTGTAAAGACCCTGACATCTGCAATTATATTTCCACCTGCATACAGTATTAAGTAATAATTTATCAATTTAGCCATTAAAAATTTCTACATTTGGTACATTTAATCGATTAATTGCAATTACATGTGATGGTTATAAATTTTATTGATATATATTATCATCTAGGGAAGAATTTAATACCATAGTAAAGCTATTAAAAGTTATTTTTATCTTCTATATTTCTATTGGGGATATTATACATATATATTAATTGTTGTGTATACAGGGTGTCTACCTATTTTTAGTCGAATGATCCGAATCTGCAATAAAAAATAGGGTGTTCCATTGGACATTTTAAAGTTACCTCCTGTCTCAATTTTAGTACTGATTGATTTAACTTGAATCTTTGAAATATCTCAGTTGGTATGCATATTACGAAAAAATGTTTAAAATAACGTACATTATGAGAAAGGTCTAATGTGAAATTTAATAATTTTTTAGCTGGAATACGGAGAGGACATTTGGGAAAAAGTGCTGCAAATTTCCGAGTGTAAATATAATGTTTTCAATACACACCAAGTGTATCCTGATAATATTATGGCAGATTTGGCTCATGCTTTGGCCAAAGTAACCGATAAAAGTCATGAGGAGCTTATGACTTTTTTTGGGAAATGCTTTGTGAGATTTTTTAGCAACTATGGGTAAGTTCTATTTTACTGTATATCCACAGGATATACACTCACAGGCAAAATAATCGATCCACACAAATTTTCGATGAATTTCAATGGCTAATAACTTTTTTATTTGATGTCGAATATAAACGAATATTAAATAATATTGTAGATAAATTAATGAACAATCGCTCAAATTTTAAAAAATTACTAAAAAATAGACGTACGTTTATAATATACAGGTTTAAACAAAAATATGTTTTTTACCATAAGTTTAAGACACTCTGTAGAGTGGCAAAACCGTATATTGTTCTAAATTAGGTTTTATTTATCAAGTCACATCTATTCTTAACAGTTTTGTTTTTGGTTCACCTCGATATATTTATTTTTGTGGAAAATATGGATTTTTTAAAAAAACATTGCAATTTCTAATATTTTTCTGTATGAAGAACTAAGGTTGCTATGGTCCATCCATAGGCTATGAAGAATGACAGTGACAGTTTTGCTGAATCATCCTATACTTGGACATGTCATACACGGCTTTCAAAAGCTATTAAATTGTTTTTTGCAAATTAATGTTTAAATTTTGAGGTCTTCTTACTTTAAAAAATGGATATGTCTCCGAATGATGTTGCCAGAGCCATTAATCTAATCCAGGATGGACGGTCACAGTATTAGGTGGCAAGTGTTTTAAACGTCACAAGAAGTAAAGTACAAAGGGCAACATCAGTCGGAGACATTTTTGAAAGTATGAAGACACCTCAAAATTAACACATTAATTTACAAAAAACAATTTGATAGCTTTTGAAAGCTGTATATGACATTTCCAAGTATGGGCAACAAAACTGTCAATGTCATCCTCCATAGGCTATGGATGGACCATAACAACCTTAGTTCTTCATACAGGAAAAATATTGGAAATTGCAATGTTTTTTAAAAAAATACATATTTTCCACAAAAATAAATATATCGAGGTAAACCAAAAACAAAACTGTTAAGAATAGATGTGACTTAATAAATAAAACTTAATTTAGTTTTACCACTCTGCAGAGTGTCTTAAACTTATGGTAAAAACATCTTTTTGTTTAAACCTGTATATTATAAACGTACGTCTATTTTTTAGTATTTTTTTTAAATGTAAGCGATTGTCCATTAATTTATCTACTATATTCTTTAATATTCGTTTAAATCCGACATCAAATAAAAAAGTTATTTGCGATTGAAATTCATCGAAAGTTTGTGTGGATCGATTATTTTGCACGTGAGTGAATTACACTAGTTTACAGCCATTTTGCCCACCATGTGTCACTATGATTTTCTTGTGTAGTTTGGCTCACTAAACGCAAAAATCACACCCAAAATTTTTTTCATGGAAGCGTTTTCAAGATATTAATTTTCAATTGTTTTTTTTTTGAATTTTTTTGACGTTTTAGAGTATACTTCGAGTTCTAATTGATCGATTTGACCAAACAAGCACTTAAATCAAAGGTAATTGAGCCCTCTACAACTTTCTTTTGTATAGTTTTGGTATCGGCCTAGTAATTCGATGTTAACGATTTTTTTAAGTTGAAAAAGTCCTTTTTTTACAAAAATCGTGGTCGAAAATTTACATATCTTTCTGGGAAAAATAGAAATCGAAAAGATAAGTCCAGTATGCATCCCAAAAACCGTAATACTGCCGCTCCATAGCCTTCATTTGCTGGTGAAACGTTCTCCGTGCTCATCACTTACGTCGCCCAGATTGTGCGGGTTATTTACGCACTCGAACTCTCTACTTCTTTTACTCATTTTACACTTTTTATTAACTAAATAAACAATGATAAAAATACCTTGTTAAAATGTCAAAAAATAACAGTAAAATGTCAATATTCCAACAAAAGAAACAAAAGAACTCACGTTTGCGGAGTCATGTCAAATTTAAATTTTGAATAATGTTTTCGGTGAAATGAGTACGTAAAAACTCAAAAAATTCCAATTATGCACTTTAATTAGGTTTTTATTAAAGAACAAACATATTACAAAATAAAATAAAAAATCCTAAAGATCGTCAAAAAGCTGAATTTTGGTCTTCCACTAAAAAGTTAACATAACTTCGCCATCTATCCATGGATTTTTATCAACATTAGCTTGTTTTTTTTTTGTAAAAATGTCAGCTTTACGAAAAAAAATCAAACTGGAGTTATCTGTTTAATTTAAACCTTTCCCCATGACGATATGTAAATTTTCGACCTCAATTTTTGCCATAAAAACGATTTTTTTTAGTTATCAGAATCGCTTGCAACAAAATACTTATATATATATACTTATTATTATTATATACTTATTATGAAAGTTTTAGATGGCTCAAATACCTTCAATTTAATCTATCAATTAGATTTCAAGCTATACTCAAAAACGTCAAAACACCTCCAAAAATTAAAAAAAAAAACTATTAAAAATTCATATCCATTTGTTTTTAGTGGGTCAAAATACATGGAAAAATTATAATGGGATATGATGGGCAGAATTTTTTTTCCATTTTGTGAACTAGTGTTATCAGCAAAATAATATTTTTTTTTTTAAGTTATGATGCTACAATTAAAGCAACAGGCAGGCATTTCACAGATTTCCTGGAAAGTGTCGACAATATTCATTCAAGAATGAGGCATTCATATCCAAAAATGAAAAGTCCTTCAATGTATCTCACCACTGTAGATCAATATGGATGCGATTTGGTATATAGAAGTGAAAGGAATGGTTTTACTCATTATCTCATGGGTAAGGTTTATAGACTATTTCAGACGACATGTTTTGATATTTTTGGGAGAGCAAGAAAATTTATTAGTGTTTAAAATATATATAATTTTATTAGCCTATGCGTAAATATGGCAACACTACTATATATCTGAAAGTTTTTGTCAATTGCATTTTTATTCCTAATTTTGACCAAAACTATTAATTTTTTGCTCCTATATTTTGTTAAAAATATTACTTATTTAATATAATATATATTTGTTAGGTCAACTGGGTCAAATAGCTTCAGACATTTATAACCTAAAATTGGAATCGTCAGTTATTAAAAGTGAAAATCAAAATGTTTCTGGAAAAAACATTAATATTATAACGTTTCGCCTCAAATTTGATAATGCCTTATATGTAAGTATAACACAGTACGACAAAATTTGATTTTTTTCCCTCCCATAAAAAATTTCTATAGATTTTGAAAATAGACTTAAAAAAATGATACCCGTGTCTCGGCGTTTTTTCAGATCACGTCATTTTTTTTTAAGTGCCATCCAATATAATGTTATCCACGGTATTCCGCACATAATATAACATTCGATAACAGCTAGTATATTTCTATGAAAAATGTATTCACTGAATAAATGGACAACCATTAAGATTATTTATTTATTTTAAAATTATTTTAATTATATACAGGATGTTGCACATTTACGAAATACGTTACGTGGTCCATTGAGAGTTTCTGAGGAACGGCAAAAGATATCGATTTAAAATTTTTAAAGAGTTTATAATCCAATTAAGCCTATTTTTCTAAAATATTTTAAACAAAATGCCACTTCCGGCTTGACCAGAAGTGACATCAACTTTGTTATTTTACATGGAACACCCCCATATATTTTTACATTTTTAAATTTTACATAAAATTTTGAGTAAAATTACTGTACCATGTCCTATACCTAGAGTAAATAGTTTTGGAGTTATTAATTTTTTTCGTTAAAATATGACAAATGCGCGTCAATCAAAAATAGCCTATAACTTTCTTGCTATTAGGTTTGCAGAAATAGGGGTGGAATTTTTGGAATCTTAAAACATTGTTTAAAAGATTCCATGTCAATTTCTTAACATACCAGGTGTTAAACTTAAAATAAAAAATTTATTAACGTTTCAAGTTAGCCCAATTTGCCCTGGGCTTTCTCGGGTAATTTGTTGAAAAATGTTAAAGAATTGACATGGAATTTTTTAAACAATGTTTTAAGATTCCAAACATTTTACTCCCATATCCGTAAACCTAATAGCAAACATCTAGAAAACTATTCACTTTAGGTATATGATATGGTATAGTAATTTTACATAGAATTTTATGTAGAATTTAAAGATATAAAAATATATGGGGTGTTCTATTTGAAATAACAAAGTTGATGTTAGGTACTTCCGGTCAAACCGGAAGTTGCATTTTGTTCAAAATATTTAAAAAAATAGACTTAATGGATTATAAACGCTTGTAAATTTCAAATCTTTATTTTTTCTGTTCTCCAGAAACATCCAATGGACCACCCTGTATTTCAAGTGGTTTTTTTAGGTTGTGATACCACTGCAATGTATAAAAAATAGATCAAGATTTGTTTCTAACATATATTTAATATATTATATATGGATCATTTTCAAGAAACACCCGCTTTCAGGAAAATTAAGATCAAATTTTTTTTTGCTTAAATTAGTAGGATTTTTTAATTTTTTTACGTTTTTTTCAGAAAAATGTGTCTATATATCTCCACTGTCTTACCAATTTGAAATCCAAAATTTAATTCAATGAAAAAAGTTGTTATAAAAATAATTTGAAATAAAATGTTACTTTTTAAAAGAAATCATTCCGATTCTTTGTTAACCTTCGGATGACCAAGGGGGGTAAATTTTGACCCCAATGTTTATTTTTCTTGAATAAACTCTTAAATATTTTTTTATTTTTAACTGATTATATTTTTATTTGACTATATTATTATGCCAAGTATCTTTATACGAGGGTGGTTCAAATATAAACCGGAATTTTTTAATAAACGCGCTAAAAATTTAGTAAAAGTAAAAGTGGCTGCACTGGATGTTAGACTGGTCTGTTACGAAGCGTAGAGAACAGCCGGGACTGCGTAACCTCGCTTTTCAGTGTAGTTATAGCCATGAGCGAGAAGGATATACCAGTGTCTGTTGCGCAACGCATCATTATTCGTATTTTGGTCAAAGATAATGTAAAATCCGCGGAAATTTATCAAAAATTACTCGAGCAGTTCGGGGATGAGTGCCTCTCCAAGACTCAAGTGTATGAATTGTGTTCCGCTTTGCGAAAAGGCCGAGAAGTGGTGGCAAACTTGTCATATGCGCGGCGCCCCAAACAAGTGTTACAGATGAGAACGTCAGCGCTGTAGAAAAACTCATTTTGGAAGACCGGCGCAGTACTGTACGCAATATGCCTGAAGAATTGGGCATCAGCGTAGGTAGTATTGAGCAAATAATTCATAAACGGCTCGGTTACCGCAAAATTTCAGCCAGATGGGTGCCAAGACTTCTGAATTTTGATCAGAAATTCACACGCTAGGAAGTTTGATGAAAACATTGAACGATTGGGTTGGGAAACACTGGAACACCCTTCTTATAGTCCCGATTTGTCGCCATGCGACTAGTATTTGTTCGGTCCATTGAAAGAGGCACTTGGCGGACTGCGATTCGAAAGCAATGCGGAGGTAGAATACTTCGTGCGCGAATGGTTACGTGACAAGCCGAGAGATTTTTACGAACAAGGCATCCGAAAGCTTCCGGAGAGGTGGCAAAAGTGTGTAGAGTGTGACGGAGACAATCTAGAAAAATTGTAAAAAATTTCGGCTCTGTAACTTAATTATAAAAAATTTTATAGCAAAATTCCGGTTTATATTTGAACCACCCTCGTATTTTGCATAAATAAAATTTAAAAATTTTTCTCATTAAAAAAGTATTTTTAAAATAAATATGGTATTAACAGAATATTCAAAAGACCTGAAGATGCAGAGCCAGCTGAAAATCCCAAGAAACGTGGCCGATGTAAAATTTGCTGTCGATCTTCCGACAGAAAGTTTACAACGAAATGCGATAAAAAAAGCATTTTGTCTGCAAGGAAAATTCGAAGATTAAAAAACATACTATGTAATACTTGTGGTTTCTAGTGCATTTTTTACAAATTTCATTGCTTCCTTTATTAGGTTTAGACTAATATTTTTACTTTTTTGGTTTAGTTGGAATAAAAATTTGTTGTACTAATGTTTGTTTTCATTATTTAACATAAAATATAACATTAAAATAATGAAAGCATGTTTTCGTCTACTAAAATCAGGAGGGGTCATTTTTAACCCCCCTTGGTCATCCATGTATAAAAAAGAGGTTGGTCATCCGAAGGTTAAAAAAACAATACCATTAATATTTTCTTTTAGTCACTGTATTTGTGAGTTAAACTCTAATTTATAAACACGTATTACCAAGTGATAGTTTATAAAAATCATTTTAAGTATTTTTTTTACAAAAAAAAGTAACGAAATAGACATTGGTATCACAACGGACTTAATCAGATAACGTAAAAAAAACTATAAAGGGTGGTACGATTTTAGAGTAATGCATAAACAAAATCCCTTCTAGTGGTGCTCACAGAATAACAACTTAGATTTCTAAATTTTAGACATCCTTTTTCTTTGACTATAAGCTGGTGAAGATCCCTTTCAATACTTGTATATTGCGTGGAATTTTCCCTTGAATGTAATCTATATCATGAGTTGTAATCACAAATAATTTCAAATTGGTTTATCATAAACTACTTTTAATAAAAGCGACGGTAAATATCCACTTTGTTGTCGAAAAATTCTATTGCGTTACCCTAAATTCCATTGCGTTACCCTAAGGTAACATAATGGACTCGGTAACGCAGTGGAAAAAGTTTTGTAAACCCATATTTAAAAAAGTAGATTAAAATTAATTATTTTATATATAAATTGTTTACTGTATTAACTAAGGATGTTATGGATTGCTATAAAGCAACACAAAGTTCTGGATATTTAATATTAAAAAAAAACATGTAGGTAAGTTTTATAAAACGCTAATGGGACATGCGAAGATGTGTGTTTTACAAGTTTTAAAATTAAAAAAAAATATTCTGAAATAACTAAACAAACAATTTTCTAAAAGAGTTTTTTTAACCTTTATTTTTAAAATCTGTTAAATTTTTTCATGGGAGGAAAATCGTGTTACACTGTGTAATAAATTACTCCTATTCAGGGTGATCCCCAATTCCCATGCCATTGAATTAACTGCTTAGGCATGGGATTTGCGACTCACCCCTGTAAACTCTTTATTTATAGTGCGATTTTAACCGGATTTGTTTTTTCGCTCCAAAAGTACAGTTTATCAAGATCTACCCCTTAAAACAAATCCGGTTAAAATCGCAAAATAAATAAAGATTAAAGATCACTGTATCAACAAACAAAATATTTTTAGATGCAGGCAAAAAAGGCGGAAAAGGCTCATTTGGAGACGCAACCGCTTTCCTCTTTCTCCTGTGATTTGCTTTTGCAACTTTTCCCGTTCGCGATTTTGTTCAACTCTCAGATGCTGATTGAAGGTTACGGGGAGAAAATTGTGCAGGTAACAGGTGGAAAAATCAAAAGGAAGATGCTGGGTGAGCCTGTAACGAGGTTCTTCAGGCTAAGAAGGCCCAAAGGAATCTCATTTTCGTGGAAAAATGTAAGAAAATAGTTATTAACTTTTTAGAGAAACTGTTGCGTTTAATTTACTTATGTTATCGAAAAGTCACCTAATAAATTTAAGACGAAAACAAACCAGATATAAATCTCGGTCACGTACCAATATTCCAGATTAAATCTGATATAAAATCAATTCGAAGCGAGAATAGTTCCAAAACGACCCAAACCAAAGTTTACTTGTGCCTTATGCCTTGTCTGGCCCAGTGGCGGCTCGTCAGGGAACGCATCTCACCCTCAAAATGAAGGAATTTTGTAGGAAACATAACACACGAGTGGCATACAATGGTTTATCCAACATTTTGGTCAAAGTAGGTTGTTTGTTTGGTTGCCACGGGCATGATACATTGTTGGCAAATGTTTAAATAAATTTTGACAATTGTCAGTTTTCGCTGCAGAAAAGGAAAAAATTACGTTCCTGAGGATATCCATACGGAAGCGGAAGAAGCAGCGATGCAGATTTTGCCAGAAAAGTCCCGAGATGCTTACGACAAGGAATTCAAAATGTTTGAGTCTTGGATGAATTTACGGAAGATAAAATGTGTCGATGAAAATGTTCTATTGGCTTATTTTTTACATTTGCAAAAAAATTAGCCTCATCGTCGCTATGGACCAAATACTCGATGCTTCGCTCGACTATTCACCTTTATAAAAAAATCGACATTTCAAAATATGGCAAACTAATGAGCTTTTTGAAAAGCAAATCACAGGGATACAAACCAAAGCAGTCCAAGACATTAGAACGACCTGAAATAGAGAAGTTTTTGAACGAAGCTCCCGACGACGAGTACCTGTTGATGAAAGTGGCTTTGATAATGGGGATTAGCGGTGCTTGTAGATGCGATGACACTAAAACCAAGAAATTTATAAGTTTCACTGTACTTGAAGAAGATTTCCAGTCAACCCGATCAATTTGTGTAAAAAATACATATCTTTGAGACCAAAGAATACAAGTTCTAGCCGCTTTTTTCTTTTTTACAAAAATGGGAGGTGTACCAGCCAGTGTGTGTGAATAAATACGTTGTCAAAGATACCTTCAAGAATTGCAATGTTTTTGAAATTGGAGGAACCAGCACTCTACACCGGTCACTGCCTGAGAAGGTCTTCGGCGACTCTTTTGGCCAATGCAGGGGCTAACATGACTACTTTGAAGCGTCACGGAGGATGGAAGTCCTCGACGGTAGCAGAAGGATACCTAGAAGAATCGGTGCATAACAAAATAAAAATTGCAGAAAAAATACAAGGTTCTAATGCGTCGGCGTCTTCCAGCACTATCAGCAGCTGTACCGATATGGGAGCGTCTGGTTCCAATGAACCAACGAATTTTACAATGACTTCAAATTCCAATAAACCGTTTTCCTTTAATTTTAATATCAATGTGAATTCTGCTTGTAATAGTAATAAATAAATATAATACTACTTTATATATGAACGTGAGTTATAATCCATAACTCACTAGTGAGTTATGGATTATTAACACACTAGGGTGTTATTTGATAGTTTACTTGTCTAAAATGACAATAATAATAACTGTCTTGTGTTGGATAAAATGTATTATTGTGGTGCACGAGGCGCCACTGGTATGACCTTGTGTCTATCCTCCCACTTTTCCGTTATTATACTGCATAGGAAACAAGATATAAAGGGTTTACCCGTGTACGCTTATAAGCTAGTCCCAACTATTTTAAGTCTATAAAACGACTTTGGTTTAGGGGATAAAGGGGTTATTTTTTAATAGGTTTTTATATATTATATAATTAATTTCTTAAAACATTAGAACTTTTAATTTACTATAAAATTTCCATTATTTAAAAAAAGAGTTACTTTAATAGTATATTGTGTATCAAATTTGATAAACGCCATTTTATATAGAAAAGTTTATAAACGAGGTGCATAATATACTTTTTCTACGACAAATACTTATTATTATCTTAAAATGATTTAAATCAAAAATTTGTTTAGAGCGCCATCTATGAAACAATAAGGGAAACTGTCAAATGTCACATTTTTACATTTTATAAACACAATTATAAAGGTTATAAATCGAAATGTATTTCTTGAAAATTGACAGTTTTTCACAGTGAAAGTAAAGAAAATGTTTTATGAGCACTTTACAGTGGAGTCCGTGCCTGAATTTAAGTTATAGTTTACTGCCGGCGAAATTAAAAGGTCAGTTCAATGTTCATATAAACTTTTCAAATATTGGCGTTAAGAAAATATTTAATACTTTTGTATTTTTGTATTAAGATAATAAAATAATTTTCACATATTTTCACATATTTAGAAAACAAAAATGTATAAGCGTAATTTTATAACCAAAATTACTGTTTTAAAAACATTTTACTTTATAAAATGACCATACATTTTAAAATTTATTTTTTTCCGCACTACGAAGTTTCGTGTAAAACTTTATCAAGATTATAAAAAATAAATGACCTTTTTATGCTCCTGTGGTATTTTTGCTTTAAAAAGTATTTTCTCTCGGAAAAGTTCAAGAAATAAAATTAGTTTTATAAGCACTTTAATTAATTTGAAGTGTTTTCTTTAATTGCATCTGCATATTTAATGTAATTAAAAGAGAAAATTGGTAATAAAATGTTTACTGTTCTTTTTTTATTATTTTTATACTAAATTTTAATAACCATCTTTCTAACAGTAAATGAACAATAATAAAGCAATGTATTTCCATTTTTTTTTTCATAGATCTTCTAATGTTTTCGAAAAATCCAGGTTTATTTCTTATGAATAAGACTGCTTACACCAATGATGATTTAAAATATCCCACATCGATTGTATTAAAATCTGGAGAGCGAGGAGGCCAGTAAGATATCATAATGATAGAAAAGGTAATGGTAGAAAAGGAAGTGTGTTTTACTTCATTTTCAGCATTTTCAGTTTTCCCAATTGTAGACTTTAATGAAGCGATTTGATGTTTTATGTAGTCTACGGTACATTTCGTTTTCTCTCTTGTTAAAGAATGATGTTTTTCTATTGCCTACTAATTCGCTTGATATTTTGTGGGAAGACATCTTTAATAGCGTTTTTCTCGAAAACTGTAACAAGAGAACCTTTTTACGTACAATTATCTAGAGGTTTTTAAAAATCATCAAACATTTTTATTTTGCAGACTTTCTACCTTAAATCAGTCATGTTCGAAATAGAAATCTTGCGAGCAGATATCATGGAATTCAGCGGAGAATCAGCTTCATCGTCCTCCAGCAAAACGGAAGCTGAGGATTCGGCTTCGATCAAAAATTTGGGCGATGAAAGTACGATCGAAATCGACGGAAAAAGCATCTCGCCTTACGCCCTAAGGCGCGACAGCTTGCCAGGATTAAAAAATATTCTGCTAAAAGGCGAGATGCGATACTTGGGCGATATCAAGAGAATCATTTACTTGTGCAGTCCCGTGTAAGTAATTTTTATTGGGTTTTTGTGAGCATGTGGAAGGAATGGGTGGGGTGAATCGATAGTTTTTAGACGGGGTGTTTGGAAAATGAAAAGTGCAGAATTACGATTTAATACTATATATATAAGTTGAGTGTAATGGTATTTTTGTGTTCAGTTCTGTAATGTATCTAACGTATTCAGGATTAACAACATGACAGAACTCCCCGACCAAGGAATGTACCTAAACGATCTAAACCCTCATGGTCTAGGCAAAGAAATGGTTCTAACAGGCTGGCAACACAGCTCCAAGTAACATAAAAACACCCTAAATATACTCACTATAAAACTATACATCCCCAGGTTAGAACTGGTGTTCGACAAGGCAGAGCAAAGAGCTACAGAGCTAGAAAACAACTACAGTCTTCTGGATACCTGGAAAAGAAGGGGAGATGATTTGCTGTATTCCATGATACCCAAACCCGTGGCTGATAGGTTGAGAAGTGGACTACCATCTGTGGATACATGTGAGGTAATAAAAATCTCTAAAAACCAAGCAAAATTAAATTAAATATTGTTAGTCCAGTAAAAATTATGTATTATTTTTTCCGTGTATAGTAGGGTGATTCATTTCCCCAAAGTTTTTGTTTTTTTTCGGTGCTCAAGCAAAATATTAATCTGCCTATAGGAAAAAACATTCTCACCAAGTTTGAGCTCTTAATATTAATTTTAAGCACTTACTATTTCTGGCTAAATGGACTACAGTCCAAAGCCAAAAAAAAAAAAAAAAAAAAAAAAAAAAAGCACTTACTATTTAAATTTAAAGTTTTACCGTTTAAAATGCATGTAAAAAATATATTTTTTTTTCAAATTTCTAATGCTTACTCACCTTTGACAATATTGCAAATCGGTTTAATACACCTTATGGGGAATTTCACGCTCTTTAAAATTGCTTTTGAGTTTTTTTTTGTAACTCGCATTGGTTCACCAGTAGGAGTCGTCAAATGACAGTTTTTGAAAAAATCGTTTTTTTTTTATTTTTTCGAGCAAATCGCCAAAAGTAGTGAGAAAAAAGGACTGATTCATAAAAAAAAAAGTTATCCAACCAATATTTAATGAATTTACTGCCATTTTTATATCTGAAAACGTAAATACCGATAACGATAAATACCAACCCATAATGTTATTTAGATTGATTTTTTCTATTTATTATCATTATATTTCCCTACAATAAGAACTTTTTTAAAATTATTATGATTTCTCACTCATAATGAATATGAAAACAACACATAAATTCATAAAAAAACAACAAAACTTTAATCGGAATATACAGAAGGTTATGTAACATATTTCAAATTTCGCTTCAAAAAATTAAATAATCTTCATTTATATATTTTTGCTATATGACAGAAATGTTGAAAAATTGCAAAATCCACGTTACAATTTTCTTATTGTTTTTTTATGAATTTATCTGTTGTTTTCATATTCATTATAAGTGAGAAATCAATAATTTTAAAAACTTCTTAGTGTAGGGAAATATAATGATAATAAATAGAAAAAATCAATCTAAATAACATTATGAGTTGGTAATTATCAATTTCTTACGTTTTCAGTTATAAAAATGGCAGTAAATTCATTAAATATTGGTTGGATAACTTTTTTTTATGATTCAGCCCTTTTTTCTCCCTACTTTTTGCGGTTTGTTAGAAAAAATTTAAAAAAAAAACGATTTTTTTCAAAAACTGCCCTTTGACGACTCCTACTGGTGAACCAATGCGAGTTACAAAAAAAAAAACTCAAACGCAATTTTAAAGAGCGTGAAATTCCCCATAAGGTGTATTAAACCGATTTGCAATATTGTCAAAGGTGGGTAAGCATTAGAAATTTGAAAAAAAAATATATTTTTTACATGCATTTTAAACGGTAAAACTTTAAATTTAAATAGTAAGTACTTAAAATTTATATTAAGAGCTCAAACTTGTTGAGAATTTTTTTTTCTATATGCAGATTAATATTTTGCTTGAGCACCGAAGAAAACAAAAACTTTGCGGAAATGAATCACCCTAGTGTATAGTTAAATATTTACGAAAGTAATTGTTTTTTAGTCATTTGAAAGTGTGACAGTGATGTTTTGTGAGCTGGTTGGATTTAACTCTAGCACTGTGGAAGATGCAATGGAGTTGGTTTCTACCATGAATGCAGTTTTTAGCGGATTTGACTCCCTTATTGATAAATATGATGTGTACAAGGTAAATTCGCATTTACTTCAATAATACTACTCCTCAAGAAAAAATTTGCTCTTTGAATTTTGACGTTAAAGTTATTATCAGTAGTGGCGAAAATATACTGATTATAGCACAAACAAGACGTACGTAATTGATTAGATTTAATACCTGGTATATTTTTTGAAATTAGACCTCAAAATAAGCTAATTTCAGGTTGAAACAGTTGGACAAATATACATGGCAGTGTGTGGAGCACCTGAAAAAAATGAACATCACGCCGTTAATATATCAGATGTTTCCTTAAATATGGTGAAACTGGTAAAAGAACTGAACATTCCGTCGCAATCCAAAGTGGACGTTAGAATAGGTAATAAAAATAAAATAAAGTTTTTATGATGCCCTTAAAAATCACTTTGCAAATGGGATAGATTTCGTGTGTGAATCAGTGTTAAATTATATCTTTTGTTTTCAGGAGGATTTTATCACTGTAACTTCAATACCTTAGCCTTACTTTTTCAAATAGGAAGTGTTTTCAATAGGCCATTCTTATAAAGAAAATAAAACTTGAATTTACATCACTTTTAAGACAATTATTAAAGTTTATTTTATTGCAGGAATCCATTCTGGTCCAGTTGTAGCAGGCGTGGTTGGAATCAAGGTTCCCAGATATTGTTTCTTCGGTGATACCGTAAATACTGCTTCCAGGATGCAATCAACAAGTTCGGTAAATACAAAAATCTAATATTTTAAAAATCTTTTTTTTTTATGTTTATGTAACCAAGAATTGGTCATATAGCAATTTAGCAATTTAACTAAAATCATACTATTATTTTTCAAATATGTTATATAATATTTTTCTTGCAAATGTTTCAATCATTTACTTATTTAGTCGTATTGCAAAAAAATATAGAAGTCAAAATTTTAATGAAAAAAAAACCTTTAATAATTGTTATTACTTATAACTATATTTTTAGCCTGGTATGGTACACATTTCAGAGGCAACAAAAAATCTTCTGCCTGAAAATCAATTCGTTATAAAAGATAGAGGCGCTGTAAAACTGAAGGTATAATCCAATCAATCATTTTCGCATAACTTTCTACGTACATTGAAAATTTTTTAGGGCAAAGGTGACGTCGAAACTTATTGGATTTTTAATGGGGAATAATCTCTATGAAATAATATTGATAAAAAAGTATTTAATAGTCTATTCTTTACTAATATATTTTTTATTATATTAAGTTATATACATATAGAATTCTATCTAAAATATATAAATCTTTTAAATGTTGAATAAAATTATATTATACTACTACTTGCATTTGTTTTTTTAACCACTCTCCAAGACTATTAATTAAGGACTCACAATTACCTAACATCTTTTATATTTTCCCTCATTTATCATTTATGTATAATTTCAAAAGATCACGACAAATTCTCGTTCAAATAAATACAAAGTGTACAAAGACATTCGTGTCTACTATTAATGAACAGATGGACATGGATTTGACTAATGATTCTATTAATGGAGATATTTATACAGAAAGGATAGTGAAATTTCTCATCTATCTCTCTTCAAAAGTCAGTTGAAGTAAGTTTTTGGGCCAGCAAATCATAGCAATGCTTTGTGCATACAGCTTTATAAAATTAATTAATTTTACTTGAAACTAAGAATTGTTAGGTATAAGGATAGTCTACCTTAATAATTTGAGAGATAAGGATCCTTTAAAATCCTTTGACTTGAAATTATTTGACTGTTAAGTTTCTTTGATAATTCAATTTATTAAAAAACTTCAAAATGTACGGGATGTTACTTCAAAGTGTACAACATTTTGTCCAGGTAATTTTTTTTATTATAAATACCCAAGTATACATAAGGTTTTATTATTGCTTTAATAAGGTTGTCACAGCTTTTATAAATCCTCCTCTGACACCTCTATAAAGCTAAGTGAGCTTTGTGGTAAGAGGCCGATAAAGCTCTAGCTTTATACTATAACTATAGTTAGCATGTAAACAGTATTCTTTTTAAAAATTTTTGCCGTTGTATGAACACTAGACTGGTTAAAAAAATCGACTATTTTTTTTTCTAAAATTTCGCATTGAAATATCTTCACAGACACCTGTGAAAACCGGAGCTCTTAATTTTAATATTTAGAGGTCTACAAAAAATGTCTCCCTCTACTATTTGAATTAGTACCGCGAAACGTTTCGGGTGTTACAACTTTTTTCATATGTCGATATATGTGTGTGTATTGCTTGAAGATTGCAATAAGTATTATTTTTAAAGCCCCCATCGGAAAAGCAGTCACACTTCTTTTAAAGAGGTGTAACTGCTTTTCCGATGGTGTTGTCGAACCTACCGAAATTTCGGTATTCCTACCTAAATGGCAACGGACCTACCAAAATACCTAATACTTAGATTTTCGTTAATAATTATGTTTCTACCGATTTTTGGCAATAATAACGATTTTACCCTTTTTGCCGATTTATCAAGCTGCTTAGGTTGTGTTTAAGGAGAATTCATTCTATTTATGTTTATTTGTTACTAACTTATTTTGTAGTACCTAGAGACTAATAAAACATCAATTTTGTCCATATAAAGTGTTTAATTTTTGTACTTGTAACACCCGCAACAGAACCATGGTAACACCCGAAACAAAGTAAAATTTTATTAAAAAAATGGTAAAACGTTATTTGTGACAGTTATTATGTGGTAGATGGTTAGTAAATATTATACTTTTGGAGGCCGGTAATTTTTAGGAATGTTTCTCTAAGAAATGAATTTCAAATAAATGTAACAATGGTCGGGACATAGAGGCAGAATCGTGAAACACCCGAAACGCACACTTTTTGACTTATAAAATCGTTATCCTATATGCTAACCTGTACTAATTTTACAATTTAGATAAAAACAACTAAAAACGTAGAGAATAAGGCACTTTAATTGCTAAAATGTTATTTCAAAATGCATAAAAATTTAGACTTTGGTTAAACAAATGTAACACCCGAAACGATGGAATGACCCTTAACCTGAATACGACACTATATACCTATAATAGCGGCGCGTGATGATGATAGTCTTAGGAGAGTTAAAAGAGCCTATATAACCAATATACTGCCATAGAGCTAAATATGGTTTTATAAGGGTTTAAATGACATCCCATAATAAAGCAAAGTTAAAACTTACAAGTGTACCTAATAGGCGTTAAGACTGTAAAAGTAAGTTTACAGAAAATACATTTTAATTTCTTTAGAAATGATCATGTATACGAGGTGTGTTCAGAAAGTATCCGGAATTTTCGTTTTTTGAAACAAATACTTATTTATTCGTCTACATTAATGTTGTCGCCTTCAAAATAGTCCCCATTGGATATTCTGCACATGTGCCAGCTCTTCTTCCAATACTCGAAACCCTTCTAAAACTCGATCTTTGGGATAGCCTTTAGTTCTTTCAGCGATGTGCCTTTAATGTCATCTATGCTTGCAAAACGACGGCCCTTTAAGGTTCTCTTTATTTTTGGAAATAGGAAAAAGTCAGACAGAGGCATGTCTGGCGAATATGGAGGCTGGGGAATCATTACAGTATTGTTTTTGGCCAAAAATTTTGTTCAAAATTTAACAATTTTAGAACAAATTTTGCTGCCACGCGTTTCATACCCAAAACATTCGAAAAAATTTCATGGGATGAGCCAATCGATATACCAACATCATCAGCGACTTCTCTAATGGTTTATAACCATTTCTTCCACTTTTTCCATGTTTTTATCGGTTGTTAATGTGCTTGTGCGTTCGGGGCGTTCGTCATCTTCAACGTCTTCATGGCCATCTTGGAAACTCTTATACCACTTGTAAACTCTTGTTTTACTTATAGCAGACTCACTATAGGCCTTTGTTAAAATTTCACAGAATTTATTTAATTTTTTAAGCAAAATTGGATACAAATTCTTTGATCCATTTCTTTTAACGAACGAAAAATCGCCGAGCTCATAAAACACGTCTAACCTTAGCGGCTGCAACAGACAAAGTAAACAATGAAAACAGCTAAAGTTTTTATCATACTTCGGGGGCATGTATACCAACATAATAAAGAAAATTTTATGACAACCGGACCCTCTGAACCCGCGAAATTTAACAATTCCCGTTATTTTCTGAACACACCTCGTATATCATACATTATTGTTATATTATTATTTAAGATGGAGTATGGAGAAGACGTCTGGAAAGAAATAATCAAAACAGCGCAAATCAACCACAGCGTTTTCCACACTCACCAGGTATATCCAGACAATATAATGGCTTCGCTAGCTGCAGCATGCGCCAAAGTAACCTCTTCATCATACGACAGCTTCATGAATTTTTTTGGGAGATGTTTCGTGAGATATTTTACCACTTTAGGGTAGGTAATTTTGAGTTTTTCTTCTGAATGAATTGACTTTGGCCACCTCCCTGATAGCACACTTTATTCTAAGAATGTTTTTTAAACCTTCCAGTGAGAATATTCTTAGGATCATGCTATATTTCTTCTAAAGAACATGCTTAAAAGACATATAGCATAATCCTAAGAATATTCTTACTGGCCTATAGGCAGGTTCTTAGAAGGTGCAAAGTTTTAGTGGTAAAAATTAGTCTACTCTAAACATATGCTTAGAATGTTAAGAAAGTAATTGCTATAGAAAGTTCACTTAGGAATATTCCTGTCAAGCATATTTAGTTCAGTTACCTATATAATAGTAAAATATACCATAAACTACGTATAAAGGTATATACCTATACTTAAGTACCTAATTAGTAATTAGTATTAAATACAAAGTAAAAAACACAATCCAAAATATTTTTTTATAGTTATTTGTCAAATTAAAACAATATTCGATAACAAAAATACTTTTATTATAGGTATTTTATTTTATGTTAAAAACAAATATTTATTAATTTGTATACGGATTTTTTATTTCTGAATTAACATGTTTAATAAACATTGTTTATGTATAATAATCCAAACTATCTTGAACTTCAATCTAATCTGAATTATCCCACAAAATTTTCCAATTTTACTTTTTATGAAATAATGTCATAAAACTTATGGTTTAGAGGTCAAATTGTTTATTTAATATTTTTAAATAAATATATATTAATATGTCGCAAAATTTTTTAAGGGGACGACAAATACATTTCACTGTCATATTATGACGAATGTAGAATACAACATATTAGAAGGTGGGTATCTGACATATTTGGAAATATTCTCAAAAGCTTCCTAGAAGCTCCATAAGAAACCTTCTAAGAACATTCCAAAAACGTATTCTTAAAATGTTCTTAGGATGCTTTTTAGGAAGGTTTTAAGAAGCTTTTAAGAATCTAATTGCATCATTAAAAGGGTATCTATTGAATGTTTTAAAAGTCCCTAAAAACATTCTTAGCAATAAGGGAAGGTTCGAAGAATATTCCATTATTCCGGGTCATATCTTCTTAGAAGATTCCTAAAATCAAATTTTGCTATCAGGGCTAGATCTCCTGATTTACTTTTGTGTGACATTACAGCCCGTAAATGCATTTAAAATTTACATTTTTAGATACGACGTTACTGTTAAAGCCACAGGTCGATATTTCACAGACTTTTTGGAGAGTGTTGACAATATTCATTCTCAATTTATTTTTACCTATCCAAAAATGAAAAGCCCGTCCATTTACTTGACAGATATTGATGCTGCTGGATGCGTATTGGTTTACAGAAGTGGACGACAAGGTTTTACTCAATATGTGATGGGTAAATATTGTAAATATTAAGAACTTAAACTTTACATATACGGGGTGACAATTTTAAAACGAACAGCACTTAATATTTCTTTAACTGATGGCAGTATAAAAATTTGGCGAAATTTTTGAAATCCTTATGTCATTCTAGATAAGTTACCTACTTTTCTTTTTAATTTATTTTTACCAAAATTGAAGTATGAATGTAATAAATTTTAATCCATAAATTAAAATAATCGAAGTTTCAAACGGTTGGGTTTACTGTGCTGTCACAGCCATTTATTTTAATATTTAGTGTAAAACTACGTTTTTATTTTGTTATATCTGATATAATTTAGTTTGTGTTTTTTGTATCATTTTATAGTACAATTTACCTGCTTATTCCATTTCCAAAAAAATATTATTTGATATATATAGGTATACCTATGTGCTAAAAGTGATTTTATTTATAGTGTTTTTGTATTTTTACTATTGTTTTGTAGGTCAACTTCAGCAAATTGCTAAAGATTTCTTCAATTTAAGCTTGAAAGTTAAAGTTATGGATAAAGCAAGCTCGGCTAGTGGTTCTAAAAACACTGTTATAGTAACATACAGATTGGACTTCGATAATAAGGCCTACGTAAAAAAATTATATACAGGGCTTTAAATTAAAAACTAGCCACCCTTAATAACTTATAAGTTATAGTAAATATAATCTTGAGCAAAAACAGGTCCATCCGATCTGATCTGATCTGATTTGCTTCGATTAAATTTACCTATAGCATAACTATAACTAAGAGAAAAGTAATTGTGGCTAGTTTTTAATTGAAAGTCCTTTAAAAAAAAAAAGTTAATGCAACACATTTTTAGGTTTTGAACAGGGCAAAAAGCGAGTCATTTCATCAATTTCAGCAGCTGTCGTCTTTTCCCTGTTCCCTATTGATGGATCTATTTCCATTTGGTGTAATTTTCAAACCTGACATGACCATAATGGGGGGTGGGGAAAAGTTGATTGAAATTTGGAGGGGGGAGGATCAATTTTTGGGAGAACCGATTACAAAGTATTTTAAGTTGAGGAGACCAAAGGGGATACCTTTTTCGTGGAAAAATGTAATGTATACTGCTGTTTTTAGTTTAGATCAAAAACTATAGATCAAAGTTTTAAATCCCTATGTAATTTTAGACGATTAATTTGAAAGCGGTAATGTTTGAACTTGAGTGTAACAGAGGTGCTGGCGATTTTTCTTCAGAATCGGTTGATGATGACAAAGATAAGGAGACTACTTCTGAATCCCCTGCCCCGGGAACTAGAAATATACTTTTGAAGGGGCAAATGAAATATGTTAAAGATATTAATGCCATCATATACTTGTGTAGCCCGATGTGAGTTCACAGTAGATCTTTTTTAATACAGGTTTACCGACTACATTTTTAGTATCAATGACTTGGATGAACTGCCCGACCAAGGCATATTTTTGAACGACCTAAATCACCACGGCTTGAGCAAAGAAATGGTTTTGGCAGGATGGCAACATAACTCAAAGTTGATTTGAAGAACACCAAGACACGCAAAACCTAAAATGTTATGTTTTAGACTTGAAATAATGTTTGATAAAGCTGAGGAGAGATCGGATGAGTTGCAAAAAAGCTACGAACTTCTGGACACCTGGAAAAGACGGGGTGATGACTTACTATATTCCATGATACCAAAAACCGTGGCTGATAGATTAAGAAATGGACAGTCTCATTTGAGCACTTGTGAAGTACAAAACATCTCTTTTATTACAGCATTTAGTGACGCTATATTTTTAGTCCTTTGAAAGTGTAACAATACTGTTTTGCGAATTGGTAGGGTTAACCTCAAAAACTGTACAAGACACCATGGATATGGTAACAGTTATGAACGCAGCCTTTTCCTGCTTTGATAGTCTAATGGATACATTTAACATTTACAAGGTAATCTCATATAAGTATTGAGTAATCTTATAAGTATCGCGTTTTTTAAGGTTGAAACTGTTGGTCAAGTTTACATGGCGGCTTGTGGAGCTCCTGAGAGAACCACTGATCATGCAGTGAAAGTGGCTAATGTGGCCCTAACTATGATAAAGGAGGTGAAAAAAATCCAGGTACCTTCTGGGAAAGAAGTTGAGATAAGGATCGGTATATAAGTTTTTGATTTAACAAGCCTATTTTTTATATAAGTATAATTTTAGGCATTCATTCAGGTTCTGCAGTGGCTGGAGTGGTAGGACTAAAAGTCCCTAGATACTGCTTTTTCGGTGACACCATAAACACCGCTTCCAGAATGCAATCTACAAGTTTGGTAGGCCAACAAACACCATACAGGGTGTGAGTGTTTGAGAAATTTGTTTGTTAAGTTATATTTTTTTTAGCCTGGAAAAATTAACATTTCTGTTGGCACGAAAAATTTACTCCCAAAGGAGTATAAAACAGAAAGTAGAGGAGTGGTACAGGTCAAAGTATGTATATTTTATGTGGTTTTATTTATTTTGGAACCAGACGCTTCCATATCGGTACAGCTGCTGATAGTGCTGGAAGACGCCGACGCATTAGAACCTTGTATTTTTTCTGCAATTTGTATTTGTTATGCACCGATTCTTCTAGGTATCCTTCTGCTACCGTCGAGGACTTCCATCCTCCGTGACGCTTCAAAGTAGTCATGTTAGCCCCTGCATTGGCCAAAAGAGTCGCCGAAGACCTTCTCAGGCAGTGACCGGTGTAGAGCGCTGGTTCCTCCAATTTCAAAAACATTGCAATTTTCGACAACGTATTTATTCCCACACACTGGCTGGTACACCTCCCATTTTTGTAAAAAAACAAAAAATCGGCTAGAACTAGTATTCTTTGGTCTCAAAGACACGTATTTTTTACACAAATTGATCGGGTTGACTGGAAATCCTTCTTCAAGTATGGTGAAACTTCTCAATTTCTTGGTTTTAGTGTCTGGCAAAACTACGTGAAAATATTACCCTTTGTCTTGAATATTTTCTATTTTCAAATTGACCAATTCATCGCATCTACAAGCACCGCTAATCCCCATTATCAAAGCCACTTTCATCAACAGGTACTCGTCGTCGGGAGCTTCGTTCAAAAACTTCTCTATTTCAGGTCGTTCTAATGTCTTGGACTTCTTTGGTTTGTATCCCTGTGATTTGCTTTTCAAAAAGCTCGTTAGTTTGCCATATTTGAAACGTCGAGTTTTTTATAAAGGTAAATAGTCGAGCGAAGCATCGAGTATTTGGTCCACAGCGTCTATGGGACTAATTTTATTGCAAATGTAAAAAATAAGCCAATAGAACATTTTCATCGATACCTTTTATCTTCCGTGAATTCATCCAAGACTCAAACATTTTGAACTCCTTGTCGTAAGCATCTCGGAACTTTCTCGCGTGACTTATTTTCAACATAACACACTAGTACCATAAATAACTATTAATGCTTTAATTTCAGGGAAAAGGAGAGATGAACACCTTTTGGCTATTAGAGTAGCAAACAAAAGTTTTGCCTTATGAAAATTAGTCTGATACTAAGTTGCAATTTTGGTAGACTACACAATGAGAATACAAAAAACGTTTTATCACCTTTTATTGTATACCTACCTAATATAAATAAAAATAAATAAAAATTTAATTAGCAATAACAAGCATCCATTGTATTACTTTTTATCCAGGTTATAAACCTGTTAACTCTCGTATAAACCCCGGGGTAGTTTGCTTCTGCGCAACCCTCGCCCCATGAAACAATACCTAAAAATATAAAAATTATTTTTTGTAAAAAATATTTTTAAATGCGTTTTTACCGGCTAACTCATGATGATTATTGTTTATAACATGCATAGGACCCCCACTGTCCCCCTAAAGAAAGTAAACATAATTTTTTTTTTTTTTTAATTTTTTTTTATATATGTATACCTGACACGAGTCTTTTTTTCCTTCAGGATAACCAGCGCAAATCATATTATCCGTAATCCTGTTTCCGTATCCTGTTTTGGTACAGTCTGCATTGGACATTATAGGGACCTCCACTTCTCTGAGTCTATTAGAAACTTGACCATGCTCTTTGGTTGCCCCCCAACCAACAGCAATGCCTAGAAAAAGCGTTTTATATCCAAAGCGATTTTTAGAGCTGTTACTTTTGTTACTTTTGAAAAGTATCTAAGTTACTTGAATTTATCTTAGTTACTTTACCAAATAAATTAATATTTTTTAGTTACAAGATACTTTTCGAATATAACTAAGTTAAAGATACTTTCTGTCCAATATAAAAAGTATCTAAGATATCTCCCAGCTCTGGCAAATGTTATTCAAAAAATACCTTTCAATCCTGTGAAGCTTTTTCCAGTCTCTGGAAGACACACAGGTTTCAACAATCCTGTTGTGGAAACCTCATTATCCAATTGAAGTATAGCAATATCATTATTGTAATTCCCTCCAATCCCGTAGTTTTTGTGCTTTAAAACCCTGCTGATTTTCCTCGAAATTGTTCTAGTTTCAAAAGTATTTCCTCTATCGTGGTCTAGAAAAACAGCTGTAAGCCTTTCCCTCGTAAAACCATTTACACAATGTGCAGCTGTTAGAATGTATCTGTTGTTGATTAATGAAGCACCACAATAAAATCTGTTGTTATACATCAGGGCTACCATCCATGGGTACATATTTACTTTGGTTTCAATGCCTCCAACTATCCTGGTGTTAACATGGGTGATACCACAATCTTAAAATACATATTTAAACACTTTGAAAAGTTTATATAAAAAATTAAACTTACTACATACAGGGCAATTTTTCGCTATGTCTGGAATGGGTCTTGGAGTGCTCTCCTCCTCAGGCCGTATCCCCACTATTCCAAGTACCCAGTCCACAAACCCTCCAACTTTATTGGTTTGGTTCCCCAATACAAACTCGTCGTGAGTGGCGTTTTCTGTGATGGTAAAGTCCTCGGTATTGATGGTTTGGTTAAAGATTTCGGCTTCAAACGTAGTTTTGTTGAAGTCAGCCGGAAGTCTGAGAGGTCTTGGTGGTTTTCCGGTAGTTTTTCTCGAAGGCCATCCGGGTGGTACTCCTGCTTCGAATTCCACTTTTGCCGTTGTGGGTTTGGGTCTACTGTTATGGTGGTGGAGTGAGTTGAACCAGTTCGTGTTTGGGTTTACGATTATTTTTGTGTTTATACGAGTTGCGTTCTAAAAATAATATAAGAATTATTTTATTTAATAGCACACAAAGTCTTGAAGATGTCTTTTGTATGTCTGTACTATTTAATAGCACACAAAGTCTTGAAGATGTCTTTTGTATGTCTGTATTATGCCTGAACATCTGAAGATCTAAAAAAGACGTCTCTAAGATATCTTCATTTAATGTTCAAAAGACATCTTATAAATGTCTGATACCGCCGTTTATTTTTTTTTAAGTTTTTGATAAAATAGTGAATTTTGACAAGTAAAAATCGAAATTATATCCCATAATCAGCCACTTCATAGTAAGATATAATTAAGTACCATCTTATTCTGGTGTAATAGGGTATACCCTATAGGGTAACTGAATAAATATATATCTGACATTTTTGTACATTATTTTTCCTACATTTAATAATATCCATTTGATCCAAATGATTTTTAAAAAGACAATATAACCTTAAAATAACCCAGCGAAAGTTTTTAAATCAAATTACCCGCACATTTCCCATAATGCAATGAAATTATCAAATCGGCACCATCTTATAAGTGAGGCCATATGATCCTTATGCTGTTCTTTTCTATTTCACCAAGCGCTGATATGTCTGGGTTGGGTTGGGTTGGGTACACAAAACAGTAGGAGACAAAATACCAAAGCATAAATATTTTTCGAACTATTAAAAATATTTGAAAATACTTTTTTTTAAATACATTAATATCTTTCTTTTGCTTACATTAAAGTTGTGAATTTGTTACCTTGGTTTGGTCAATTAAGTTGTTTTTGTAATACAATTCAATTAACATTTATTTTATGTAAAAAAAAATCATGGCGGAAATAATGTGAGCTCTCTTATATTGCTCGTGGTAATTTTATATAACCCAAGGTGCTAGTTCAGTTTTATAGGACTATCTAAGTTACTTAAAGTGTTATTATATAATTTTAAAACTCTTATATACATTGTAGTAACTGTCGTTACTACAAGTGATGTTATAAAACTTTTGATAGGCAACCATCTAACCGCTCAGGTTAGTGTTGTTAGGTTCGCCATTTTTGCCTGCAGTATTAATGGTTTTAACGCAATGGAATCAATTTATTTCACTAAACATTCGATTGCATCCACTTTTAAAATATTTATGTTAATAATATTATATAACTTATATATTTTATGCTAAATATTTTCTTTTTAACCAATTTTTAATTAAAATTATGAAAAAGCATTGCGTTGTTTCAATTACTAAACATTTTTGGTTTATTAAGCACATAAACTCACAATTGTTTTATAAAACAGGTAACCGCAAACTTTATAAAACTGCTTTATAATCCTACTGGTAACGGTTATTAAAGGTTATATAAAATGTTTGTAGAAACAATTATATAACCTAATTATATACCTAGAGTTTACAGTAACCTTATATGGCCATTATAAAACTAGTAAACTAAATGGCGATTTTATAATACCTTTTTAAACTCTTATATAATTTGACAACTCTTATATAACCTTTATATAATTTATCGTTACCATAAGTAGTACAAATTGTTTATTGGGATATTAAGTCCTATATTGTACATTTGAAGATGAAAGGGTAATTCTTGGCAAGTTTCTTTCTTCAGAAAACTTATTGTCGCAATATCTTCCAAACAGATCAAAAAAAATATTTTTGTTTAGAATCCAATCTCGAACACGAATTTTCATTTTCCGCCCCCTGGCATAAATCACCCTGTATACAAAAAACTGTATTTCCTTTAAAAAATGATGTAAAAAATGGCTATACAAAAATGGATTACCCAATTGAGGTTAGGAATCTGTTTTAGCGGCTTTTAAAATGGCAGTTAGTTTGCCAAATTTGTCTATACAAATCAAAATTTCTCACTTAAAAATGGACTAACAACCGTTAAAATCTGATATAGAAGGCCTTTTTAACTGTGAAAGTGAAGAGGATGTACTCCATCCGAGACACAATAAATACACATTTTAGTAATGATTAACGTGAAAAGTGTAAACATTTCAATTCAGTAAAAATCGTCAAACAAATAAGTCGTCTAAATTTAAACAGCATTTAGCATTATTAAAAGCGTTGATTAAGAGTCTCCACTCAACGGTAAAATACCATTATATTGTGTATTATATATAATATTATGTTGCCATAAATTCGTAGGTATATTTTGATGTTTAAAATGCAGTTTTCGGCGTTTTTTAGAGAACTTAAATATAAAAGTGGTTGATTTTAAGGTTATGTTTGTGCAAAAATTATTTTTTACTAATTTCTTAAAAATGTCCAAACTTAAATATAAATTATATTAGGTAAAGTTATCATGTTAATTCTGCACCAACAAACGTACTTCCGAATTGGATCCTTTGGCAAAACATGAAAATGCTTTTTATTTACATTTAATAACACAATAATTTACCATGATCCCTTAGATAAAATACACACACTAACGTAACTATATAAGCATATAAGCGTTGAGTTTCTTAATCAATGATATAAAGAATAATCAATCGAAATCGAGTACTAAACCAGTTTTTTAGTTTTTTCCTTGCAACGTAAAACACAAATAACGTGCGCGATTTAGCTGTGCAATTGAACGAAATTTGTCGAGTAAGACTTCTGCCTTCCTCTCTTTTGTGAAAAAACTACCTATTTATTTAAAAATGATGTACAGTTCGTATGCTTTAAATGTATTGTTGACAATTCTTAAATTCACGCAATGCTATCGAAGTCCACCAGATGGCGCGCAGGTTGCGAAAACCCTATAGGTACTTCTTTAGCGTAGGTATAAACTTAACAAAGATTGTCAAAAAACTATTGTAAACTGTTATATAAAATTATCTTAAATCTAATATCTGCACAATTCCAAAAGCGGCAATAATAATTTTTTAAACAAAACTCGAAACAATTATTCTTACCTGCTCAGTGCTACCGCTTTCACTTTTCCCGCATTCTGTCCGACTCAGTAGCAAAAAAATTAAAAGTATCGCGGCACACTGCATCACACTGTCCAATTAACTTAAAACTAATGTCGCTACCTAGTACTGAGTAGGTACCACTTAGCAGGTTGGCACTAACTAATCACTATGTCACTAAGTAAAGAAGGGAGGCATTTTACTGACCAATGGTCTCTGATAAAGTGATAGGCGGCCTGGCGTAAGCTGTTATCTATGCAAAACACTTTTGTTTAATTAGTGACTGTATGCACAAAGGTTAGCTCAGATCTACTATTTATTAGATTACTGTAAAGATGACTGAAAAAAAATTCAAGTGGATATTAAGAATTTAGAATCTTGGTGCAGTGATAATTGTATGTCTTTAAATATTAGCAAATGCAAAGTAATAAATTTTTTTAGGATAAAAAATAAAATAATTTTTCTTATAGTACCTATTAATGATGTTATTTTAGAAAATGTAAATGTAATTAAGGATCTGGGTGTTTATTTTGATACTGTTACGTTTAACGAACATATAAATATTATAAGTAATAGAGCTTTAAAAATGTTAGGTTTTGTTAAACGGAACTTAAAAGATTTTAATGATGTGATGTGTATAAAAAATGTGTATTTTTCATTTGTTCGAAGTATTTTGGAATATGGTTGTGTAGTATGGTCTCCTCACTACTTAACTTATTGTATGCAAATAGAAATAGTACAAAATAAATTTTTAAGATTTTGTGCATTTAAATTAAATTTAATTATTGATGACTATGATTATGTACAATTGAGACACTTGATTAATGTTGATACCCTAAGCAAAAGAAGGGATAATTTTGATATGCATTTCCTATTTAAACTTTTAAATGGGATTATAGATAGCCTTGAATTGCTTGGCAGAATTAATTTTCAAGTGCCTCAGTTAAGACTAAGAAATAAAATTCTTTTTTATATATGTCACCACAATACAAACTATGGTTATTATGCACCATTAAATAGGATGTGCAGAAATGCAAATACTTTAAATGTAGATTTCTTTGGCAATACTCTCCAGTCCTTCAAAAGGTCTTTAATGTAAAATTGTAATAAATACTTTTGTTTATATCTAATGGTTAATCCGTCAATAAAGATATTTATTTATTTATTTATTTATTTATTTATTTATTTATTTATTTATTTATTTATTTATTTATTTATTTATTTATTTATTTATTTATTTATTTATTTATTTATTTATTATGATTGATGAACAATTTTTTCGATACCTATAAGGGTGAATATATTGAGATGTCCCCCAAGTGAAAATAATTATTTTTTATTTTTGGTTGTTTCACTGTTAGTCTGTAATGAAGTTTTTGGGAAGCCACCAGGTCTAGTAATAACATAACATAAGTGGTTCTGCACTAATGCAAGAATTTTAAGAAATCACACATTTTAAATATTAGAGCTTCACGGAGGTTAGGATTTCGTTTGTTTTTTTTTAACATCCCTTTGTATATTTGAAATAAGTTATTGTATCTTCTAACACCTTAATATTTTTAAAAATACAATTGTATATTTGAATCTTTTAACACCTTAATATTTTTTAAAAATACAATTGTAGTACAAAAAATATTTATAAAAAAAATCTACTTACTGAGATATTACACTTCACGGTGGATAGGTTTTTAAATAGCAAATTAATGAACTTAAACTTTTGAATTAAAAAACAGCAACACTCTCATCTGCATAAAAATTCTAAATGACCTTCAGGAATCACATGCATCTATAATGTCGTAAACAGAGGTTTTTGCTTATTTAAAAGCGCCATCCGTTGCATAAAATTTAAAGAAAAAACAGCTTCACGGAGGATAGAATCAATTTTTGACATAAATGGTTATAAAAAATAATTTCTTTTAATTTTCATTACTATTTTATATTTGATTCGATTGCTTTGGATGTGTTTAATTTACTTAGTGAACTGATATTTTTAGTAACCGTCACGGAGGATAGGTTTTAGACTTTTAAAACATTGTAAAAATAATTAATTGCGGTTAAAAATCTGGAACCTGAGCTTTAATATCTACTTAATTATGAAAGATCAAAACACAATAAAAGTGTAGGTCAAACTCATTTAGTTTTATTAAATATTTTCTGCCATTTTTGTAGAATGTTTTATAGTTTTTAATAAAAGACTTTTAAATAGGGTTTTAATAAAATAAAAAAGTGTTTATAGAAGAATTTCTTCTAACATTTAATGTTTATAAACTTTCTCAAAATTCTCAGAATTGAAACTACCAACAAATATTCTTGATGTGCAGGTAAGTAAAATTTATTAAAAAATATTTAATGTTGTCTTTTTTACCGAAATTTGTTGGCCAACAAATTTCGACTATGCCTTGTGCATGGTGGCTTTAAAGAAGTAGGTAACTAGGTGATAGCCGGAAGACTCTTAACGAGGTCTTTTCTGTGGTTTTGTCTTTGGAAGATACAAAATGCACAGTAGTAAAATGGTGGTTATAGGATGAATTTTTTTTGTTTTTTAGGTTAATTAGACAGAGTCTATCTAATCTAGAATTTAAAATTTTTAATAATAATTTTTAATCGCGCTATAACTGCAACCAAAATTTCAAATTGATATCTCATTTATTTTACTTTTAACCTCTAATAAATCATTTATTTAAAGGTGAATCACCCTTTATTAGATGTTTTTGTAGATCTTGTAATCTTAATTGATGAACAAGGGCGTTGTACAAAAACTCATAATTTTATAGTAAGGTAAATGAAATTACAAAAATTTGTTACTGTGCGTTATAAGAGTATTGATACAATCAATTTCACTGAATACGTGATATGAATTATACCGAGTTAGTATTTGTATGGGGCATTTAAATATTTACGAGTTAAATTTTAGAAAGCCAAATTTTATCTACAAAAAAATAACAAAAACAGCAAAAACAAACTATAGTATTATCATTGAAAATAAAGATAAATTTATTAAAATTGGTGAATCTCAAGATGGTGCAATTAATTATTTTTTACAATGTTTTAAAAGTCTAAAACCTATCCTCCGTGACTTAGGTTAACCTGTATGTTTTCAAATATCTGAGGTAGAAAAGCATACTAAAAATACCAGTTCACTAAGTAAATTAAACACATCCAAAGCAATCGAATCAAATATAAAATATTATTAAAAATTAAACGAAATAATTTTTATAACCATTTATGTGGGTGTTACAAAAATTGATTCTATCCTCCTGATATAATTCAAAAGTTTAGGTTCAATAATTTGCTATTTAAAAACCTATCCACCGTGAAGTATAATATCTCAGTAAGAAGATTTTTTTATAAATATTTTATGTATGTACAATTGTATTTTTAAAAAATATTGATGTGTCAAAAGATACGATAACTTATTTCAAATATACAACGGGATGTTTAAAAAAATATACGAAATCCTAACCTCCGTGAAGCTCTTGAAACGTCAGATTATTAGGAAGTAAGGTTAGAACTGTCTGACAGATCCCAAAAGTCAGATAAAATTTTAAATAAAATTGGCTTTAAATTCTAAAAAACAATATTTTGTGTTCGTCATATTAAAAATGTATTATTTCCTGTTATAACTTTTGAGTTTATATTTCTATTATGTAAACAAACAATAGACAACAATAATATTTATTTATGCAAATTAAACCCATAAAAATCTGGTTCAACAAAAATTAGACGCATTTATTAAATGTTTAATTGTGACATTGACATGTGATAAGAGGTAAAATTATTGTGACCTACAATTTTTAATAATAATGATGGACATTAACATAAATGCACTATTGAATTTTTTATCTTTGTTGTGTAATAAATGCATAACGCGAAAAATAAACTTATGAAATTTACTGCGTCTGATATTAAAATTTGAATAAAACCAAAGTTCGGTTTTAAAGAAATATTTTTCCATATGGCTTTTTTGGAAAAACTATTACAATGTGGCATGTACCAATGTATGGGCTAACTACTAAAAAAAGAATCGTTTAATTAACTTTAATTCTTATCGAGAAATTTAAAAAAATGTAATCCTGGACATGATTTTTTACCAAAATCACAAAAAATCAAATAACTCCAAAACTAATAACTTTTGGATAAGGCAATATGGGGTTCAAACGACTCAAAATAATCTGTAGAATCACCTTCTTAAATTAATGCACCTACTTCTGACTCACCCTGTATACATTTAATAAATTTTACTATTAAATATTGATAAAGTAAATAATTAGTTTAGATTAATTGGTATTTGAAAATGTTCTATATCTTTGAACCTTTAAAAAAATTTGAATTGATGTAATGATATCTTTATAATAGGAAAGTAAATTTTCTTTAAAAAAATTACCTGTTACTTTAACCGTTTTGCTGTAAAATGACAAAATACAGTTTGTTTATTAAAGTAAAAACCTCCAAGCTATAGGAAATTGAAAAAACCCTAAATTTTCTGTTATTTCAATGGGAAAACTTTTAAAATCGTCCTACTCATTTTGAACACAAATTAAAACTAAGGTGGGTTAAAATTCAATTAAAAAAGTATCAGTAAAATAAAATCGCTTAAAAACAGGGAACCTTGAAACTCATTATGTTAGAAAGACTTTCTGTTGCTCAATTTTTATCGTGAAAACCCTGAACTAATTTTCAGTTACATCAGGAAACTTACTGAAAAACTTTAAACAAAACATTCTTTGCCTTGACTTACATTTTATGAAAAGATAATATGAACCATCATAATGCATAATATGTGTACTAATAATTATAATTATTGCGAAGGTCAAAAATTAATCACTATTATCCCTATAAAAGTATTAAAATTGTTTTGTTGATTAAAGAATCAAGGTATCATCTAAATTATTTGCTTATGGTTCAAAACCAAATTTGAAGAAAAAATCACGTTTTTTGTAAATTAACACATGTGACTCTTGGCTTTTATCTAAATATTATATCAAAGTTTTATTACATCTTGAGATAATGAAGCTTTATGATTAGGCTTTATGAGCGACTTTAAAGTAAAGTATTAAAACCTTTTTGCAATTTTAACTATTTGATCTTAACATTGATTTATTACTGTTAACCAATATTGCTTTTTTAGGGCAACTTGCCCCTAAGAAACGCTTATAGTCCAATAAGCTTTATGAAGGTTTATCAGATGCCTATTGGTTTTAATGGTGCTC